AAACAACACCTACGTCCATGGAGACAAGCCGATGGCAGACATGAAGAGTTACACAGGGCATCTTCAGCTACAAATCAATTTTCAAACAGATGAGCTAATGTTGGACTGGGCTTAAAGTATTTTTGAGGAAATCCACTTAAAATAATTCATATTTTGGTTCATTATGACTTCTCAAAACAGAAATTTCAATCACAAAATTAAAACCATCCTTCTCCATTTGGGGAGGCAGAGCGTTTGGACTTTGGAATGGAGATGCATGGAGATGCTGGATGACTAGCCCGAAGGATTCTGGTTCAATCTCACCACCTCCAAATACATACTGTCTATGAGCAGGACACCTCAACTAACATGGCATCCAATATTGATAAATGTAACTAGTGACCAACTTTGGTTTTAGGTCTTCGTACAGCATTACTACAAAACTACAAAATGTGTCACAAAAGGTTTTAATTGAAAAACAACACTTGGATAAGGTTAAGAAATACATACAGCAGACTGTATTGTCCTTAGTACTCCTCCCACTCCTGTCTAATGTGTAGCTATCCAATGACCTCCTAAGTGGCTCCCTGACTCTCTGGCCCAGCACATTACTGGGCCTTTGTCTCCTGCAGACACCAGTCCCTTCACTCTCTTTTAGCCCTGATGCCCCGCCTGACCTCCCCATGACCCATGAGGGGTGAGGAGCTGCCCTGGGATACAGCTTCACAGGCAATCCTCCTGTAACTGAGTGGACAGGATTCTAGTCGGGAAAGACATTGCAGTATTTAGTAGAAGAAAATTTATATTTTATCACGTGGAGTATTAATTGGATTATAGATAATCAAGACTTATGTTCTACCAGATTATTATAACTATAAAATGTGACCAGCTTTATGAATTCAAATTTAGAAAAACATGGTTTGATTAAAATGTAATAACTTTGTAGATTACATTTCAAATAATATCTCTGAATTTATTTATACGATTCCAGGTAAACCATAGACTCTATAAAAAAAAGTGGACTAAGAGAGCAGATTTCCATATTTATTTACTTACAAAATAGTGAAATAAAAACATCAGGATCATGTAGAACAATAATACGACCATTTTAAGAACAAAATTACAAGGCTCACTGCAGCAGTTACAGAGAGAGGGGAGCTGATGGAGCTGGAAGTGTCCCCATGGTCACTTCCTATTTGTAATGACTAGCAGGTTAGCTATGTATTTATATACACAGTTTATGAGGTAAATACAGAATTATTTCATACTGCACAATTAAGTTGCAGTAGTCAGTCACTTGCTTGTCTCGTTGCTATACTTCAAATGTTTCAGTTTGACATTATCGATCGTCATGGAAACAGAAGTAACATAGACCAGCTCTAACTGAAAAACGCAACATTCTTCTAACGTAAATAATACTATAGTAATATGTAATAGAGCATGTTTATTTTATTTTTATTACTTGTATCATGAGGCTGTCACTTGAGCATGCCCATTCACCCAGTCAACAAGTCTTAACACAGCATTACACATCTCCCGCTGCTGCATTGCTCTAATCCTGCCCTTTTTAACTGGCTTTTCAATACCTCCACAAGCGACGCCAAAATCTCTCCTCCTCCTCTCACCTAAAAAACACATATTTTCTTTACCATCAATCCAGTTAGTTTTGTGAATGTACATCTGAAATTCTAGCTCTTAATCTGAGGCTGCGATGATGACCCACTTTCTCTCCCCCTCTCCCAGTCCCCGCCCTCAGCCGTCGGTCGCCAAGGAGACGCTTCCCCTCTCTCATCCCTGGACCGAACCATCCGATGCTGACAAAGGTTAATCTCGTGTCCGACGCGGATACACAAACACACACACACACCTACACATACACATACATATACACATACACACCTTATGGCTGTTGGTTATCTGCTCTTTGGAAATGTTAAGCTCATTCTTCATTTCCTGGTATGTTTCTTCCATAAAAATGCACAGTCGTACACATTTTTTTCCTTTTTAATGCTACATTTTGCTACAAATACTGTCCATTCTTACCCCGACAACAAAGGATCCAATGCAAACTACCATGCAAATCTATGCAAAAGCACCTTACATACTCACTCTTCTCTCACTCCAACAAACCACTACCCTTTCTAACAAATGTATTCACCAATTTTGGTCACAATGAAGCATAAGACAAACAGTGACTCTTTACAGGTTCAAAATCTACAACTTAAAATTTAAATGCATATATGTTGGAAGGAAACATACACATGCACCCCCCCCATCAATTTATCCAACGCTAATCCCGCTGGCCCAGATTTGCACTTCAGTCTGCTCCTCATGATGTTATCGTAGTATCCACACATACACACATGCACACACACACACACACACACAAGTACACACCCACCTATACCCTGCCCCTCCCCCCCCAAGGTCCAACATGTGATCTATTTTAGCCATGTGACCCCGGCTGAGGAGTGGTTGCACCTGCGACCTACTGTACGCCTCTACTGTGTGAGTCAGTATTAAAGATAGGAGATGTAGGGTGGGGGGTATACGCCAGCCCACTTTAGATAGAACCGCACAGAAGCACTTGGGCTATTTCGGGAGCATGTAGGAAGATGAGCGTGGAGCATGTGCGGCATAGAGGTTTCCACGGCAACAGGTCCTCTCAATGTGGAGGGCTGATCAAAAGTAGCCGACGGGCTTGGATGCTCACATGCAGCAGGAAAGGTAGAGTAGTAGAGAATCAGAATGGAAAAAGTGGGTGGACTGGATGTTAGGCAATGCCAAAGATAACTTTTCTGGTGCAAAGTCCGCCACTAGCTTGTCACCTGGATGGATGTCTTTGCCTTGAATGTTTCAAAGTATGGCATTAAACATAGCTTCATAGACACCGCCAGTTGCTCTGCTCAGAGTAGGAATACACATTTTAAAAAGGCAACTCTAACTCAACAGAAGCAAGATAGACAAGTGTAATCCCTACTATGTAACATTACAGACAAAGCAATGACATCTCCATGGAGAAAAGCAGGTGGCAAAACCTCCATCAGAAAAGCTAGAGTGCACTGGTACCTGATTTATCCCTTGAATTTGCGCAAATTGTGTCTTGACCCTGTAGAGAGCAGCTAAGCAAATAAATCAGCTGCGTGCTGTATAATATTATATTATTTATAATATAATTTTATAGTGTAATGGCCATGACAGCAAGATCCACTCTGGAAAGTTAGTGAAAAAGCACTCAAACTACTTGCGGAGAATAATTATGCTGCTTGCTAAGGTAACTGAGGAATAACTTTGGACCACCGCAAAATGTTTAAAATGCAGTTCTGTTTTTCACATTTTCAAGACATCGTAAGATGTATGTATGCCGTTTTCGACCTTGTTCATGGGTGTTAAAGCTGGTATACATCTCAACCAAAAGACTATTTTCTAAGTAATGTCACAAACCCGCTATTTCATCAGAATTATTCACCACCTTTTCAGCCAAATCCAAATCTCGTTCTTCACACCACTTAAAAGCACTTGCTGATCTGATCCATTTCTTTTCTTGTAGGTCTCCAATCTGAAGATTTCTGGAAAGTTCACACTCAGACATCATCTCTTTAGAAATCTTATCTTGTTTTACTGCCCACCTTTACTTTCCAAATAGTGTGTAACAATGATTCATGAGTTTTCAACTTCTGGACCACATTTCTCAAAATATCATGATGTTTTTCCCGTGAGTAGATCGTAATTTGCTTGGTTAGATGTTTTCTTTAGATATTTAGATAATTTCAAGGAAAAAAAAAATGAACAAATGTGATTCTAATTTAAACTGAAAAATATATCCCTAAAACATTGTACATTGTACAAAATTATGTATTTTTAAAACGTTTCGATATACAGGAGAATATTTTAAATACCAATTACAATATTCTCATTATCGTCAATAAGGCATTCTATTCTTCAGGTTGTCTAAAATGTCAAAGATACTAGATTAAAATTATAAAGACCAAGGACAGAGGAAGAGGAGGGGCGGTGCGTGGGGGTGACAAAGAGCAGAAGAACACACTGAGAGATGATGAGCGCTGCAGATGTGATGAGCAGATGAAACGGCAGCTCTGACAAAGATTAGACAAGAGTCGCGACCAGAGTCTTGAAAATAAAAAGTTTATGACAGCCTCCCGCTGAAATAAGGCTCCAGTCCTCTCTCTCACTAAATCATGTCACTTGGCTACATCCTGTCTGTTGTCAACCTCTCACCGGGCTGGGGGCGATAAACAGCGAGCAGATTGGAAACAGATGTGGGGAACAGGAGACAAAGAAAGAAAGAAAAAGAGAGAGAGTGTGTGTGCACAGAACCAATGTAAAGGAGGTAAAAATCGTGAGTCCTTGGAGGTTTTTGAAAAGCTACTGTTTGTAGGTCAGGAGACAATGAGCGGTTTGTGCCAGAACTTAAGAGTTAACACATGTGCAAAATCTTTTCTTCAGTTACAGATTGGAAGAATAGAGTTGATACGCAAATGAAAGCTGAATAAGCAAAACGATTCTGCATAATTTTAATAATTTTTTACCACGACTTTATGAAAGCTTTAGATACAAAATAGTAACAGCACATGTTATAAAGAAATAGCAATGCATCTTCACTAAATATTTAAAATGAAGGGTTTAAAAGCTTTCAGCCCTGTCCAGTTGCATCCACGCACATTAATAAGTCATACAAACAGAGCTATATTTGTTTCCCTGCATTAATGTACAGGTTTTAAGCGTATTATTGTGCTAATACGACAAATAGATGTAACAAACTTGAAGTAATGCGGTGAAAGTTGACAGACCGCGGAGGATCCATTTGGTTAAGCCTTTAAAGTGATTAGCAGTGTGTGCACATTAGAGCGACCTACAACGATGTTCAACCAACCACGACAACAGCAGCAGCAGCAGCAGCAGCAGCATCCACACAAACAACAGTCTATCTACAAAGTATTTAAACTAAACCTAGTCTAGACCATTTAGTAAACTTGGGTGATACTGTGGAAGAAACTTACCCATTTTGAAGAAGGAGTGTAGCTTTCAGCCCCAGGACAAGACGTGAACACACACCTCCTCAGAGCGGTCCACAAGTTTCTCTGAATATAAGGGGGTAGGAGGAGGGGGAGGGGGCAGGAGGCACACAACTGGAGTGGATGTTTAAGGAGGGTGAGGGGTGACATCACGACCATGGCTGGAAATATATCAAACTATTAAATCATCATGCATTAAAATAAGTTTATGACTTAAATTCTATGTCTTTTATTGAAACAAATTCAATTAAAAAATGTTTAACATTGGTATTTAAATGGACAAAACAGCAGTGAAAAGTTTGTAAAAATACATAATTAGATCCAAGTGAAAAGTTTAAATTTATAGTGTGCAGCCTTGCATAAGGCATGCGTTATTTCTGCACCAAAGAGGAGAGGTTGTTAACAGCTAACCTGAGATGACACAAGGAGCCATGGCAACATGACACATCCAAACTGCAGAGCAAATAAAAGCGATAATTTAAATTCAATACATTTACTTGTAGCATTTAGAGGAGCAATAAGAAACCAATAACGCAATGCTCAGATTTTCTTTGAAGCAGATCTGAACCTACTTGAAGTCAAAATATTTTGTAAAGTTGGATAATTCAAACATGAGTTCTGTTTGACTAGCTGCAGTCACAGTCAATCAGAGTGCTTCCTTTAGGCTGAACAGTGCAGTGGTCACAGCTTCAGTGGGATCACAGGCCAGTACTTTGGCTGCTTCAGGTCACAGTTCCTGTCAAACGTGAGTTGCATGGCAGCCTCCATGGCCATGATTTTAGAGGCATCTTTCCCGTACAGTTTCTTCATCTCTGCGGCACGCCTCTCTCCAGGCCGCTCAGTGGGAGGGGCCACAGTGCTCCTGTAGGAGGAGCCGTGCAGGTCCTGGTCAGCGGGCACATATTCCTGCTGCTCCTCTTCCATCTGCTGCTGCCTCTCTGTAACACATGACACATGCTTTAGTGTAACAGCACTGTCACATCTCACAGCTGGAGATTAGACCATAACAAAGTGAGTTTCTGAAAACACTGTGTTAAATACATGTGCTTATTATGGCAGATGCACCTATGCATTACATTTCTGTGGCTGGCCAAATGTATAATAGATCATTAGAAATATTTCACATTTCAGTGATAAACCAGTGTATGTCCTTACTGAGTTCCTCTCTGTGCCTTTCTGTCTCAGCAAAGTACTGCCGCAGCTCCTCACTGATTTCCATGTTACTGACATCACACTCAATGTCACTGTCCGAGCTGCTCTCCTCTTCTTCCTCATCTGCCACCTCATCTTCATCTTCACTGTGGCCCTCTCCTGTGTCCCAGTCTGTGTAGCGGGCCTGGCTGCTGGGGTAGGGTTGAGGGTAGAAATGTGGGCCGTAGGCAGCTTCCAGGGCTTTGCGGTAGGCTCTTCTGTGTCTCTGGTACCAGCCCATGGCCTGCGAATAGTGCTGCCAGTAGCGACTGTAAACCGGGCTGGAGAACCACGACATCACAGTACTAACGTCCTCCTGTCATGTAAACACCATGAATTTTTTATGTGGAAATGTTTTTTTTTTAAATTTTCAAAGTAAACTCAAATCTGTAGAAACAATTTATGAACAAACTAATATCAAATCAGATTTTAATATAATCTGATGCTAATGTTAACTAAGTCTGAATAAAGTCCTACCATATTTGTAAATTTTATGAGCCAAGCTGCAAGGAGATCACTTAGTTATGTAGCATCCATATCCAGTCCACAGGAGCATCATGTCTGCATTCTGTTGACAGAAGTGCAAAAAAATGAACTGGAGGCAAAACACCGTCTGAAAATGTTCGAGCACAGAGAGAACATACTGCGTATCTGAGGTTCAACAGTTATTTTAACATTGTCTATATTACTCCAGCTGGACTATTGCCTTCATAACGTTGCAGCTACATCACATGAGGAGCTGGCTGGCTAAAATACTTCCTGGTTGAAATTTTCCCGAGATCCTTTGAGCGCTCGCTTACTTCTGCTTACATAGCGCCTCACAGTGGCCACTGCACGAAGCGCAACTTAATTCAATCTGATTTAACTCAACACGACAGAAATGATTCAAACCCGTGATTTCATGAAGTTGTCGAGTCATAAAAACTGAAAAAGCTTTAAATGGTCATTTTGCTGTTTGGATCAGAACAATTAGTTTAATTTCCGCATCAAGAAGTTTTGGTAAGATTAAATTAATTTTCATAATATTTTTAGTCAGAACTTAACACAGCAGTCAGGAGAGCCATACTGATCCACAGTTAAAAGTGAACTAATATCTTTAATTTAGGCTCTTCAGAATCGTACAGCAAGGGTCGTGCTCCACGTCCATCATGAGTTGAGCCACAGACTGTGTGTGATTTCAGAAGTGGTTTTGTGGGCTGACTAGTAACATCACGCCTATCACGCAGACATCATTATCTTTAGATTATTAGATATTACTTTATTTTGAGGTTAGAGGTTAGGTTTTAATAATAAAAAACAAAACAAAATCATCACATACATTTAACCCTCATATTTAAGGCTGAATTGTTCTCTCAAACAGAAAATAGTATGTTCCAACTTGGGATGTCATAGGGCAAACTAGGAAGTGCTCCACTGTGTTTTTAAACTTATACCATTCACTTTCCCTAGAATCATTTGGATTAATTCGGAGCTGGAATTGCCCAGTTCTCTACTAAACTAAAGGTAAAAGGAGCTGTTAACTTGAAAACTACATCCTGATGACATCACAAGGTGGAACAGAGCATTTTAAGCTTTGGAGAGGCAGACAGACTAATGAACCAGGTCAACCCACACATGCGTGAATGAAACACAACACAACTCTGGGTTGAACAACATGACTTAACGTAACGTGACTTAAAGCTCTCAAGAGTCAATTTTGTGTAAGGATATTTAATGCCATTCTGAGCTTTTTCCAGAGATGCAGTCATACAGGTTATACAGGATATTATTACCAGACCAACCAATCTCATTTTGTTTCAGGGAACACACAATACAAAAACATTGTTATCATTCTAATCATATTTTGCCCGTATGAAAGTCACTGGGTACTTTTTTTTATTATTGGCAAATGTGTGACCATGTGACATTCTAACTGAATATGTAAACATGTATTTCCCTAATTTCCCTAAGAGAAAAAGAAGAACCAAAATCTCAATCTCCAAAAAATGTTATGCCATAATTTTCAACTATTTCATTCAGAATGAAAACTTAATAGTTGATATAGCTTTTAACATATATATTTTTTTTAAAGCAATAAGCCACTTTCCAAGATTCAACCAGAGATATTTACTGAATTAAAAATAAAAAATGGATTCAAGCCACACAGACTGCCAAAGGTAAGTAAATTCATAAGTAAGTAATTCTTACCAACAATGTCTTGGGTATTGATACTTTGCAGTGACATCGCGCTGTGGGTGTTCAACATGTATCTGTAGAGTTTTCATTTTTTACACAATGCACACATTAGCAAACACAGCCAAAAATGTTTTAAAAGTCTCAAAACGCAAGATACATACATACAAAATGGATTTTAACAACACATTTTCAAGGGCCTGTGATCAAAACAAGCGTTCATGGTCTTGTTTAAGTGTTTGATTTTCAACAAAAAGGTAAGAGTGACTAACTGAATCCCCCCCAACAGTCTATAGTCTCATTTTTTTGCAGGGGGGCCCAGCGCCAGATTTGCACCGGGGCCTTGCGCGCTATGTCACTGGTTCCACCTAAGTCAGTTCTTTCTGGTGAAATGTGTTAAATTAAAGCTCAGAAAAAAGTTTTAAAAATTAAATAGAGTCATGAATACAGTTACAGCTACATGTATTATTAATGCAGATTTTTTTTGTTAGTTATTGTCGAGATTTTGTTACCACCACTTGAGAGAAAGTGGCCAAAATCATGTGCGTCAGAGGTTAGCGAATTCTGCAGTTAAACCACAAACAAAAATGGGTCATAAACGGGCAGGAAAGACTGTCTCCACACCTTTCATATGTAACAGGTTTTGACATTTCCTGCACACAGCATAGCTTTCGGTTGGGTCGAATACTGGCCAAAAGCTATGAATCTATACAGAGGAAAATTATGCTTTTTTCTATTTTTTCCATTAAGTTTTGGCAGCTCAGATGGTACTGGAATATGTTTTAAATGCACATTTTTTGGGGAGTAATTTTTTTACATTTATAACCTATTTGTATTGTATTGCAGTGTTCTTGGAAAAGAATATCGGGACAGAAGAGGACTTGACTCCACTCTGCACCAATGATGCGATTATAGCAATACACTGCAATATCAAAAAAGAAAAAAAAGAACATATTACATGTAGTGTACTCTACATACCCGGGCAAATAAATGAAACTCAGTGCGGCTACAGGATTTCACTGATGATTCAAAGCCATACTGTATACCTCCGCCTGATGGACCTAACCCCAGCGGATGGTGGAGTCTACAACTGTGAGTGCACGGTTAAGGGTAACATGTCTAAAATTCAACTCAAAGTCTCTGTGAAAGGTATAATATATTTAAACTGACAATATGAAAGTAATGCTAAAATTTATGCTATTACAAGATTTTATTTTTTTTTTTTCAGTTAATGAACAAGATGAACTTCAGGTCTCAAATAGTTACGCAAACTTGATTTTACTTTGTTCAGTTGTCTCTTCAGTCATTATATTTGGAGTAATTCTTGGTTGTATTTGCTGGATGTGTTGCAGGTAAGACAACACCAAACATTGTAAAGATAAAAGCAAATGTCTAACACTTGTATAACACATTTTAATATCTTTTACAGGCAACGATCTGAGCCTGCAATGACGGTGGGTGAATCTTTACAGTGACTACAATTTCCATAATACTTTAGGTAATAATATGTGGCATCTATTTGTTTTAAAGGGAGGAGAGGAGATGGAAACATACGCACCGCTCCAGCGGCCGACCAATGATCTCTACCAAACTATTCACACATTTAAACAATGATCAAATGTAACTTTTTGAATAATCTTTTATACTTTTATATTCTGAGCTTTATTTTTTTGTTGTAACTAGATTTTCTAACCGGGTGAAGGGTCCGCCACCTGCTTGACTCCATGAGATGAGATGTTCTTGCTTTGCCTGGAATGTTCTACAGACTTTAAACTGATCCATTTTAACAGAGAAAAGCATGTGACACGACCAGACCAAGTTACAGGTCAGATCTATGGAGAGGCAACTCTGTAAGAATGCATGTTTTTTAAGGTTGTTTTTTAGCAATAAGACAACTTTAATTGAAAACATGCAAGAGACATGAGTTTAATATCATACTGTTTAACATTTCAGGCAAAAATCTATCCGTTACTTAGTGGCCCTTTATATTATACTCTCCTTATATGCAGTTAACTGAGGTTTTTAAAAGAAAAACCACAACAGTGCAGTGCAATGGTCATATTTCCTTTTGAGTCATATTCAGAGGTTATACTGTTCAAGCTAACTTTGCAACTCAGATTTCAGATACATTTAATCTGCAATTTCTACTACTTCTCTGCAAAATGTATGAACTATTTTACAGTTTGGATTATCTATGTTGGATTATTTCCTTTTCCCATTTCCTATTTCCTATTTCTTTTTGTTTATATGTGAAGCCATATTTTTTATTACAAACTATTACATTATTGAAATCAATCTTATCTACCTTTGAAGATCTTTTTTTTTTTGTTGTTGTTTGTGTTGTACACCACATTTACAGACCGTATATGTGCCTTGCTATTCTTGTCCTGTTTAGTTAAATACAGATTTCATAAGGCACAACGGACATTTTATGCTTTCTTCTACTTCTACCACTAACTCTGTATTTCAGCAACCCAATAGGTAAATCGATATTGTTTTAATGATTCTGAGAAATTTGGTTCAAAGTATTTACTGTATATGTTGATGATATTGCAGTATTTTTTGGGAAAGCACATCAGACCTAACTTGTATTTGCACCAATGACGCAGACAGTGTCATTACAGTTGTACATTGTAATATCAAAAAAGATACTGTATTGTGTAGATTACGGTATCTATGGCGAAAGAAGAAAGAACAATGAGATCCATTATCAGACTAATTATTCAAAATCAGACTGTGTTCCTTGGGCTACCGGACCTTACACCAGTGGACAGTGGAGTCTACAGCTGTGAATCCTACGGAAAAAAAGATATTTGGGGACTACTTGTTGAAGGTATTGGCACATAACACAAAATGTTTTACTGTGTTAACAAACCACCTCAGATTATAACACGTTTTTAATTCAAATTTCTACATTTGGCTCATCTTTAGTCTTTGTTGTCATATTTGCAGCAGTTATTTAAATTTAAATCAAACAAGTGTAAAATACGTTCATTTCTTTAACAGGAAACAAGATGATCTCTACCAAACTACCTCCACCAAAAAGTGATTAAATAGAATAATTGATAATGATAATAAGTATTTTTATTTGTTTCATTTCATAATATTTTAGTAATGTTCTTTAAATGTTGTATTGTTGTTTTTTTAGGACTAATTATGGTACACAACAAAAAATTTAATTGACTGAGTTCCTGTTTATTATAACTAGGTTTCTTTAATCTATCTAATCAAAGGAGATGAAGCAGCTGGCATGTAATGTTCCATGGCATTGCTTTAAATCTATCCATCTCCATGAAAACAAGCAGCACCAGGTCAAGGCAGAGTTTTTATGCTGGCTTTTAAAGTAGTTTAACCAATAAAAACAGCTGTAACTGAATTTTAAGTTAAATGGGTTCAAAATAAATGTACCTGTGTATTAGTAGAAAGACTAGTGTCTGTTTTAAACAAAGCTGTCATAAATAACCACAGTGGTGCTTTCTCGGATCATAACTTCCTTTTAGAGAAGCAGAGAAACTGTTCTGTGTTGTGTGTGATCAGATCTATTCAGTAATTAACATCACATCTGTTGAACTGCGAATTAAGAACTTTTAAATTATTGACATCTTTGATCGAGGATTATGGACATGTGCAGAGCGGCATTATGTTTTTTACTACTACGTCCACTAACTCTGAGTTTCAGCAACCAAAAAGGTAAATCAAGAGGTCTTTTATTGTTTAATATTTTACACATCTAACAATTTGTGTTTGTTTGCAGTGTTTTTGGAAAAGCGCATTGGGGCAGATGTAGACACGACTACACTCTGCACCAATGATACAGACAATTTCATTATAAATGTACTTTGCCAAATTCAAAAAGAAGAAAATGGAGATGTGTGTAAATTACAGTATGTAGCTGGATGGAAGAATGAAACTGAATGCGACTCCAGGATTTCACTAATGGTACAAAATAACACTGTGTTCCTTCGTCTGATGGACTTAACACCAGTAGACAGTGGAACGTACAGCTGTTCATGTATAAAAGAGGAGAACATTTTAAAACTTCACCTAAATGTCACTGTTCAAGGTAGGACATCAGCACAAACACTAGTAATTGATTTTAATTAAAATGAACAAAAGTGCTACATTGTACTAAGAATGCTGTTTGTGTTTTAGATTCTGGATTGATTACAGTGAATGAACAAAACAACTTATATGACAACTACAAATTCTTGGTCATATCTACGTTTGGCTCATCTTTAATAGCCTTTATGATCATATTTTTGGTGACTTTATGTTGTATTTACAAAGGGAACTGCTGCAAGTGAGAGCATGCCAATAATTCACTTTTCAAGACAATGTCAGTTACATCTAAAACACCTTCTCTTCTTTTACAGGGAACAAACTGAACCTCCAGTGATGGTATGTGGTGATAATTGTATCTATAGAAACAGAAGAATGAAGATTACTTTGTCTAAATAACTGGTGTTTGCTCTTTGTGTTTTAAAGGAAGGAAAAGAAATAGGCCAACATCAAATGGACACATATGCAGAGCTTCAGGAGCCCACAAATGACCTGTACCAGACAGTTAGTTCCGAGGATTTAGCGGAAGTTTCAGACTCGCAACAAAGCGATAATGAAACAGTCTATGAAAACTTGTGATATGTGATTAACTACTGTATAAAAATAATACAAATATAATAGAGTAGTAGTAGCAGTAGTAGTAGTAGAAGTAGTTTTTACAGGAGGTGGGTGTTCGAGGCAGGTGTTGGTGTAGTAGTGTTAGTAGCTGTAGTAATGTAGTACTTGAAATTGTAGTAGTAACAGTAGTAGTAGTATTTGTAATATTTTTAATGCATGTGGCTTTTAAAGTTTTCAACAAATCAGTAAGGACTGGCATAGATTTTTTAATAGTAGTTACTGGTTCATGATTTGTGAAAAAAGTATTAATTTTGATAAACAGTAAAGTTCATATCAAAGTTCATGAACATATGTTTGTATTTTAATATAAATAGGACAAAGTATATAATATAATAATATAGATAATATAGATGGGATAAAGTACACTGTGAAAAACTGATCAATAACTGTTTCACTGGCTCAAAAAAGGATATACGAAATCTATCTTTGTCCAATATTGTATTTAAATAAATATATCAAAATAAATACTGTGAAAAATGTGAGCATCTTTAACACTGTACTGACATAATTTGCACAGCTTTTATGTACGTACATACGGGGTCATTTCCTATTGTCAGTGTGTGTGTGAGTTTCTGTTCTCATGATGTCACTCAAATACAGAGCGAGCACTATGGAGCTGTGCAAAGATGCTTTATGTTTTATACTTTTTCTACAACTTCTCCAACAAATCCCGTGTTTCAACAACCAAAAAGGTAAATCAATAAGTCTTTTATAGTTGGATTAACATGTTGAATATTGTCTAATTTTGTGTGTTTGTTGATATGTTGTAGTGTTTTTGGAAAAGCACATTTTGGCAGAAGTAGACATGACTCCACTCTGCACCAATGATACAGACAATTTCATTAGAAATGTATTTTGCCAAATTCAAAAAGAAGAAAATGGAGATGAGTGTAAATTAAACTATCTAGATGGACAGAAAAATGAAGCCAAATGCGACTCCAGGATTTCACTAATGGTACAAAAGGACATTATGTTCCTCCGTTTGATGGACTTAACACCAGCAGACAGTGGAATGTACAAGTGTACATGTATAAAAGAGGACAACATTTTAAAACTTCACCTCAATGTCACTGTTGGAGAAGGTATAGACTATAAACCTAGATCTGACATTTTAACTTTTTTACCACTAAATTGACCAGTATAAACTTTTATTTTAGCTCAAGAAAATGGAAATAGAAGCAATTCTGTAAAAACACCAGCTCATAAACCACTGTGGCTGATTGCATTATTTGGTATCACAATCATCATAGCGCCTCTTATACTTGTAATCTTTGTTAAAAAAGAAACTTCACAGGTAAGACATCAACATACCATATAGTCTTGTACATATTATTTATATTATATGATTTAAATAGAAATGGTATTATTCTATACACATAGGCCTATATTAAGTGGTGCAGTGGTTTGTGACATGTAGGTCTCATTTCCTGACTTCAGCTTGCACAAACAGATATGTATAATGTGGTAATGTAAACGTTTTAAATATTATCATCTTATTAATAAAATTGTGCTAATATCTATGTACATTTGTGTTTGTTGTGCCTTATTGGGACAAAGGGCGGATTTTATTCACACAAAATTGTCATGTACTATTGTAATGATAATTGTATCTATGGCAACAGAAGATATACTTTGTCTAAATAACTGGTGTTTGCTCTTCGTGTTTTAAAGGAAGGAAATGAAATGGACCAACATCAAATGGACACATATGCAACACTTCAGAAGCCCACAAATGACCTATACCAGACAGTTAGTGCCGAGGATTTAGTGAAAGTTTCAGGCTTACATCAAATCAATAATGAAACAGTCTATGAAAACTTGTGATGTGTGATTCTCAACCAACTAGAGACATTAACTACTGTATACAATAGAGTAGTAGTTTTAGTAGTAATAGGAGGAGTAGTAGTAGTAGAAGTAGTTCAAGGGGTGGGTGTTCGAGGACGAGGTGGGTGTAGTAGTATTAGTAGTTATAGTAATGTAGTAGTAGAAATTGGAGTAATAATAGTACTAGTATCTGTAATATTTATAGTATTTGTTGTAGTAGTACTGTAGTAGTATTTGTAGTATTTTTTAATGCATGTGGCTTTTAAAGGTTTAAACAAATCAGTAAAGACTGACATGTTTTTATAGTAGTTAGTGGTTCATGATTTGTGAGAAAACTATTCATTCTGATGAACAGTAAACTTCATATCAAAGTGCATCAACATAAGTTTGTCTCTGTATTTTAATATAGACTGAAGCCTTGGGATAAAGTACACTGAAGAACTGATCAATATCTATCACTGGCTCATAATGGGATATACAAAAGTTGTCTTTGTACAATATATGTAAATAAATATATAAAAACAAATACTGCGAAAAATGTGAGCATCTTTAACACTGCACTGACATAATCTACACAGCTTTTATGTACCATATACGGGGTCGTTTCCTATTGTCAGTGTGGGTGAGAGTTTCTGTTCTCATCATGTCACTCCAAAACAGAGCGAGCACTATGGAGCTGTGCAGAGACACAATATGTTTTCTATTTTTTCTACAACTTCTCCAACAAATCCTGTGTTTCAGCAACCCAACAGGTAAATCAATAAGGCTTTTATAGTTGGATTAACGTGCTGAATAACTGTCTATTGTCTAATTTTGTGCATTTGTTGTTGCGCTGTAGTGTTTTTGGAAAAGCACATTGGGGCAGAAGTAGACATGACTCCACTCTGCACCAATGATACAGACAATTTCATTACAAATGTACTTTGCCACATTCAAAAAGAAGAAAATGGAGATGAGTGTAAATTAAACTATCTAGAGGGACAGAAAAATGAACCTGAATGTGACTCCAGGATTTCACTAATGGTACAAAATCACAGTGTGTTCCTCCGTTTGATGGATTTAACACCAGCAGACAGTGGAATGTACAAGTGTTCATGCATAAAAGACGAGAGCATATTAAGACTTCATCTCCATGTCACTGTCAAAGAAGGTACAGGACTATAAACCTAAATCTGACATTTTAACTTTTTACCACTAAATTGACCTGTATAAACTTTTATTTTAGCTCAAGAAAATGGAAATGGAAGCAATTCTGTAAAAACACCAGCTCATAAACCACTGTGGCTGATTGCATTATTTGGTATCACAATCATCATAGCGCCTCTTATACTTGTAATCTTTGTTAAAAAAGAAACTTCACAGGTAAGACATCAACATACCATATAGTCTTGTACATATTATTTATATTATATGATTTAAATAGAAATGGTATTATTCTATACACATAGGCCTATATTAAGTGGTGCAGTGGTTTGTGACATGTAGGTCTCATTTCCTGACTTCAGCTTGCACAAACAGATATGTATAATGTGGTAATGTAAACGTTTTAAATATTATCATCTTATTAATAAAATTGTGCTAATATCTATGTACATTTGTGTTTGTTGTGCCTTATTGGGACAAAGGGCGGATTTTATTCACACAAAATTGTCATGTACTATTGTAATGATAATTGTATCTATGGCAACAGAAGATATACTTTGTCTAAATAACTGGTGTTTGCTCTTCGTGTTTTAAAGGAAGGAAATGAAATGGACCAACATCAAATGGACACATATGCAACACTTCAGAAGCCCACAAATGACCTATACCAGACAGTTAGTGCCGAGGATTTAGTGAAAGTTTCAGGCTTACATCAAATCAATAATGAAACAGTCTATGAAAACTTGTGATGTGTGATTCTCAACCAACTAGAGACATTAACTACTGTATACAATAGAGTAGTAGTTTTAGTAGTAATAGGAGGAGTAGTAGTAGTAGAAGTAGTTCAAGGGGTGGGTGTTCGAGGACGAGGTGGGTGTAGTAGTATTAGTAGTTATAGTAATGTAGTAGTAGAAATTGGAGTAATAATAGTACTAGTATCTGTAATATTTATAGTATTTGTTGTAGTAGTACTGTAGTAGTATTTGTAGTATTTTTTAATGCATGTGGCTTTTAAAGGTTTAAACAAATCAGTAAAGACTGACATGTTTTTATAGTAGTTAGTGGTTCATGATTTGTGAGAAAACTATTCATTCTGATGAACAGTAAACTTCATATCAAAGTGCATCAACATAAGTTTGTCTCTGTATTTTAATATAGACTGAAGCCTTGGGATAAAGTACACTGAAGAACTGATCAATATCTATCACTGGCTCATAATGGGATATACAAAAGTTGTCTTTGTACAATATATGTAAATAAATATATAAAAACAAATACTGAGAAAAATGTGAGCATCTTTAACACTGCACTGACATAATCTACACAGCTTTTATGTAACATATACGGGGTCGTTTCCTATTGTCAGTGTGGTTGAGAGTTTCTGTTCTCATCATGTCACACCAAAACAGAGCGAGCACTATGGAGCTGTGCAGAGACGCAATATGTTTTCTATTTTTTCTACAACTTCTCCAACAAATCCTGTGTTTCAGCAACCCAACAGGTAAATCAATAAGGCTTTTATAGTTGGATTACCGTGCTGAATAACTGTCTATTGTCTAATTTTGTGCATTTGTTGTTGCGCTGTAGTGTTTTTGGAAAAGCACATTGGGGCAGAAGTAGACATGACTCCACTCTGCACCAATGATACAGACAATTTCATTACAAATGTACTTTGCCACATTCAAAAAGAAGAAAATGGAGATGAGTGTAAATTAAACTATCTAGAGGGACAGAAAAATGAACCTGAATGTGACTCCAGGATTTCACTAATGGTACAAAATCACAGTGTGTTCCTCCGTTTGATGGATTTAACACCAGCAGACAGTGGAATGTACAAGTGTTCATGTATAAAAGACGAGACCATATTAAGACTTCATCTCCTGTCACTGTCAAAGAAGGTACAGGACTATAAACCTAAATCTGACATTTTAACTTTTTACCACTAAATTGACCTGTATAAACTTTTATTTTAGCTCAAGAAAATGGAAATGGAAGCAATTCTGTAAAAACACCAGCTCATAAACCACTGTGGCTGATTGCATTATTTGGTATCACAATCATCATAGCGCCTCTTATACTTGTAATCTTTGTTAAAAAAGAAACTTCACAGGTAAGACATCAACATACCATATAGTCTTGTACATATTATTTATATTATATGATTTAAATAGAAATGGTATTATTCTATACACATAGGCCTATATTAAGTGGTGCAGTGGTTTGTGACATGTAGGTCTCATTTCCTGACTTCAGCTTGCACAAACAGATATGTATAATGTGGTAATGTAAACGTTTTAAATATTATCATCTTATTAATAAAATTGTGCTAATATCTATGTACATTTGTGTTTGTTGTGCCTTATTGGGACAAAGGGCGGATTTTATTCACACAAAATTGTCATGTACTATTGTAATGATAATTGTATCTATGGCAACAGAAGATATACTTTGTCTAAATAACTGGTGTTTGCTCTTCGTGTTTTAAAGGAAGGAAATGAAATGGACCAACATCAAATGGACACATATGCAACACTTCAGAAGCCCACAAATGACCTATACCAGACAGTTAGTGCCGAGGATTTAGTGAAAGTTTCAGGCTTACATCAAATCAATAATGAAACAGTCTATGAAAACTTGTGATGTGTGATTCTCAACCAACTAGAGACATTAACTACTGTATACAATAGAGTAGTAGTTTTAGTAGTAATAGGAGGAGTAGTAGTAGTAGAAGTAGTTCAAGGGGTGGGTGTTCGAGGACGAGGTGGGTGTAGTAGTATTAGTAGTTATAGTAATGTAGTAGTGGAAATTGGAGTAATAATAGTACTAGTATCTGTAATATTTATAGTATTTGTTGTAGTAGTACTGTAGTAGTATTTGTAGTATTTTTAATGCATGTGGCTTTTAAAGGTTTAAACAAATCAGTAAAGACTGACATGTTTTTATAGTAGTTAGTGGTTCATGATTTGTGAGAAAACTATTCATTCTGATGAACAGTAAACTTCATATCAAAGTGCATCAACATAAGTTTGTCTCTGTATTTTAATATAGACTGAAGCCTTGGGATAAAGTACACTGAAGAACTGATCAATATCTATCACTGGCTCATAATAGGATATACAAAATTTGTCTTTGTACAATATATGTAAATAAATATATAAAAACAAATACTGAGAAAAATGTGAGCATCTTTAACACTGCACTGACATAATCTACACAGCTTTTATGTAACATATACGGGGTCGTTTCCTATTGTCAGTGTGGTTGAGAGTTTCTGTTCTCATCATGTCACACCAAAACAGAGCGAGCACTATGGAGCTGTGCAGAGACGCAATATGTTTTCTATTTTTTCTACAACTTCTCCAACAAATCCTGTGTTTCAGCAACCCAACAGGTAAATCAATAAGGCTTTTATAGTTGGATTAACGTGCTGAATAACTGTCTATTGTCTAATTTTGTGCATTTGTTGTTGCGCTGTAGTGTTTTTGGAAAAGCACATTGGGGCAGAAGTAGACATGACTCCACTCTGCACCAATGATACAGACAATTTCATTACAAATGTACTTTGCCACATTCAAAAAGAAGAAAATGGAGATGAGTGTAAATTAAACTATCTAGAGGGACAGAAAAATGAACCTGAATGTGACTCCAGGATTTCACTAATGGTACAAAATCACAGTGTGTTCCTCCGTTTGATGGATTTAACACCAGCAGACAGTGGAATGTACAACTGTTCATGCATAAAAGACGAGAGCATATTAAGACGTCATCTCAATGTCACTGTCAAAGAAGGTACAGGACTATAAACCTAAATCTGACATTTTAACTTTTTACCACTAAATTGACCTGTATAAACTTTTATTTTAGCTCAAGAAAATGGAAATGGAAGCAATTCTGTAAAAACACCACACCATAAACTACTGTGGCTGATTGCATTATTTGGTACCACAATCATCATAGCGCCTCTTATACTTGTAATCTTTGTTAAAAAGAAACTTCACAGGTAAGACATCAACACAGCATATACTGTACCTATATTAAGTGTAAGTCACATTTCCTGACTTCACAATGCACCACAAGTTCACAGCAGTTACCATTATTACAGTTATTGTTTGTATTGTTGTTCATTTAGCAGACAGCAATTGGAGACACAAACAGATGTGGTAATGTAAAAATGTATAATTATTATTTTTTTATTATCAAAAATGTGATTGTGCTAATATCTATGTGCTTTTGTGTTTTTAGACTGAGGAGCAAATAGAGCCATATGGCATGTTTATTGAGACAAGGAGTGGCCTTTATTCAACAGTAAAATTAATAATGTTTGAATAATAAAGATACATGAAGGAATGTTCAAATGTAACTAGTTTTTAACCTGTTTGGCCATGCGGGAGGGGGGTGGGGGTGGGGGGGGGGGGGGGTATTCCTTAGTTAAAATAATGTACAAACCATATTAAAAATCACACAACAGGGCCATGTAGTATTAAACAGAAGATAAGCAACAAGAAAAACTAAAACTGAAAGCTAACATTATAATAAATAATAAACAGATTGATTTAGGATTTAGGTACTTTACAGCTTCTTCTTTGTTACATCAGCAAAGCAGGATATAGTCTTGTAAACTGTTGTGTGTACAAATAATGGGGAAAATGTATTTCCTTGTACCTTTTTCCAGAATTTCAGAAGAATGCTGTAGCAATGTCAGCAAAGAGGGACACCTGCTAGTATTCCCAGCTTGTGTCAATCTACTTTAGTTGTTCTAGTGTTTATTACATGAGAAGTCTTCTGGGTACTTTCCTCAGTCAAGTTCCAGGTTAAATTCTATGTAATTAATTGGTAGTGATGATCTTTTTTTAGGTGTGACACGTGTGACAGAAATGTGATTAATGTAGCTCAGCTGAGAGTCAAAGTATGTATTGATATTTTTGATAAAGGTTGTATATTACACAAAACTGACTCTTGTGAGCTTTAAGTTGTTATAATGCTGTTAACTCATCAAAAATATACCTAGAGTTGTGTTTTGTTTCATTCACACATGTTTAAGCAATCCTGTATTATTAGTCTGTCTACATCTCCAAAGCTCAAAATGTCATACATATGAAATAACGCAGATCAGAGTGACGTGGCCCTTTAACTGGAGAGGCAAAATTCCCCTTACTTTTACTTTTGTTTTAGTCCTTTAAAACAGCTATGTCACAACCAAACAGAAACAAATGGAGCTTTATAGAGGGATGTGGTGCGCATTTCTGATCACAATGTACCTGGCTTTTAAAGGTGAGTGTCATATATTCTATGACAGGACGCTTATATATTCTGTATGATATACTTTTATTATTATTTTATTTCACTGATTTTATTAATTTGCTTGTTTATTTTATTTTATTTTAATTTCATTATTATATTATTTCGTTATTATTATTATTGTTTATATTTCATTTCATTGCTATTTATTTTTTGTCTTGACTACAAAAGTTTTTTTGTTTTGAAATAATTTACAAAAAATACCAGGTAATCCATTTTCTAATGACTGTATACCTGACATGCAGCTGTTTATATTCAGCCTCGGCTTCACAGATTATTGGACATGGAAATAGATCAGCTGAATATGGTGAGGACGCATACTATAAATGCAAACTGGAGGACCCAAAAGGTATTATCAGAGTTCGGATTTAAAATGGATTTTTAAAAGGTGAAACAAAATTATAAACAAAAACATTTTCACCCAACAGACGTACTCCAAGTCACATGGCAGCGAGTCTTTAAGGATAATCCCATAGAGAACTTGGCCACCTACAGTAAGCGTTTTGGGGAGCAGGTGAATGACCCATACAAGGGGAAAATCCTATTCACAGAGGCGTCTCTCCACTCCTCATCTATAACTGTGAGAAATCTGACATGGGCAGATGAAAGCTGCTACGTGTGTTCATTTAATGCTTATCCCAGCGGCTCCAAAAGACACCAGACTTGTCTCAAAGTGCAAGGTCCAAAATGTCTGTTGTCTTCATTTTACAATTTACAATTTTCATATATTTTAATACAATGTTCTTACCTTTTTAGGGGTATCAGATGTCAAAACTCAGGTGTTTGAGCCCAGTGACGAACCTGAGAACAAAGACATACAAGTAATATTTAGCTGCTCTGCCACTGGTAAACCAGCTCCAAAACTCCAGTGGGATTATTCAAAAGATGTAGCAGTTGTGGAGAAATCCCAAACGTTAGTGATGACCAATGTGGACCAGTCACTCACCAGCAGCACAAATGTGACTCTGCAGCTGTCTCCGGACTGGAGTGGACATGTCCACTGTCTCATCAATCCTGGGATGAGAGGAGAGAAGAAAGAGAGCATTACTTATACAAGAATTAAGAAGAATACTAAAAGTGGTACTTGTCACTTAAACTTGCATTTCGGGGCTCACTACGTAACTTTTCATTTCTCCATGGAGATGTTCTTGCTAAAATGTTTCCTAAAATGTTCCACAGTATGGCTTTAAAATCATGGAACAAAGCTCAGATTTAACCAAGTCAGATCTGTGGAGAGGGTCTGCTGCACTTTCAAGGTATTCTTGGGCATATTTCTTTTTTTGTCAACAATAAAAAACAACTGTTTAATGCCATTCTGTGGAACATTATAGGCAAAGCAATAGCATCACAATCGAGAAAAAACAGATTGCAGACCACCTACCAGAAAAGTTACATGTAGTGAGAGCCTATGCACCGTATTCTATCAAATTATATTTATAAAGTGAAGTGGTTATATAGAATAAGACTACTAGTAACAATCATACATGTAAGCAATTAATCATACATGAAAGTAAGAATAGCTTGAATTTACGGTAAGTACTTGATCTGAGTACAGCAAACAATCAGCTGATTCATCTTTCAGTTTCATTTCCACTTTTAGACGTAGGTTTCTATGTGACACCCTCCCTGATCTATAATAGCCCTGGAGGAAATAAATGTAGCATGGGTTACTGCGTTTGACAGATTAGGGAGTTTATCACGAAGTGTACTCAATACTTTGACCCTAAACCACGACTAAGAACTGGCTGACCCGTGTCTTTTTTGTCCACTAGATGTCACAAGTGACACAGCCATTGTTATTATCAGCATTTGTGTCATTTTGCTGATCTTTGCTGGTATTCTTTTTCTTTTAAAAAGGTAAGCACACGTTTTCTATGTTTTGTTGTGATGATAATGAGGTAATTATTAAAACTATTGTGTGTTTCAGGTTAAATCATCTACCAAGCTGTAAACAAAATGTGATATGAAATGACTATAATCACAATCATGTCCACGTCAAAGATGAGCACTGTATTTACTTTTGAGAAAGTGTTAAGGAAAGTGATTAATAATATGATTTCGGGAATTAACAGTCTGTAAATTCCAGTTCGTTAACAGTCTATGTAGTTTTGGTGTTTGTTTGTTTGTTTGTTTGTTTGTTTGTTTGTTATTTAATCTAATTCCCCATATTCCCAAGCACTCTTTGGCACTTTAACTAATGTATGTATTTTTAAAAAGCTATATATCTAGATGTATTTATTAATATATAAGATTTAAGCAACTAAACATTGTTGTGTGAATTTATTTCCTTTAATGTCAGTGGCATTCAAACAAAGAATTTCCAACAATTCACAATTATCTGAGAAGAATATAATTAGACCAGTGCTTCTCAATTATTTTCTGTCATGCCCCCCCTAGGACGAATAAAACATCTCGCGCCCCCCGCGTGACTATAGATAGTATCATTTGTCTATAAAATTGTTATAAGTACACCTCTGCGTAACACTGCCACCTTATATGACGCCAACAATGCTCGCTGGTTTACTGAAGTAGCAGTCACAAGCGGGATGATTGTCGGCAATATTCGGCACGTTTTCGCTGAAAAATCTCAAGCGGCTTATCAGAGTGATTGGGGTGTAATGTATTTAAGTGACGCCTTAATTTATTGGGCTTCATGCTGTCCGCTGCCAACATTTTTAGACACAGTAACACACCGGTCTTTCCTCGTCTCCCACCGTAGTCACAGTGAAGCCAAGCGCTACATACGCTTCGTCATATTTCCTCGTCTTAGCTTTCGGGAGATTTTTGTTTGTCTCTTTATCTCCGTCTCTCTCCACCTGTCTTCTCATCCCTGTTAAATATTTTTTCATGGTGTCACTTGAGCGTCTGCTACGCTTCGTGTCTACACTTCATACTCAAACTCTGTGCTGTGTGCAAAGCGCGCATGCTCAGTGCAAACAAAACTCCTACACCACCGAGCGAATGCTCCCTGCGCACACTCTGCCAATGAGAGCGCTCTGCCCCCTAATGTAGTGGAAGTGCAATTGCACTTTATTCTAAAGGCCCGTTCAGACCAAAGCGTCAAAGCGTCCACTTTCTATGTAAAGTCTATGTGGACGCGCGACTAGAGCGTCCTGCGTTTTTGCGGCGCGTTTTCGGCGTCAGCGCGGCGCGAATCTGGCGTCAGCGCGGCGCGTCTTGAGCGTTTTGGCGTCAGCGGCCAAGACGCGCGTCCAAGGCGTCAGCGTCAAGAAGTTGAAAATGCTGAACTTTTCGCGTCAGACGCGCCGCGTCAACCAATCAGGGACGAGTATCCAGTGACGCAGCGACGTTATTATCAGGAAGAAAGACCCGAGAACCAGAACGAGAACCACAAACACGAGCGGAGAATAAATATATACGCCACAATCACCGAGCCGAGGACTACACCAGGACCGGACCAGGACCAAACCAGGACTAGACCGGGACTAAACAAGGACTAGACCGAGACTAGACCGAGACTAGACCGAGACTAAACAAGGACTAGACCGGGACTAGACCGTGATTAGACCAGGACTAGACCGGGACTAGACCGTGATTAGACCAGGACCAGACCGGTATTAGACCAGGACTAGACCGGGACTGATCCAGTGTCATTAGCGGAGTATAAATATATATACGCCCCAGTCGTCGACCCGATCTCCTCCGTTGATGTTTTATGTCATAAAAACACTCTCTCAGTCTGGTCTGACATTGTTTCGGGAAAAGACCGGGACCGGGCTCTTGTTTCCAGGGCAACGGACGCGCGTCAAGTATTTTTGTCCCGTTCGTCCACGGCGTCAAAGACGCGCGTCGGGGGCGTCTAAACTCAAATGCAAAGGCTCCAAATAGAGGCGTCAAGGCGTTTTTTGACGCTTTGGTGTGAACGGCCCTTAAGACAGTAAAAAAAAATCTAAATAAAAAATAAAAAAGCATGTTCCCCGAGGTCAAACGCGCCCCCCTTGACGGAGCCTCGCGCCCCCCCCAGGGGGGGCGCGCCTATTTGAGAAGCACTGAATTAGACCAACATGAAAACGCTCAATGGGAAGGTGGGGCGTTTAACCGTTTGGTCATGGCGCCCTCTGGTGGGTAGAACTCCGAGCTTTTTGTCGTCCTGCCACCAGTGCACATTACTTTCACTTTCACGGCCCATGTGGACAAGGCGGGATCTCCATATTCAAAATTCAGCGGGACAGTATTTATTAAAAACAGGCGCAAACATGGATTTAATCGTTTGCGCATCGGGCTTCGTTGTTCTTTTAATGACTGCTGTTTTTCTAGAAGGTAAAACTACACCTACCTTTATAAGAATCTTCAGTATTATCTGTATGTCTGTAGCCTAGTAGATCTATGCAGAAACGTGTATAGCTTGATGTTTTGACTTCCTGATCAGATCATAACTAAAACCAAACTTCACATTAGCAGCAGTTTCATTTGACTAAAGTAGCTAATTGTTTGACTCATTACTTTTGACTTACTGGAGAAATATTTTGAAACTGATGCAGAATATATCAGTGCTGCTAAGGCGATTCTTGTGCAAATAAAAGACCAGTGTACAGAAGATTATTTGTTACATCAGATTTTGAATTTTAAATGGCGCTGAATTACTCACTTTCAATATTTTAACTCTGAAAAATATATATATATATTTCCAGTCTGAATGTTAGTAGCTGAAAATTCAAAATACAAAAAGTAACCTTTTAAATATTCAACACATATTTTCAAGTATAAGCAATCAATCATGTGTGCTGTTTCCTGTTAGCCTTTCTCTTCTGTGATTTAGAGTTAAGGAATTGAGGAGATGAGGTTTTAATGAGGCCAGTTCTGACCAATTCTGACCAAAGATTGATTCCCTGCAGCCTTTTTGTTTGTTCCTAAGTTAGAAACAAATGATCTTCCATACAATGAAGCTAAAGAGGTTGCCATACTTTTACATAATCATCATAAACAACAAACTAGTATACAAGAGAAACTTGAAATGTGTGTTGAATCTAGTCTGTGTTACAGGTTTAAAGATAGACATCAAAGCCCATGTGGATGTAGTAGTAAAGGCTGGAGAGGAGGCCCGTTTCCAGTGTCCTCTCCCATTCTCCTCAGACGTGCTGCAGGTCATGTGGCAGAAGATTCTGCCTGAAGAGGCGGTCACTGTGGCCACCTGCCTCTTATCCCAACACAAACACCACCCTAAATTCTCCCACAGGTTCAGGCTCACAGGAGCAGGGCTCAAGAACTGCTCTTTAGTGGTCCAAAATGTGACAGAGCAGGACGAGGGCTGTTACCTCTGTCTGTTTATCACCTCCTCTGATGTGGCCAACACAGGCAGAACTTGCCTTCAGATGTATGGTAAGAACTCACTTCAGTCATTTACAGCAGTGTGCAATAATATAAGCCAATGCGATTGTTTTTTTTAGACCAGATATCTTCTCTTTGCAGAGCTATATGGGCCCACCCTGAATGTGACCTCGTTGAATTCCACAGGGGAGCAGGTGGTGTCCTGCTCGGCCACTGGACGTCCTGCTCCGAAAATCACCTTACATGTCCCACAGAGACACATGACACACAACAGCTCAGTGACAAACTCTAATGGTACAGTGACAGTTGTCTCCACTGCTGTGATATCACACAGAGACACACACATCACCTGCTCTGGAACATCACCATTTGAGGTGAAGCAAGTCAATACAACTGTCCCAGGTGGGAGAATCCTTTCACACAAGTTCAGATCACAAACAAGAATATGAAATATAAATAAACAGGTATTTTTTGCTTTGGTGGCTTCCGCAGATATTAAACTAATGCGAAACACTGCCTCAGGACCAAGTGCTATGGATCCTTGTAAGTTTAGTTTGACTCTGATGTGTGTCTGTAATAATCCATCCTCAGAGCTTTTATGTTCTCTCTTAGACTTGGCCCCGTGTATATTTCTGAGCTGCGGATCTGTGGTGGTGGGTATTGTTGCTGCTGTGCTGTTGGTCAAGAAGAACCATAACAAGGAGAGGTAGGTACTAAAGCTTTGTTCAGACAGCGGTATTAGGTGAAGTATTCATTATTACACATTGTTATATATAGATTTGTTACATTTCACAGTGTCCAGAGAGAGCACAAGAACATGGAAAATGGAAATGGGTAAGATGGTTTTGCTTACTTAAATAATTTACTTACTTTTATGTTGTATTTATCCATACTTATTTATGGTATTTCTGCAGAATAACACCACTTAAGAATAACATAAAGGAGGAAAATAGCTCTTTACGTAACCGCACCCCAGTGAAAAATGAGAGTTCTGCAAAAAAGTCATCAAGAAAACTTGTTTTGTGAAACTTTAGAGGGGAACACAAGCAGTACCAACAGTGTGCATTGGTTTGTAATTTAGACCAAAACCAATCTCAGGTCAGGCACTTACCTGCTGATCTGCATGGGTTAAATGCTTCCGTAACAGATGGATCCACTTTCTGTTTACTTACCAATCAACCTGTCAATTAAGCCGACCAAGAAGTAATGAACTGTTCGATAGGCTCTCTCCTCTCAGTGAGCGGGATTGCCACATGAACAATTGATGAGATATGGCGCCTGACAAAAACAAAGTAAAAATATAATTATGCATATACTGTGAAAGATCTTTGAAACACTCAGTTCTAGACAAAAACAATTCAAGGTTAGCGTGACAACATTCATTACCATAAATAGTACATATTTCTGGCGGAATTGTGGTATTTTTTTGCTTAAATTCTTTACTTTGAATATTTTTATAAAACCTTTTGAAAATAGTTTTATCACTTGTTTTGGTTTTAATCCTTTTTGTAACTACTTTTTTAGAATTTTGTAACAAATTTTTATAGTTTTTGTAACATACTGCTTGAGAAATGAAGCTGTAAATTAATTAAAAAACGTAAAATAACCTGTCTTTGTTTCATTCAGGATTATTTGAAAAAAGAACAAAAATAGCGCAAAAAAGTAGCTATAAAAAAAGTTTCCAAGCTAGTTTTTCATGAGTGGGTAAACTCACTGACTAGTCTTCATGTAGAAACACAAAAGTCTAGGGAAGAATTGTTGAATTGATTGTAAAGACCAGGGCTCTACACCAGCAGGTAGAGCAGGAAAATCAGATGAAGACTGCTTTAGAGGATGAGAAAACAGCTCTGCTTAACACCCATGAGAAGCTGAACACAGAGCTCTCCCTACTGCTCCAAAGATGGTGAGCATGGCGCTGGAGCAGGAGCTGGAGAAGGAGCGGAAGAAGAAAAAGAGGAGGTGGTACAGGAGGCTCCTGTGCATCTAGAGCCTCTCTCACCCCTCTCACTGTTCTGGACATGAACAATAAAACATAGCTAAATAAAACTTCATGTTGTATTAGTCTTTCTAAACTGTAGTAATAGTAATAATATTAGTAATATTAGTGGTGGCCACACTCCTTTTTAATTGGCTAATTGATTGTGAGGACACCTCTTTAGTCGAGCAAAAATGTTTTCGTCTACCTATACTAGTACATTTATAAAAAGCAAACAAACAAAAACAAAACAAAAAAAAAGTACAGTTTAAAGTCAGATAAAAAAGATACGGGAGCCTCAAACATTTGCAGGTATGTTATTTTTCACTGTGTCGACCTCTAGCGGTGGAATATTAAACTGCAGACCAATTCAATAATAGGTCCTGCATTATTATTTTTGTGGTTATTAAAATACAACTTTTTTTCTTATAATAAGAGTAAAAAGACGACATCATTGACATTTCTGGTGATATTTTACTGAAGGTGCTAACACAACAGTGAGTTAGTTACAGATGGTGGCAGCCTGGTCTAAGAACTTTGGTACATTCTGTTTGACAAAAGGGCAGTGCAATAGTATGTGGAAATGTTAATGCAATACATTTCTTTACAAGTTTTAATATGTGAAACTTAAATATAACCATGTGTAATAAATAATCAAATGGTGACTCAACCTGATTGTGTTAATAGGCCTATGACTTGAGGGAATATAATCTACCAATAAATAAACTTGTGATCACTATATGGCATTTATAAACGTGTATTTTTACATTTATGTTTACATTCTTTGTGCAGAGTTGTGACTAACAAACAATGATGCACATGTCACTAGTGTGTAATACATGTGATTTGCTTAAAGGTCATATATTATGCAACTCTTATGAGCTTTAAGCCATGTTACAATGTTGTTTCCTCATAAAAAACATACATGGAGTTGTGTTTTGTTTCATTCACACATTTCAGTAATCCTACATTATTAGTCTGTCTGCATGTGAAAAGATCAAAATGCCCCATTCCACCTTGTAGTGATAATTTTCAAGTTAATATTTTACCTTTTGTTTAGCAGAAAATGGCAATTCAAGGTCTGAAATCGTCCAAATTATTTTAGTGAAGGTGTGGTGTTCCTGTATTACCAAATAACATCACATGGTTGAACAAGAGTGTTTTTAAGAGAAGAATTCAGCCTAAATATGTAGGATTTCTGTGTTAAACACTCACAATTCCAGGTATATTTTTGTTGGGGAAAAAACAAAAAATGGCAACCTTTAATAAAGAACATACTTGGTCATTATGCTTTGTGGTAATAAATGAATTACTGGTTAACTAAAGTGAATTCAAAGTGGTGACACAATGTAGATAAAAATCTATTGGAATATAACTTTAAAATATGCATACATGACATCGGAAATAAAAATGTAGATTGTAAAATAAATAATAAAGTTGTGTGTAAGCTTTAGATGCAAGTATCTTATAATTATCTGCAAACAAATAAATGTAGTCTATAGTCTGAGGGAAACTGTAGCTATTGAAGGTCTATAAGTAGTTTACATTTTACAGTTAGATTTTTCAATCTGTTTTGCATCTCTGAATGTATGTTCTTCAAAATATCTTCCCTGCAAATATAGATCAATAACTTAGAAAACAACTGTCACAACCACTGTCAGTTAGGAAATAAATTAACATCAATATGCATTATACTGTTTCATATAATTATTCATTTTGTAACAATTATTTTCTTCATGTCAAATTTGCCAAAGATTACAAATGTTCACTTTAGTTCTGTTACAATCACTTCTCGACCACACATTTAGAAAAAGCTATTTATGAAGTTTTGATATTTTTGATGAAAATACCATAACAACGATACCAAAACTTGAATTTGGACTTTAGTCAGCCATTCACTGAAAAACTCCACAAAGTTCAAAAGTTACCGCCGACAGTAATCCAAGACTGTAAATAGGAAATGCATTTATCACAACAGGCTTTTAGGAGATGCTGTAAAACAATTAAAGCGCTAATTAAGCTAAAAATTAGGTCCAAATAGGCCTTTTTCAGTTCTTCAGTTCCGAAGCCACAAAGCAGAGGTGGCAGTGGTCGCTTTTTCATGTTACCAATAAATCCGGATAAATATGTTCCTTATGAATATTTTAAATTGTGTTGGTCCAAAAAAGCAAAGTAGGTTCATAGTCCTGATTTGCAGTAGGAGAAAAGACTGATGTTTTTAAAAGCAATGGTGCATCCATAATAAATTAACACAAGAGTCTATAAAGTGGAGTCCAGTGCCATTGTTCAGTATTTCAAATTCCGCTCCGCACTGTAGAGATATGGGCATGTAATAAATTCATATCACTCTAGGCCAAAAGTGCTGGTTTCTTCAACAGCGGTCAGCATCTTCTCATAAAGCATGGAGAAAGATGGGTAAGGTGGCAGGTCTAGACGGTTGAAGCAAGTGTGAGCCCTGAACATGAGAAAAAAACAAAAACAAAGCAGAAAAAATTTTAGTGTGTAACATAAAATGGCTGATGTTAACTGGATATCTGACCTAGTATTTAGTAGACATAGTATTTCTACTCTTATGTATAGTATGCAACATTAAAATGAGTATAGTCCCACATTTTAAATAAATAAGTTCATATATGTCAAAATATCACATCCATCTGCCTCTATAGGACAAACACTGGAGGCAAGATGGTTGAAATGTCTTGCCCAAGGACACAACAGTAGTATGTGTCAGTGATTATTATTTAAGTGACAATCTTTAAAGTGGGACGAAAGCCTAAACTCCCCGCACAATCACATTTCAGAGTTACTAAACCGGAAAGTACCTGGAGGATTAAAGAAAAGACTGAGGGGAGATGAGGGGTAGAGTCTGGATATATAAGGAGCAGTGTGATTGGTCTAACAGGTGTACACGTGTCAAAGTCCGTCCCTGCAGCCAAGTGTTTGTAATCAGAAACACCTGGCTGGAATCAGGGCAGTCCTGGGTGATGTCACATAGTACTTGAAATTGCCACTGGTGGCAGCACACATTTTTGATTGATTTTGACCAGAAAGTTGAAAGTGTACATAGTTTGCACAAAAATTAAAAAAGAACCATACACGATACTACTAAAACACTGTATACATATCCCATTAGGGTCCCATTAGGGTTTGCCCACTAACTTAAAGTGGGCAAACCCTAAAATTCTACTCTGTGATCAACTATTAGTATAAGTTATATTAGTTTGAGTAGTTACCTGGGCAGGGAGGTCACTTTGCCCCACTTCTCCACACAGAATCTCCGAGGTCCATTGCTGCCTCTTAGTGCTGCAAATCCTTCATAAGGGATGCTGGAGGTCCCTGTCACAAACTAAAACCACAAAAAGTTCAAACAAAATGGCAAAAAGAGCAAATAGATAAATATAAAATCTACAAAAGACTAACCTGCAGCAGTCGTAGTCTCTGCTCATTGTTGAACCGCTCCACTGCTGCCCAGAACCAGCGGATTACAATGTGGTGGTCATGGTAACCTAGGTAGGAGGATAAAAATATAATGAATAATAATAATTAAATGAATGAATAAAACAATTGTTAGTTGCTGTCCTAATCACATGGCCTAGACAACTTCTGCAGTTTTCCAGCAGTGACTGAAACTGAATATGGAACCACCCCCTTGATGCATTTGTGACTAAATATACACATACGAATATAAACTTTTTTTTTTATTACTCTTTAACTATTCAGTAAAGATTTTTTATTGTATTCCTACCTCCTCTGTACTCCGTGTTGTTCCTCCAGTCTGACAGGTCGATCTCAGCTGTGCCAGCGATCACCAACTCCAGCTCTCGAGCATCAAACACAGACACAAGCCTGGCATCAACCACCTGACAAAAACATCACATTTAAATTGCAAGTCATGCTAAATAAAAAATGTGGTAGTTTAGAGGTGTACTGTGTAATTATTCTGGTGGAGGGTCCGTTAAATAACTCTTCTCCACAGAAATGTTAGTACTTTGTCTGAAATGTTTCATAGTATGGTATTAAATGTTTCTATCTTTATGGAGACCAAACATCTCCATGGAATAAAGTAGGTATTGGACCATCCACCAGAAAAGTTATGCAATATTGACAAGTGACAAAATTACCTCAAAAAATCCGCGGACCAAGCTTTCAGTTTGCTGCACCACGCCCCTCTCTATCCTCCACTTCACCATGCGCTCGATGTATTCTTTCTTGTTCTTCTCTGTCACTGGGATGTTGGCTCCTCCAGGCTTCAGCTCTCTCTCTGTGATCTAAACAACAGACTCTTTATATAGCAACTTACTGGAGGTTATGACAAGACGGAACGTTTTTCATAGTAGAAAATAAGCTATTTTTACATTTTTTGGATCCAACTTGGAATCATTGACTTGCATAAAAGCAGAAATACAGTACTTTTTAAATCAATTCTAATCAAACACAAAAGAAAAACATTTGCAATCTTTTTTTTTTTTTTGGGACTTTTTTTATTTGGTGGACTGTGCAAATTTCCAGGTGGAGAGTTCGCTACCATGGAGATGTAAACTTCCAGGCAATGCAAAGCAACAAGTTTAATCCCATACTGTGGTGCATTCCAGGAAAAAGCCATCTCCCTTAAATATCTCCATGGACACAACCTGGTGCTGGACTCTTACCAGAAAAGTTACCTACTGCACCTAAGTAACAACACCCAATAAGTAAATAGACAATTAAAATGTCTGACATTGGACTCTCTTATAACATTCTCAACATTAGACGCAGTTACACATACATACATTGAACAAAAATATATAAAATAAATAAATAATAATACAACTGCATAATAAATTCCTTAAACTGAATATGGTTGCTGTAATTTTGCCTTAAATACTTCAATCCGAGTGATTTGGGCTGACCTGTCCAAAGACCTCTTCGTTGACAGTAAAGGTGAGGTCCAACATGTCTTCTATGTCATTGTCCTTCATCCACTGGAGAGACTGGTGGAACTCCTCATCCAGGTACTCCAGGTCACTCAGCTCGCATGGGCTAAACCAGTCAACCAAGTCAATTAGGTTAAGTTCCCAATAAATAAGAACAATCCAATTTAGATAATGATGGGATAAGACATACATGCGCAACAGGCCTTTATAGAAGGGTCTGGTGAAGAAGGCGTCCAGGAGGTACTGGTGAATCAAAGCCAAACCCAGAATACGACCACTAAATCTGAACCTAAAATTAAAAAAAATTAAATTTAAAAAAAAAGTAGTATCAGTAGAGTATCAGTATTTTATCTCCTGCAAAAGTGTATTGTCAAGGGTGGCTTAGTCGATTAGTCTGTGTCTTAATTGACCAAAATGAATCTTAAAGAAATGATTTTCTTTGGACTATAAGGATTTATATGGTACAGCAACAGAAAAGAGAAGTGAGTGAGAGAGTAAACTGAAGATCTATTTATTTGTTGGTATTTATATGTAAAAGGGCAGATTAAATTCATGATTCACAGGTTTTATTTGTCTTTATATAAATACACTGTTTCCTAGTTCCTCTTTCTGCATAAATAGTTGTTTTTCCATGAACTCCTGTGCAATTGTAGTCTTGGGAGAGCAATTTAGGTTAGACACTCAGAAATACCTCTTCTTAGGCATGTAATCGATAAGCAGAACATGTCTTTAGTTCATTAAGAATTTCTTTAGTCAACTACAACCCAGGTATTGTCAAAAAAAAAACAGATTATGTACACAATGAACCTACCATTCGTGGTGATTATCGACAAAGGCGGACATAGGGCTTATCTGGACCGTGTAGGTGTCATTGGCGGAGTACTCAAACAGACCATAGTACGGGTTAAAAAGCTCTCTGGAAACGAGGAAGAAGAACTCTCTGGAAGGCCCACTGTAGTCCAAACTGAAAAATACACAAGTTATTTATTTATTTATTTGAGTATCTAGTTTCAATTCTAATTTCAGTTTAAGTATCTGAACAGTCGAGTGGGGGACAAAGAGGTCTCCAGGGTCTTAGGGGTCCAGAATTGAAGCCTCTTCCTAATAATTTCTATTAGAGGGGCATCCATGTCAGACGTCTTGCCTTCAGACTTCTTCTAAATTTCTATCAACAGGCCTGTATCTGAAAAACACTTATTTTGACAACTTCACTCAGCCCACAGTTCAGCTAGTTTTAACTCTTCATTTACATTGAGAGATATTTTTCAGAAAGCAGTTTTCCATCAACACGTTCCACACTCACCCTTCTTCTCCGACAAAGCTGACGTAGAGTTTGCTGCGCTGGAGATCTTTTCGGGAATAGCACATGATCTGGTTGAAAGCATCTTCCAAAAGATGATCTCGCCGAATGATGAGTCTAAGAAAAAAATAAAGATTTACTGAAAACTTATCTATAAACAAGTATGATGCCATCTACAGTACATGACATACTTGAGCTTTCCTGGACCTTGTCCATAGCCTTTTGTTTCTAGCTTCCTGTAAAAGTTGCGTAATTTAGCCTCAAAGTCTCTCTTGTAGGGGGCTGGAGCTCTGGCGTTGGCTCTCTGGGTACCTGTTAGAAAATAAAAACAAGATAAAATGGTTATATTGACAGGAGTGGGTGTCTGAATCACTATACAGGTAGAATAGACTAGACATTTCACTAGAATTTGCTGATAATCTTGCCTAGTTTTTGCCAGTTTATATATACTTCCTAGTTGGATATTGGTCATGTTGTAATCAAGGACCAAAGTTTGTCTAATTTACACAATAGAATAATTTGAAGAATACAGGTATTAAGCCTTTAATTTACTACATGAACTTTAAAACCGTCAAAAAAAAGTGCTCCTTGTGTCTAATTTGTCTCTACAGTTTGGATGGATAACATAGAGAGATTCATTTATAGAACTTAGCTCTACTTTTAACTAATTAACGATTTTTTAAAATAAAGGTAAGAGTCCAGCACCTGGTCATGTTCATGGAGCTATGCTTTGGAGATTGCCTTCCCTGGAAAGCACCACAGTATGGCGTTACACTTGCTTATTATTTAATTTTAGGTGTTTTTGTTTTTTAGGACTTGTAAATCGGCTTAGTGCTTTAAGTTTAATATCATACTGTGAAAAATTCCAGGCAAGGCAACAACATCATGGTGGCGGACCCTCATTTAAGTGCCATACAAAATATACAATACAAAACTACAGTAAATATTTACCACAGGTACAATAAGCAATCATGAGAAAAACAAAGAAATGTATAAACTCATATGCATTTTACATAAACCTGCAAAAAGAAAGTCATGTGCCTATGTTAATGTGGTTACCCGGTGAGTTCTGTGGGGAGGAGACCGGTGATCCCCGCGGTGACTGGCAGTAGCTGGGGTGCAGTAAGGCGTGTGGAGGCACATAGGACATAACCTCATCTTCAAACAAACTGGAACAATGAGAAAGCAGCAGACCATTAGCAAACAGGATAGAGGTATATTTATATAAGAGGAAGGACGCAAGCCTTTGGCAAAGGAAGCGAGAACCATGATCTCACCTCAAAAGCATCACAAGGTCGGCATCTCCTGACAGCCTGGCCAGACCCGACACCCCATCTGTGCGGATCAGCTGCACCTTCTCCCTGTTGTCATAGTAACCACATTAATCACTATAGAAATCATAAACGGCAACAGCGAGTCTCTGTCGACTGAAATCCTTGTCCGTAGGTTTAAGACTGAAGACAAGGTAAGACCGTCGCCATATCAATTAAAGAGTCAAAACAAACTATTATATTATTTAAATGGTGAAAAGTACTCAAAATGGCGCCTATAAACAGGAAGTGACAACCATGGATATGAAGACTTCAACTGTACACTGTAAAAAAACAAAATATCTACATGAGAATTGAGAATATTGTTCTTTGAGGGTTTTTATTTATTTATTTATTTATTTATTTATGGTGTCACTTATGGGTAATTCTGGTATTTCTTCTTTTGCTTTACGTCATTGTAATAAGATTATTTTTGTTACTTATTCTGAGATATTTGTTCATGGTATTACAAAAAATGTTGAAGTTATACATTACAAGAAGTTGTAAAAATATGTATAAAAACATTCTAACTAAGTAAATCCAAACAAGTGAAATTGTGAAAAATAATGTGTTGAAGTCTTCATATAAGGACTTGGTTGGTTGAACTTGTCAACTTGAGCTCTCAGTATGAAAGTGAACATGTATTATTTGAAACCACTTTATTCACACACCTGAGTGAATGATTGCGGCTAAGGTCAGGCTGTCTCTCCTGCAGGATCTCAAAGATGTTGGGTTGCCGTAGAAACGCCACAATCTTATCATTGTAAGCTGGGAGAGTAAAGTCACCCACGGTTAGAGAAAACTCATTACAGGTCTTACAAAATGGAGAATGGGTGATGTTTACTGACCAACTGGCACCACGTCCTGGCACTGGGCTCGGTTGGAGGATGTGAAGGTGTTGGACGGGCGTGGGAGGACAGGGGGGCCAGGGTGACGAGGGTCTTCACCAGCCTAACATAAAAAATTAAATTAAATAAAAAATCTGAAAAGGTGTCAAATAATACTAAGTGCAGACTATAATGGATTTTTATAGATACTGGAGCATTTGCAATCAAGGAAATTCAGTAAGATAATTTAGTAAAATGCCAGTTACATTATGTGCAGTGGAAAGGGACCACTCACCCATTCACACACAATGTACACAGATACTAGGGGCAAGTTGGATTAAGTGTCATAGATATAAAATAGATATATATGGATTGGCATTTCAGGTCATTAGAAAGCAATGGCCAAAATATAAAGGCAAATAAACTTCAAGCTAAGGACCTTACTAGTGTATCGCTTGTATGCTAAACTACACTGGGGTGGCTCTGTTATACACTAATGATCTGTGGATCTATGTGTGTCTTACCAGTCTCCGTGGGCTGACCTCTCCGGCACTGTGGCTGCGTTGGCGTGTGAGGTGGTGCCGGTGAGCAAGGATACTAGGCGGTCGAGAGCTTTGGAGGGGCAGACGGGGGTCTATGAAGGTGGTGGCCCGGGAGTTATGATCCACAAAAAAAGGCTGAAACCACACCATAGGTTATTAGTATTATTCAGGTGTTCCACAATACATCCTGAGTATTGATCTCAATCTGACATGCATCTGATAAGTGTACTCCAATATGGGTTTAATTTTTTTATTTTATTTTTTTTAACACCAACCAAAAATGAAAATGTGTTGACTTGTGCGCCGTTAAAACTAGTCCTGGTTTGGTCTTGGTCAGATCCTAACTTACTCCTGGTGGACTTCGTCAGGTCCTGCTCTTGTCCTGTCTCTGGCTGACACTGGGACCAAATCAGGACTAAACTAGGACCTCATCAGGACTAAACCAGAGCATAGCCATTACTAAACCAGGACTACATTGTTTATTATTTATTAATTGGATCCCCATTACCTGGTTGTATCCTAGTTTAGTCCTGATGTAGACTTCATTTGGTCCTGCTCTAGTCCTGTTTAAGACCTGGTATAGTTCAGATTTTGTTCCGGGTTTAGTTCCAGCTATGTTAGATGTCATAATCAACATCATTTATCTCCAGTTTAACCCTATGAATTTAATTTTAAACATCACAGGTAAATTCTACACTTTAATTCAATAACTAGACCACTTTTGTTTAACCTAAACTTTGGCAGTCTCAAATACTGTACATTTACAAAAGTGCTTAATCATAAAATAATGCAAATAATTCACTAAAATATGTGTAGAACTTTGTAGTGGTCCGTACCTTGCCAGTGTGATCCTGCTTCATCTCCCAGCCTCGGGGCAGTTCCAGCTGTTTGTTGGCGAACATGTTGAGGAAGGCCACCAGGTCGCGGTTGTGTTGGTAACGCTCGAAGTGGTGCGCATCACGGCGGACTTTACTGATCATATGCTTCAGACACGTGTTGGTGGTGAACATACGGTAGGCACTCTGAGATACACCGCAGGGGGCAGAAGATAACGAGGCAGGGGAGAGAAGGAGAGAGAGAGGGAGGGAGAGACAGTAAGAGAGTTGAGGATTCAGTGTATATAAAAGGTATTTTTTTTTATTTTTAGTTACTTCTTATATTTTTGTGTAAGGAGGTATTTTGGGACACTTTAAAGGTGCACTATGGAACTTTTCAGGCAGTGGGCCAGCATGTTACCTACTTCTCTTAGTGGAGATGTTATTACTTGGCTCGCCTTGAATATTATAATTAGTGCTGTCATGCGATAAAATAAATTGAGAGATTAATTAATTATGATCTGTAATTAATTAATCTAATTAATCTCATTTTAATCTCACCTAAAATTGCTGAGAAAAGCCTTCAATTTGAGGTATTTTCATTTAAATTCATTATTACATTATTGTGGCAGATCAAAAGACTGATATAGAACAAAAAAAGTGACTTTATAAAGTCATTTATTGTTTAACAAATCTCCCTAAATTGGCTGTTGAGCCCAAGTCTCCATGAATAAGAAACTGTTTAGAATAATTTCCAAGACATGAATGCGTTTTTACCTGTGCGCTGCTGACTCTGTTCTACTGGCTCTTCAACCTCGTCCATTGTGTGACTGACGCCGCCAACGTTAACGTGACGTTTACGTCGCTCTTACTGCGCGCGTTTTGTGTGGGTTTCCAGCAATGAGTGGAATTACCAAAATAAAAAAAATGTATAAATGTGTTTTTATGTGTTGTTGTCCCAACAACACATAAAAACAGATTTTATAATAAAGCAACTCACATACAGAAACAGTAAAGTTAGATTAAAAATTAGATTAACGCGATTAAAAAACATAACGCGCTAAATATGACTGTAATTAATTAATCGCAATTAACGCGATAATTTGACACCCCTAATTATAATATCAAAACTATCTTTGACAGTGAGACAAGCAGACAACAGTATCAGATACAAGTCATATCTGAATTGGTGACCCCATTCACAGTAAGTATGTATGTTTTTGAACAATAAAAGACCTGTAATTCAGCATGATTGCCATGGAGACAAGGATAACAAAAAGACCCACATCAGAAAAGTTACAGAGTTCACCTTTAAGTGTCCAGTTAAGATCAAGGTTCAAAGAAATGTTACCAACGGTGCACTATAGAGCAGACCCTATGTCCTTTTTCTGTCTGTATTATTTTAGGTAACTTCGAGCTATTGTTTTAAAGGTATTATATAATGCATTGTTCTGGCTCTTTTAACTACTTTTGATACCTTGAAAATTGCAGCAAACGATTCAAGACGAAAGTGGAACTAAAACCTGCCAACTGGAGTTGTTAAATGGCAATTGGCATTACACAGAACCTTTAAATAAAAGGACAACAGAAAATGTGCTAGAAGAACCTAGAGATGTGTTAAATTAAAAAGAGGAGTACATACAAGGTTGGAATGCAGCACAGTGAAGAAGTCGGGGCTGGTGAGAAACTTGGCGCTGGGAGACTGAAGCAGGAGGTTCAGACGTGAGCGGGAGCTAGACGGAGCCAGGCCAGAGTCCCTGCGCAGATCTGCAACAAAAAGATTTACAATATAAGGTGTTGTTTAGTTTAACAAATAGATGGGTGGAGGTAATTAGTGTTGTTTTATACTTTTTTGAAGCAGGTTTTGCTCTGGTTTAGTCCTCATTTTAGTTTGATGTTATTTAGACCAAATCAAACCCTGATATGAGTCTACTAAAGTCCTGGCCAGGCTGATGACAGTTTATGAGGAGCCAAATAAATAAACAATGAACAATGTAGTCCTGGTTTAGTACTAGGTAAGTTCTGATTTAGTCCATGATATAGTCTTGGATTAGTCCTGATGAGGTCCTGATTTAGTCCTGTTTTAGTTCCTGTGTAGCTCCGGTTAAATCCTAGTTTAGTCCTGGTTAAGTCTTGGTTTTGTCCTAGTTGAGTCCTGGTTTAATCCTGGTTTAGTCCTGATGGGGTCCTAGTTAAATCCTGCTTTAGTGCCAATGTAGTCCTGAATAAATCTTGGTGTAGATCAAGTTCATAGTCATTTTAGTTCAGTATAGGCTGAAGAAGGCTGAGTGATGCGCATAGAGAGTTACCTCCAGTTGAAGGCTGCATATCCGTCTCATCTGACAGAAGCTCGTTGGCTGGCTGTTCCTCTGGCCTGCTGTCATTGGTCATAGTCCTGCGAATACTCTGATACCTGGAAATAGAGACCAGATCCTTATGTAACTATGAGTCAATAAACAACCTAGCTTTTATCATCAAAACATGGTAATTTTTTTCACCTGCGATTGAGCTGCTCCATCTGCTGTATGGAGTTGGACCTCTGCAGAGTCTGAGGTGCAGGGGGCGCTGTGGGACGTTGCCAAGTTGTGGTTCTATTCACATGGTCCACGTAGAAGATGCGCCCGTGACTGTCAATACGCGCTTCCCAGTCTGCAGAGGAGAAGAAGAAACAACATGCAACATTAGGGAGGATAAACAACTAATCTAGCAGAGATTTCCCCGTCTGTTGCACGCGGCGATGACAATGTGTTAACAGTGTGTTAAAAAGAAAGTACAAGCAGCCTGGCACAGACTGCACAAGCTTCTAGACTCTTGAATAATTGCTTCTGGGAAAGTAAGATGTTTATTATGACTGTAGCGTTAACTTTATCCATTAATTCCAAGTGATAAAAAATAAGGCTGTTGCTATAACTCTAAAAAGTTGAAAACATAATATTTTTGAATGTCATCAGAACAGCATTCAGCACATTTTAGACTTATTTATTTATCTATCCATTCCTATACCAGGGAGTTAAAAGTTCCCTACAGCTTTTCTGGAGGAACATTCACCACCAGCTTGTTTCCATGTTGATATCAATGCTGCTTGGTATGTTCCACAATATGGCATTAAACTTATCTCTACTAGATCACAATTCACAGGTCAGATCTGTGAGAAGATGAGCCTTCTCACAACTATTTCTACTTTGATCTATGTTGTTATTATTATAAAGTTGTTTCATCATCAAGAAACATACCTGGAGTTGTGTTTTGTTTCATTCATACATGTTTAACACACAAACGGAAAACAATCTGTTCCACCTTGTGATGTTCACTAGACTCATTTGGACACTTTCAGCCCTGGAATAGCCAATCTCTACTGAACTAAGGGTAAAAAAAAAACTCTTAACTTGAAAACTACCACTACATGACATCACAATGTGGAAAAGAGCATTTTGACCTTTGGAGATGTTAACAGAGTAATAATAAAGGATTACTCAAATATGTGTGAATGAAACAAAACACAATTCCAGACATGTTTTTGAGGGGGTAACAGCATTATAACATGACTTTAAACTCACAAGAATCCATTCTGTGTAATATAGGACCTTTAAGTTTAATACTGTGGAACATTCCAAGTAAAGCAGCATCATCAAGCAGACCCCACACCTGAGATGTTACATTCACCTTTAACTAACAATAATGATAAAAGAGAAATGGCAATTGTGCAAAACCATGTAACAGTATAACAACAATACTCACTTGGGGGCAGTGGCTCATCAACCCGCTGGTATCTGCTGATGTCATGGTGCACAGATGGCAGAGTGCGGACAGACGGGTGCCCATTGACCTGAGCTGTGCCCCCTACAAACACACACACATAACATAACATATGATGACAATACAAGACAAAACATTGCAATTTTAATCAGAAAGGAAGATTTATTCAGTCTCTAGTATGCAACACTTCTCATCTCTTTTGTTGTAGCATGATTTTTTGACTACAACAGTCCAAAGGTTAAACGACCACAACTGTTCCCTCTGTAATCCAGTGGCGTTTGGCAGCAGCAGGGCACTTGTTCTCCACTGCACAGTTTAAATAAAGATGAGGTCTTTCAAAATCCTCCCGAGGTCAATCCTTCAAACTGGTGGAAAGCCAGGCTAAATTGTGCAACATTCTGCTCTATTATTTGTAGCTCAGACAGAAAAAACAACAACAGTGGTTCAACAGTGGTTCGGGTAACTGTTTTAGACAATAATGCCATAGAAAAATTTGTATAATGACTAAATGTTTAATTTATTTTGCAACTTTGAAGAATTAGCGGACTTTCTTATGGTTTCTAAGGATTCTTGGAAATGTAGTTTTTGGTCTGTCTGTGCCTTCCTAAGAACTACAGATAGAAAATTGTCCTTGTTAAGAACTATTTGGTAGGTTAGTCCCATATCAAATCTGGTTCAGCCCTAGTTTCGACCTTGTATATTGGTTTCAGATAGATTAAAAATTAGGACTGTTGCCTCAGCAATTAATTTAAAGGGTACCATATTACACAAAACTGATTCTTGTATGCTTTAAATAATGTTATAATGCTGTTACCTCCTAAAAAACATACCTGGTGCTTTGTTTCATTCACACATGACCCTCTAGTCTACATTTCCAAAGCTCAAAATGCTCTGTTCCACCTTGTGATGTCATCTGGTAGTTTTCAAGTAAACAGATAACTTTTACCTTTTTTTTTTAAAGTAGATATTAACAAGAGGACTAAAATCATCCAAATGATTCTAATGATGGTGTATGGAGTTAATAAACAGAGTGGAGCAATTCTTTTATTACCACATGGCATCATAAGGTGAAAGTGGATTTTTGTTTCTGTTTGAAAAAAGAACACAGCCTAAAAATGCAAGGTTTGTGGGTTAAACATGTCTGAATGAAACAAAACACAACTCCAGGAATGTTTTTGATGAGGAAACATAATAACATAAATCAGAAAACAGCATAATATGGGTCCTTTAAAACCCTAAAAATATCACATATAACTGAATATGTAACATATAAACAGTTAGGACCCAGAAAGCTAAATATTTTGTGAAAAGTTTGAGACAGTGGATAAGAGATGAACCTGAGTCTGAAGCTTGATTTTGACCTCCAGCGGCCTGTAGGGAGCGCCGTCTTCTCCACACACCCCCAGCCGCCTCCTCGCTACCCTCCTGCTCCTCCTGCCCCGCCCTGCTGCTGTGGCTGGCTCTGGTTCCTACAAACAGGTACATGTTGTCATCACAGGGCAGCTCTGAATCAGTCCAGATGAAATATTCTTTTAATAAACACTAGGTATACCAGAGTCTGAGGCTGTAGTCTGCTCTGTTGTGGCCGATGTCTCTACTGGACCATTGGCCTCACTGCTCGATGACTCCACCCCCTCCTCCTCCGCCTTGGGGGCCAGCTCTTTCCCCATGTCCACCTCCTGCAATATTAGAAAGAGATGATTAGTAGTAGGGCTTGTAAAGTACAGTTTTGTTCATCAAGTATTTTTTCCCATTTAATTTTTATTGGAAACAAAGGAACATAATATACTTTACACTGACACAGCAACACCTCATCTACAGACCCCTTCCAAAAATAAACCAATCATGTATTAAAAGAAACAAAAAAGCTTGATAATAACAATTAAAAAAAATAATAATGATAACAAAACGAGAAAAAAAAAATGCTCATAGTAATAAATGAAACAATGGTTTCATCAGGTCACAATATTAAGTATGAAATATGAATTAAAATATATAAAAGACGAGTTTCAGTGATTTTTTTCTTTACTCAGTGTTTTCCATTTTTGCCCCCATAGTCTAAAAACAAAATATGGTAATACAAATTATATTATATATTTAATTTTATATTTTATGCTAGAATTATTGTCATAAAGAAGTAACTATAGTCTGTATCACAACTTTTTTGAGCAGAGGAAGCAACAAGTGACATTTATACTCCAAAAATTTTATTCAGTAAAATTATTAAAATATGGATTGTTTGTGTTACCCTACTCTCCTGTAAATCTGTGGGAAAACTGTTACTTTTCATACATTTGAGGCCAATTTACCTGTCAACACAGTGAATTTCTCTCATAACAATACAATAAATATAAAAAACATAATATTAATTAATTATTCAGATGTAGCAGTACTGTATTAGCTGCAAGTGGCTGTTGTATTATTAAGTGTAATAATGTACATCAATAGGTGAACATGAGTGCATTAACTTTGCCTCACCTCTATAGGAGACAGGGGCCCACATGTCAGAGCAGAGCTGCACAGTACTTCCTGGTTGGTCCTGCTTTGGTTGGGGCAGGTACACTCCAAACCAGGGCTCTCTGTGCTTGCTGCTGCCCCACCCTCTGCACCTTCAGGCTGGGGTGGACTTGAGACAGCTTCTCCCTCTGCCTCTCCACTCCCGGATGGAGAACTATCAGCAGCAGTAGCAGTAATGGTGGTAGTTAGCGTTCCTTCCTGGGTCTCTTCTTCAGCTGGACCCCCTGATGCTTCCGTCTCTGTGGTTACAGACAGACCACCTGACGAAGATCCCGCCTCTTGGTTGTCCTGAGATACACCACTAGTCTGCTGCTCCTCTTTCACCGCCCCATTCTCTTGTTGCATTGTACTTCCTTGGCTTTGTTCTCTTGGCTCTGCTCCCGTCTCCTCCTCCTCATCTGAGTCAATGTGCAGCATGGCATTCAGCCTCGTGTCCGTGGGAAAGCTAGATCTCAGTTTGGGAGAAGGTCCAGCCAAAGTCCTCTCCTGTGCGTTCCTCTGTGCCTCCAAAGCGTCCAGATAGTCATTGAGCGATACCTGCCGATGCGTGTGTCTCCCCATCGCTGCAATGTCGCTATCCCGTGGGTGTCCTGGCTCTGCCCACACATCGTCGTAATAACAGGACCCATTGACCAGCAGGGAGCCCTCCTCAGAGCCGGTGGGGGACGCTCCGCAGGTGACCCGAGAGGAAGAGGAGGCGTGAGGGAGGTCTTCGTCATCTGAGGGGCTGCCTGGGTCACCGTTCACAGCACCGTCCAACATGGCTCCCACTGTGTCAGGAGAGGCCTCTGAACACATGGAAGAAACAGCAATTGTAAATAGACAGTAACTTTTGATACACAATTTTTATTCACATTATTCCTTTTCATATTTGTACTATTATTTGGCAACTTTTTAGCTATAGTACACTTCTATTCGCTCTTTGTTATTAAGAACATATAATATATAAAACATGATTCTGATAGTGTAATTTATGAGCGTGTCCAAGTAATTCCTTTTGGATAAATAAAGTTTTAAAGCCTGTTGGTAATATTATGATATTTACCATATAGAGAATTGTTATTCTGACATTTTATAATAAATATAGCCAGTCGCCTGTGGAAAGAGGAGTGGGACGTGGGCGGGGTTTATTTTATTTATTTTTTGTCAGCTTTTATTCTGTTAAATATTAAACTAAAACAAAATAAAATAAATAAAATAAAAATAAATAAAAATAAAAATAAAAACAAAATGAATATAGCCAGTCCACAAAGTTTCTATTACTGTATTTATGTGTTTATGTTAATCCATATAAATAAATGAGTACTTAGAGATTTGATTTGAATGAAGAAAGGGCCAAACTACATATTTTTGTTCTCTGGTAGTTAGATAATAATCTTTTTAACTGGCTGTTTTAGTTCTCATAGCATTACAAAGTTATACATAAACAAGAGTTAGACCTTCTTGTCCAGTGGAGGTAATGGACACTCTGAAGTGCAGCTGACCGCTCATGGTCCGTGGGCAGGCGACGGCAAAGGCTGTAGGTGACTGGATGATCACTGCAGAAAACAATGCTATACAATAAGTAACTAAGTATTACTATATCCCATTTATAAATATTCAATATCCTTTACTAATATGTCCTATATTACATAAAATTGACTCTTTTAGAGTTAGAATTTTGTTACCTCATCAAAAATATATCTGGAGTTGTGTTTTGTTTCATTCACACATGTTCAAATAATCAAGTAAGTACACATTGAAAAACTTCCTGTATTACTATATGATATCACAAGGTGGAACAAAGTTTTCTGTTTGAGAGAAGAACTCAGCCTAAATATGCAGGACTTGTGTGTTAAACATGCGTGAATGAAACAAAACACAACTCCAGGTATGTTTTTGATGAGGAAACAACATTACAACATAGATCAAAAAATGTCATAATATGGACCTTTTAATCCTAAAATTTGTTCGCAGAAAAAAATTAGCTCAATAAAGTAGCATGCGTTGTCCAGCACTGCAGATCAATAGCTAACCAACAATAAACTAAATGGACTACATTGATTTATATTGACCATCCAATTCAATCCAGTGCTTTTAAAAGGTCACTCATTTGTTTCTTTTCATTATCCATGTTATTACAAACAGCAATTTAGACAAAACAACATGTAAATAATAGACATACTCTGAAGCTGGTCCATCTAGCAGCCTCTGAACAGGTATTATCAACTGGCCCAGGAATCTCTTGATAATTGGACGGCTTTTAGCAAACTTATCCTTGACTTCGATTTCCAGTACGTCTGTCATTAGCGCCACAAAGGTGTATTTCTGTAGACAAAAACACATCGATTGAAAGCAAAAACCGTCAACATTTTGAAAACAACAAAACCTTATACTGAGTGATTTTGGCAGACCTCTCCGTTCCACACTGGGTTGATGGTGTTGGAGATGATAGAGGAACGTCTCTCTTGCCCGTGGTGAGTGAACTTGGGCATTCCGCTCCTCTTCCCGGGCAGGATGGACATCTTCAGGTAAGGGTCCGGATTGAAGAACATGCCCTTCTTCAAGCCCACTGCTGCAATGTCTGAAAACCCAATGTAAAGATTACATTAAAAAAAATAAGATACACTGTGTAACATTTCTAGTGGATGGTCCATCCCTTGATGTCTCCATGAAAATGTTATTGCTTTGTCTAGAATGTTTTGTCACAGTATAGATTAAACGTATTTATCACGAAGGAGATAAGCAGGTTACACTGCTACATTACAATTCAGATCTGTGGAGAGTCGCCCCTATTCACAGAAGGAATGATGGTTTTTTTTGAGCAATACAAATACTTGTAATGAATAAATGCTAGATGGAAATGTTTTAGGTCAAGAGACAAGCAGTTGGCAGACCTCAACCAGAAAAGTTGTACAGTGCACCATTAAAGTATATATTTTTTTTGGTAGTGGTAACCCTTGAATCTCAGATGTACATTGCTTGAACATGAGCAAGGTTTGAATATTATGCTGTGCTTCTCTCTATGGATATGCTATTGCTTTGCTTCCAGTAGTCCGTAGTATAGCATTAAACGTATCTATCTCCATCTCCATGGAGACAAGATAGAAGTCAGATCTGTGGAGCCCTCCCACAGTAAGCTTTAAAGTATTTTTAAGCAATAAAGACAGCTACAATTTTATAAATGCAAAATACATTTAATGCCATAGTGTGGAACATTTCAGGCAAAGCAATAGTAGGCTGTGCAATAGAAATATTACAAAGTGCACCTTTAATAAACAAAGGTATATCTGAGTAAGTTAAGTAAGTTTATTTCCATTTGTCAATTTTATATTTTCATTTCAGAATATATTTTGTAATATTTTTAATTAAAAGTTACGAAGCAAACTAAATATGAATGCATAATTCACTTTGCTATTGACCTTTGCTATTGCTGTGTTTTATGAATTGAATCGAAAATGAAAAATTTTTCTAAAAACTGAATAAAAAAAAAAAAATCACTCATACCTGACAAAGTGAAGCTGACAAGTTTGCGGCAGTGCTCAGTTCCTGATTGGTCCTCTACTTGTCCTTCACTGCCCACCTGAAACCAAAAAAAATTATGTTATGAAAGGACTCAAATTAACATTTTAGAGGCCATTCCTAAAGTTTGATTAAAACTAGTGCCCTGCGTCTGTCTATCTTACTTTGTGTCTCCAGCAGTCCAATGACATCCTGGTACTGCATCCCTGCTCTAAACTCTTCAAGGCAAGTTTGCACAAAAAAAGGAATAATTCACTCAGTTCCATTCAAATAGAGTCTCTAGACATATCTGGTCTAAAAAGAAATATAAAAATGTGCAATATAAAAATATATAAATATAAAAATACAAAAAATATGGATTTCCTTTAAAACAATCTGTTCCCAAGCGGAGTGTGTTATGTGTGTTTATTTAGGCAGTAGAATGAGGAGGGAGGATCTACGCCTGATAATCTGATCACTGGGCACTGGAAACCAATCAGATGGCAGGATTAGGGCCGTGGCAGTTTCATATCAAATCGCGCGCGCACACACACGCACACACACACACACACACACACACACACACACAAACAACAAACACACATACACACAAGTGGGGCAGGGAAACAAAGAACCACATGGCTAAAGGAAGGGGGAGTGACATAAAGATTGTCTCAATATTACCCACATATTTAGAATAAATAGAAAGGAATACTGTTAAGGAAGTAAGTCTAAAAGATTTCAAACTGTCACTCTTACATTAACTTTGAGTTTGAATTTATTCAGTAATTAAATGTATTTATTTGTCTATTTATTTTTGTAGATCTTGGATTTGATATGCTTTAATGCATATTTATTATGTATATATGTATTCTTCTATTGAATGAATGTATTTGAACATGTGAAGAAACATGGTGTAAGGTTTTGACTTTCTACCTTTGTTAGAACATTGTACAGTTCGTTACTTTTTTTTTTCACCATAGTTGTATCTGACATAATTTTCTTGTGTCTTAATAAAGTAAATTAACTGATAGTTGGAGTACTTACAGTGACTCCTGGGTTCTTGACGGTGATACAGGGTGTGGTGGCTCTCAGCGCTCCACTCACTCCATGGTAGTATTTAAAGCAGACCTTCGTCTCCGCTGTGGGCACGTCATACAGGTTTAATCTCCATTTCAATACGGTCAAATGTATAGAAAGGGATTACATCAAAGATGAAATATATTCAATTGTGCAATGAGCCAAAAGAGTGGATTTTCCTAAATTAAAGTTCCTTTCACACACCCCAATGGCAGTATTATATATTATATTATTATGTATTATATATAATTAATTTGAATACAAATATTTTATGTTTGTATGCACAGGTTTGTTTCTTATCATATTGGGTATGTATTCTTAGTTGTTAACCAAAAAGATTATATGGCATATATGTGGATATGGCAATGAGAAAAAAAATTATTTAAAAATGTAGTAAAGTTGACCACACTGCAAAACAAAATTCAAAATAAGGGAGAAAACGATGCTAAGGCTATTACATAAATCAGCTATAAAGACTATAAAGGTTTTAGTACTGCAGGTAAAATCGTATGCTGATTTACATAGAATATGAACCTTGAGAGTGAGAATCACAACCCACGTATGCATATTTTGTAGCTATTTAACATGATTTGAAAACCTTGGTGCTTGTAATTTAAATAAAACAAAGATAGGACAGTAGGGCAGTCCACTGAGTCTATTTAAGGTTTTTGTGAGCTCTGAGAAATGGGTTAAGCCCCTCTCCGTCTCAGCTGCTCGCTCTTATTTTTATCTCTCACATTAAAAATGCATGTGCACAATTAACACAGAGGCAGAGCAGCCCACTCACCCTCCATGAAGTAGGGTCCCGGCTCCAGTCGCCACACGATCTGGCCCCTTTGGGTGCCATTCACGCCGCGGTTCTTTGAGTCCCATACATTTGCCACGCATGTCTCATCTGTAAAACACAACAATTCAAATAATATTTTAGTTTTAATACAATAAGATTTGAGCTGAAGAGTGCTGAATAAGTCACTTCTATGGTTATTGGTTATTAGTAATTTATTTGTTGCAACCCAAGCCTTTTACTGATATAGACTAATAAAAAATATTTATTTGCTTGGATTATTCTGCTTTACCGCTTTTGTGTCAGTGGTATAAGGTAGTTTGAATATTATTGTTCATCATTGTATTTCTCTGAAGCAATATATCATGCTTCAAATTTTGTTATCGTGACAGGCCTACTATTTTTGTTATTGATTGGAGCAATAATTATAATCTTGATTAAACTGTATTATCTGCACAGCCAACATTTAGTTAAAAAGTAAATTAGCATTACATTCCATTGTTGTGCGTAATAAATCACACAAATCAGTTTTTCAGTTTCAAAGCAATTGCTTTAAAATCCCATTTGTACATATTGACTCAGAAATGACCCCAAAGTGGCTATTGTTGCTAAATGTCCACCTAAATCAACTAACATTGATTGGTTCGATAATGTATAGATAATTGGACATTGTAAATACAGGAAAGTGCAGTCCTGTTTCTGTTAATCACATAATAAATCAATATTTGGATTGTTGTGGAGCAGTGTATATGAGGACACTGGAGAGGCTGGTCCTGGGGGAGACACAGCCTGGGGTCATAAAGCACAGTCCCCTGGTGTCTGTGGTCTTCAAATATTAATGCTGTGTCCAGTGTAAAGCATGACAAACAGCCCATGTCCTTTTAGATCAATGCAAACCCTCTCACACACATGTATCCTCTATCTACAGTACGGCTCTGGCCTCAGTCCCACAGCTCAGTGTTTGTAGTGGAGATTTCAACACCTGCCTGGTCTGATACGCTGCAAACATCAGCGATCAAAAATATACTGCTGTGTCATGATTTCACAATAACACAGCACAATAGCACAATAACATATTTTGAAGTGTGATCATACTTGATAAGCAGTATAATCCCAGTAAACCTTTTTTTTTTTTTTTTTTTTTATAAATGTGCCATATACATCATTAATAAAACATGAGATGCAATAAATAATAAATAGCAGAATAAAACACTTTACTTCATATCTACAATGAGCTGTATATGAAAAATATTCAAACTGTTCACCATCTCAAATGTTTACTTGCTTCAAAATAATAAGTTCTGTTCAAAGATTAATACATAAATATTGAGCTTCAAATGTTATAAAACAAAAGTATTTTATCTTGAATTGAGTGATTATAGTTTCTGGCCTACATAACATCTCTGTCAGGGCAGTGAGCTTCTGGAGCTGGTGTAGCCTGGTGGAGCGTGGCCGACTGCCAGGCTGCAGACAGGGCTCGCCTCTGGGGAGAACAGCCCCAGAAACTCCCTGTGCCTGGGTCAATACGAGCAGAGCTGGAGCAGAGTGAGGAAGACGAGAGATCATGTTTCACTCATGTTTGCACGCCTCAATAAACTATCCGTATGTGGTTGCTAAACTGGAAGGGGCTGCTGGATTTTGAAACATTTAAAACATATTGGAAATTATCAGTATTCATGCACTGTCAAAAGTTAAAATGTTAAGGATGTATAAATGTATTAATTATTCATTTATTAATAATGTTTGCCATTCATAGTCTAAAAGCCACTGTAGGATAATGTCTCATTCAGAACTAAGGCTGTCAAATAAAACTGAGACAAAAAAGCAAAGTAGTCTAAATGATTAAACCTAGTATGAAAAGTAAATTCTTTAAAGTAAATTAAGTATCGATACTGAAAAATTACATATATAGGACAAATTTAGACCTTTTTAGAATAGCTTTAGAATGGTCCTCTACATTCAGTACTCTTTTTTAACCACTCAGTACTAGTATAAAATATAATAATGATGTATTACTAATTATTCTGTGCTGAAAATGACATTGTATTATTTGATACTGAAATCGATATTGAGCATTTGCCATAGTATAAAAATTTTGTTTGAATTAATAGTTAAGTGACAACAGTTTTAATAAGCTTAATTACAGCCCTTATACCAATACAAAACATGCTCTTTGTAGGTGAGAGAACCTTTGTAACACTGTAAAATCTGCTTTTCACACACTGACCCAGGGCACCACGGCGTTTAGCACACAGCGGACCTCCTACGGGACTCTATTAACCTCAAGTCACTGGAGTTGGACCAAAGTTTAACAGTGACAAAACATAATAAATTCTAGGACAAACTATAACTGCTCCTAAATGCTGACACTGCTGAGTCAGTCCCACTTCTCAGTAAAACAGGACGCTGCCTTCTCCCACTCTCTCACACAATCCATTAGCGTTTACTGTAGCTGTGGCTGAGGTAATGCTCTAACCTTGAGGAGAGGAGTTATGTTGCAATCTCCTCTATATGATTATACTATGAAGATGGAGAGGTGACATTTGGGAAAGCAGTAGACACAAACTACAACTTAAATGTAATTGTAAACACTAATAATAAGATTTAGGGATTTTTGTTGTGGTTAAGGATATATGGGAGCGTTGGAGGTTTAAAATAAAGAACAATAAAAGTTGTTTTGGGAGATTTAAATGACACAAAATGGAGGAGAGTGTAATATGAAGTTCAACAGGAAATGGGGTTGGATGTGCAGTTGTAACAGATTTTCTGGTGGAGAGTCTGACACCCGCTAGTCTCCATGGAGATGTTATTGTTTTGCCAAGAGTGTTCCGCAGTATGGCATTAAACTCACCTATATTCATATAGGTGAGTTTAGGTAATCAGACGGCCAAGTTACAAGTCAAATCTGTGTAGAGGTATTCTTTCAGGAGCAAAAACAATTGTAAGATAGATATATGTTTAATGCTATACTGTGGAACATTCCAGGAAAAGCTACATCTCTATGGAGACAAGTTGGTGTACCTTTCATCAGTTGAAAGGCCAGCCAGAACCACATACTTAGACAAAAGTTTACAAAGACGAATGGATCTGGAGCTGTATCCTATCTCCCAGATTTCAGAGGGTGTGATTAACCAATCAGAGAGATGCATGGGCATACAGGTTTATGGGTTAAAAAAAAGAAAAAAATAACATAAAGGACTAAGAAACAGCACATATTTTTACAGAATCGACTACCAAAGCATCCATCCATCCATTTTCGTCCGCTTATCCGGGGCCGGGTCGCGGGGGCAGCAGCCTAAGCAGGGACTCCCAGACTTCCTTCACCCCAGACACGTCCTCCAGCTCCTCCGGGGGGACCCCGAGGCGTTCCCAGGCCAGCCGAGAGACATAGTCCCTCCAGCGTGTCCTGGGTCTTCCCCGTGGCCTCCTCCCGGTGGGACATGCCAGGAGGCATCCGGAACAGATGCCCGAGCCACCTCAACTGGCTCCTCTCGACGTGGAGGAGCAGCGGCTCTACTCCGAGCTCCTCCCGTGTGACTGAGCTCCTCACCCTATCTCTAAGGGAGCGCCCAGCCACCCTGCGGAGGAAACTCATTTCGAGCGCTTGTATCCGCGATCTCGTCCTTCCGGTCACTACCCAGAGCTCATGACCATAGGTGAGAGTAGGAACGAAGACTGACCGGTAAATCGAGAGCTTCGCCTTTCGACTCAGCTCCCTCTTCACCACAACGGTCCGATACAGCGACCGCATCACTGCCGAAGCTGCACCGATCCGCCTGTCAATCTCACGTTCCGGCCTTCCCTCACTCGTGAACAAGACCCCGAGATACTTGAACTCCTCCACTTGAGGCAAAGACTCTCCACCCACCCGGAGAGGGCAAGCCACCTTTTTCCGGTCGAGAACCATGGCCTCGGACTTGGAAGAGCTGATCTTCATCCCAGCCGCTTCACACTCGGCTGCAAACCGCCCCAGTGCACACTGCAGGTCCTGGCTCGATGAAGCCAACAGAACAACATCGTCCGCAAACAGCAGAGATGAAATCCTGTGGTCCCCAAACCGGACCCCCTCCGGCCCCTGACTGCGCCTAGAAATTCTGTCCATAAACACAATGAACAGAACCGGTGACAAAGGGCAGCCCTGGCGGAGTCCAACATGCACCGGGAACAGGTCTGACTTACTGCCGGCAATGCGAACACAGCTCCTGCTCCGGTCATACAGGGACCGGACAGCCCTTAGCAAAGGGCCCCGGACCCCATACTCCCAGAGCACCCCCCACAGGACACCACGAGGGACACGGTCGAATGCCTTCTCCAGATCCACAAAACACATGTGGACTGGTTGGGCAAACTCCCATGAACCCTCGAGCACCCGATGGAGAGTGTAGAGCTGGTCCAGTGTTCCACGGCCAGGACGAAAACCACACTGCTCCTCCTGAATCCGAGGTTCAACTATCGGCCGAATTCTCCTCTCCAGTACCCTGGCATAGACCTTACCGGGAAGGCTGAGGAGTGTGATCCCCCTATAGTTGGAACACACCCTCCGGTCCCCCTTCTTATACAGAGGGACCACCACCCCGGTTTGCCAGTCCAGAGGTACTGTCCCCGACCGCCACGCAATGTTGAAGAGGCGTGTCAACCAAGACAGCCCCACAACATCCAGAGACTTCAGGTACTCAGGGCGGATCTCATCCAACCCCGGAGCCTTGCCACCAAGGAGCTTTCCAACCACCTCAGTGACTTCGGCCAGGGTGATGGATGAGTCCGCCTCCGAGTCCCCAGCCTCGGCCTCCTCCTCGGAAGACGTGACGGTGGGATTGAGGAGATCCTCAAAGTATTCCTTCCACCGCCGGACAACGTCCCCAGTCGAGGTCAGCAGCTCTCCCCCCACACTGTAAACAGTGTTGGTGAAGAACTGCTTTCCCCTCCTGAGGCGCCGGACGGTTTGCCAGAATTTCTTTGAGGCCGTCCGATAGTCCTTCTCCATGGCCCCCCGAACTCCTCCCAGCTCCGAGTTTTTTGCCTCCGCGACCACACGGGCTGCAGCACGCTTGGCCCGCCGGTACCCGTCAGCTGCCTCAGGAGTCCCCCGAGCCAGCAAGGCCCGATAGGACTCCTTCTTCAGCTTGACAGCATCCCTTACTTCCGGTGTCCACCACCGGGTTCTGGGGTTGCCGCCGCGACAGGCACCACAGACCTTACGCCCACAGCTCCGAGCAGCTGCATTGACAATAGAGGCCGAGAATGAAGCCCACTCGGACTCCATATCTCCGGCCTCCCCCGGAATCCGGGGGAAGTCCTCCCGGAGGTGCGAGTTGAAGGTCCCTCTGACAGAGGGCTCCGCCAGATGTTCCCAACAGACCCTCACTACACGCTTGGGCCTGCCAGGTCTTTCCGGCTTCCTCCTCCGCCAGCGAACCCAACTCACAACCAGGTGGTTATCAGTTGACAGCTCAGCCCCTCTCTTCACCCGAGTGTCCAAGACACGCGGCCGGAGATCAGATGACACGACTACAAAGTCGATCATCGACCTCCGGCCTAGGGTGTCCTGGTGCCACGTGCACTTATGGACACCCTTGTGCTCGAACATGGTGTTCGTTATGGACAAACTGTGACTAGCACAGAAGTCCAATAACAAAACACCGCTCGGGTTCAGATCCCTCCCAATCACCCCTCTCCAAGTGTCACTGTCGTTGCCCACGTGGGCGTTGAAGTCCCCCAGGAGAACAACGGAGTCCCCGGTCGGTGCACTGTCTAGTACCCCTCCCAAGGACTCCATGAAGGCCGGGTACTCTGCACTGCTGTTCGGCCCGTAGGCCGACACCACAGTGAGAGACCTGTCCCCGACCCGAAGGCGCAGGGACGCGACCCTCTCGTTCACCGGGGTGAACTCCAACACACGGCGGCTGAGCTGTGGGGCAATGAGCCCACACCAGCCCGCCGCCGCTCCCCGCGGCCAACGCCAGAGAAATGGAGAGTCCAGCCCCTCTCAAGGTGTTGGGTTCCAGAGCCCAAACTGTGCGTGGAGGTGAGGCCGACTATATCTAGTCGGTAACGCTCAACCTCCCGCACAAGCTCAGGCTCCTTCCCCCCCAGCGAAGTGACATTCCATGTCCCCAGAGCTAGTCTCCATGTCCGGAGATCTGGTCGCCGAGGCCCCCGCCGTCGACTGCTGCCCAGATCTCTCTGCACCGGCCCCATATGGATCCTCCTGCGGGTGGTGGGCCCACGTGAGGACGGCCCCACGTCGCTCCTTCGGGCTGAGCCCGGCCGAGCCCCGTGGGGGGAGGCTCGGCCACCAGGCGCTCGCTGGCGAGCACCCACCCCAGGCCTGGCTCCAGGGTGAGGCCCCGGTGACGCCAATCCGGGCGACGTAACTGGCCTTGCTGGTACACTCATCATAGGGGCTTCTGAACCGTTCTTCGTCTGACCCGTCCCCCCGGACCTGTTTGCCTTGGGTGACCCTACCAGGGGCATGAAGCCCCCGACAACATAGCTCCCGGGATCATTCGGGCACTCAAACCCCTCCACCACGATAAGGTGACGGTTCAAGGAGGGGCTACCAAAGCATCAAACTGTTATTTGTCTCAGGTAAAAGAAGCTATATTTTGTTCTGAATGATAAAGAATTTTGAAGAAGAGATGTTTTCTGCTTTTTAGAGAGTTTGGATGGAGGTCTTTCACACTCCAGTCCCTTCTGGATTCAAACAGAATGTAGAAAGGACAAGGTCAGGCAACTTCACCAGAAAAGTTACACACTGCACCTTTAACACCCCACAGAATCTCACCTATGTGGTACAGGCCGATCCAGTCCGTAGCATCCACCTCTTCCTTGATGTCCCAGAATATGACCAGATGCCCCTGCCCCAGAGTGAGCTGGTAGGTGGACGCCGTCAGAGAAGAGCGGCTTTCGGACGTGACCAGATCTGTGTCACTATTCGCCCGCTGCAGCCCCACCCCTGTGTTCTCCTGGGGCACCTCGGAGGGCACGGGTGAGGAAGGGGGTGGCGTGGAGGTGCCCACTGCCCCCGAACTGGACAGCCCGCGCAGGTTCTCCGGTCCAATGGTGTAGGGCCTGGAGTGAGGGGTCCTTCGGCGCACCGCCAGAAGGTGCTCCCGGGCGCTACCATTGGCCGAGGACGATGGCGAAGACGAGGGGGAGGAAGAGGCGGTCGCGGCTGTGGCCATGGTTAAAGCTGGATGCGGGGGAGGGGAGTAGCGCAGGGGGGAGGCGGAGAGCGGGTGGGGGTGATGGTGGTGGTGATGGTGGTGGTGGGGATGGTGATGATGATGATGGGGGACGAAGGGGCGGAGGAGGTGGGCTGGGGGCGGGGGCGAGGGGGGAGGACCGCCGTGGCCAGGGAGGGACGAATGGTGAAGGTCAGGAGAGAGAAAGAGTGAGAAAAAAAGAAAAAACAAGGGAGAGGAGATAGAAATATGGTTAATGTTGTGATCAGGCAGTGCTGTTATGAAACAAAGCAATGTAAGAGAATGAGTGAATAGCTGTGAGTGAGTGCGCCATTCAAAGCACCTTATATAGGCACTTTGGAGCTTCCCTAGACCAGTCCTCCTTTTCTGTGGTTTTCTATTCTTCTGTTCATTCTCAAGTCTTGATGTTGAGGTGCAGAGCTTTGCAAAAACTATCCATCAAAAAGGAAAGGGGAGGGGGAAGAGAGACTTTGTGGAGCTTGGGTGTCCAGATGGGAGAGGGTGAGATGAGGGCAAGTCTAGGGTCCCATGAAAAGGAGGAGGACTTTGGAGGAGGATCTGAAAGAATCAGGAGACAAGTGGTCAGGAAGCTGTACAGAGACATCATCTGTGCACATTTTCAACTTTTTTTTGTAGGAGCTAGCGAGAAGATGGGAATACGGACTCCAAAAAACTCCAAATAAATATCAAATGGATTTTAAAACATGTTTGTAGAAGAATAAGTGTGGATTTCAGAGTGATGGAAAATGAGCAGCTTTGCCATTAGGGCTGTGGTCGACTAAAGAAATTCTTGGTAGATTTAAGATCTGTCCTGTAGGAGCATAACGATATCCAAGTCTCACTATACAATATCTTCATGGTATGAACCTCACAGTACAATATTTATTACGACATCATGGGAAAGCTCACGATAGGGTGGAGAGGCTCACCATTAGGGATGTCACAATATCCAAATCTCTCTGTACAATATTTTCACGATATACATCTCACAGTAGGATATTTATTGTGATATTTTGTGGAGGCTAACAAAACTCTTAATATACTACTTTTTCCTCTTAAAAATGCCTTGAGAAGACTTAATCCAAAGAACTAAGACTCAAAAGTGTTTAGAACTGTTGTTTCTTCTTGTAGTCTGCACTGAAATGGAGCACAGGATCATGGTCTATGTAGTTCCATCTGTTTATTTTAGCTAATGCTGCACCATAACTCTTAATTTAAGCAAAGAGACTTGTAATTCAATATATTGTGATGGTCTACGATATTATTGTGAGAACTTTGATGATATGATATCACGATATTTCGGTTACTGTTACATCCCTACTGTCCTGTAATCAAAGAAACCAAAACATAATAAAACACACAAGCTCTCACTTTCTACCTTATCCATTCTCACACTTTCCCACGAGTTTGCATACTGTTGCCATGGCGATAGGTCACTATTACGCTCAAATATGTCTGTATCCGGCCCCGTCATGATGCTAGTGCTAATGAAGGACTGTTCTATTTCCTCTCCCTCCCGTCGATGCAAGCGTATGCACATAAACAAGACCCCAGGGGGCTTAGGAGTGAGCTCAGTCAGAGGAAGTGAGGTACAGATACTTCAGAATTACTTCACACACAAACACACACACACACACACACACACAATATGAACAATTGTAATAAGTAGGTTATGATAAGGGCTTTGATGGGGTTAAAGTTAGGTCCAGGTCTACAAGGAAGCGTGGCAGTGCAGTTGAGATTCTTGCCTTACAGTGAGAAGGTCCTGGGTTTGATTCCTGTGGAGTTTGCCTCTTCCCTCTTTGTAATCCTTCAGTCGTCCAGGTAGGTTCCATAGTGGTCCATGAGTGTCTACTAGTCTCATACTTGGGGGCGATTCTAGACTTCCAAGTTTAGTTGTAAGCACCCCCTTAGCGTGCACGCCAAAAATATCATGTGCTTCAACATGCCAAACACTCTTTCTTATCCTCTATCTCCATTTCTTTATATCAATCCATCTTTTTATATCAGTGATTCCCAAACTAGCATGTTTGAGTCAAGGGCAGGGCCATGCTTTGTCGTCTATGGCCTAATGTTTAATTCTCCTCGGTCATTTCTCTAGGTACTATAAACTGTACTAATACTATGTTAAACTCTTCTATCGTTGTTTGTCCTGTAGCTGAACTTGCTTAAGTTAAATGAACATGTGTGAATGAATTGATCCTGTTGTCTTCTGCCAGAGGGTTTCATCATGTCATGTGTGTCTTACCTGGATTTTCACTTTTCTCTTAAACACTAGGTTTGGATGTGTCGTTTTTATGCTGTCAGTCATAATAGGTAATAGGTTTAATAGTAGTAGGTTTAATATCTCATTAAAATATATTTAAAACATAAGACAGGATATTAACATCACATCATTTCACTTTACTTAAAAAGTACAACGGGCCTAATTTCTTATAAACTGCCCATGTAACCTATATTTCCTAATGTATTATATCCTCTTTTCTGTGACCGGCATAAATTAATAATAGTAGTTGATGGAACATTTGACATTTTTAGCAAAAGTGACCATATACAGTGTATATATACAGACAGTCTATGAAAGTGACACTACCTGTTGCTGTATTTCTGAATCCCGTTTTTCTCCTTGATCTACTGTAATCCAGACTGTAGGCAGTCATCAGTCATAACAAAAGGCAGATTTCATCATTTAATGGTGTAATAAACTCTTAAAAGTAAGCTCCTGTCAATAGGACCATGCAAAAGCTGTTTACAAAAGATAGTGTTTCCACTGCCTCTGCACATGCGCAAAGTGATTCTGACCAATCAGGGAGAGGGGCGGGTCTTAGAGCCAAGATCCGCTGCACACTGGTGTTTGCTTCACAGAGAGAGAGACAGAGAGGGGCTGCAAAATATGGAGCATTTCTGTGCAGATACTGAAGTTTGACATTCTCTTAGACCAAGAAAACAGTCAGCTCAATAAAATAACAAAGACCTTTTCATTTTAGGGGTGCTTTAGACAACCCTACCTCACTGACATGACATTGCTTTTCAGCAGATTCAAAATGAATGTGTAAAATATTCAAAGAAAATACAAAATAAATCTCAAAAAGTTAAAAAGTCACTACAGCCAGCAGACAGATGAAAAGAAGTGTGGATTTGAGTGTGTAGTTCAAAACAACAGTGGTGTATCATTATATCTCCTCCACAGCCTCACATCTGCTCTAACAGCGGCTTGTAGTGAGCTAAGAGCTGATCCTAGCTTCACTCACACAAACAAGAGCCCGTGTGGAGAGCCATGCGTACTCCTCCAATCTGCCCCATCAATTACTCTACACTACACTACACGCTCTCTCTCTCTCTCTCCAACTCTTTCTCCTGCCCTGTCAACTATCCAAAAGTCTCATCCAAATTAAAAACTGACACCACCAGTAACATGAACACAATTTGCATTAAAATAATCACGTAAACAGTAGATCGATGCACGTGAGGCAACATGGAGGTATGTGTCCTTGATCTAGCCCAGTGAGATTAAATGGTAGAATGGGGAGGGGTTGCCGTGGGTGACAGAAGCCTAATCCTGGCATTCGTTAAATCCACAGCTGGAGAGCCTGGTCGGGTATGTCAGCTTTCAATACTCTACCCTCTGATCAACAAAAAAAAAAAAAGAAAAAGAAAAATGCCTGACTAAAGAAAACCTAAAATGATTATGAAAGGTAGCCAATTTTGAACCATGAATGGAATGTTAGCCCTGCACACCCAATCTGATGTTAAACCATAACAGAGAAACAACTGTCTGGAGTATATTTAATAATATATTATTTCCTTTTGTATTTTTTCATAATTCATAAGGTATTCCAAAGATAAGTTGCAACTTCACATCAACACAGCATATCTTACAGTGTTCATAACTCTCACCTGATTTGTAATGATGGTAAAACTAACAACAACTAGCATGCAAACACACACTTCCCAACTGCCAGACAATAAGCATACAGCAAGACCTTCCTGGAATTGCCAGTTGTTACTGAGCTAAAGGTAAAAGGTAGATGTTAACTTGAAAACTACCATTTCATGACATCACAAGGTGGAACAGAGCATTTTGAGTTTTGGAACTGTAGAGAGACAAATAATCCAGGATCACTCAAACATGTGTGAATGAAACAAAACACAACTACAGGTATGTTTTTGATGAGGTAAAAGCATTATAACATGGCTTAAGGCTCATAAGAGTATATTTTGTGTAATATATATAAAAAATTAAAAAATAAACATTGAGGGCATAACTACTTAAAGGTCTTTCAGAATATATGCTCTTTTATACTTATACAATTATAAACCTAACTCACTCTCACAACAAGGACTATTGAATGAAGAAACAATGAATGATGCATATAGTAATACCACTATACATTTTCCGAAAACAAATTTAATTTGAGCTCCACTTGACCTTTTAGCTCCCTCATCCATCTGCATTATAAAGACGCACTTACTCTTTCTATGCAGGCATCTCCAATACATTCAAATGTACACTGGGCATTCTCACAGCTACACAAGGTCAGTCTATACGATGGAGCTATTAATACACAGCCCCTCACAAGACATTGGCTACAGCTTTCATTTAGCCCCTCCCTCCTTCCCTTTCTCACTCACATGGTGAACTTTAACCTCCAGGCAAGAAGGTTACAGATTTTAGCCTTTATCAGGACGTTTCAACACATGTTTTATCCAGTGTTTATCCTGTATTTATCATGAGATACTGTTGCTGAAGGTGAGACAATGCCCATACAGAGAGTGTGCGCCGCGTTCCATGTGTCTGAGTTCACAGCGCCACAAACCTTCCAGATGGGATTTATGAACGTATCTCTGCTAATATGAGGTCAAGTCATCAAATAAAAAGTGATGTAGAGTTTGAGACATGAAGAACTGCATTATTGCATCCAACCTCTCCACAGCATCTAAAATGCCTTTGTAATAATACGCTTAATAAATGTAGGCATGTTTTCTGATCACTGGTGGTCTGTCCCCTCGCTGTGAGAGTGCACGGGAGCGAGGATGGGGAAAGGCAGAGTTTAGATGCACGCTCTTGGAAAAGCACTGGTGATTGTATCCATGAAAGTATAATAAGATCTTAATAAGAGCCATGAGTGTATCTGATCAGATGGGTCAAGACTGACGCCAACACTAAGAAATGTGTCCCACTCTAAGCAGTCATATATTTTTTCATTTAGAAATTCCTCCCGGATGTTTTTTTGGGTCCCTAAAGGAGGACAGTCCAGGAAAAAGAGGTCATCTGGTCACTCTAAAAATTTGATAAAATGGGCATTGCGATAATGCCCAAAGTAACCCGACTCAACAGTGTCACAGAAGTGAACATCCATGGGTGTAGGAGCAAGCAAAGTTTAGGGTAGGCAAAAGAAATTCAGAACAGTGATAGAGAACAATAAGACCATCCCAAAGTTGAACTGGCGCATGGCATGGATGAAAAGAAAGTCAGCCATATTGGATCAAAAATTCGCCGTCGGTTTGACTGTGTTTGTAAAACGCTAGTCCCTGATTTTTGGTCCAAATGAGCTCACATTTGGCATGACACATCTAGATACACAGGTTCTCAAACATTATCAGTTTTATTGGGATATACCTTACAGTTTGCCAGTAGCACGTCAGCGAAAAAACACCTTCAATTCCTGTTTCTTTGATGACTTGTCATGGCCACAGGCCTTAGTCTAGAGAGCTTAAATTCAAATCACAATTGCGTGATCCGGGCCTGAATGTAATGGACTATAAATCTAATACAACTGAACACTATTGACATGAAACGTCAACGTTATCGGATTTGAAGCAAATTTGGGGATTAAATTCTATGCATGACTACAAGCAAAAAAACATGTTATGGAAATGGTACATTTTTCACAGGTGACCAGCAGGGGTGCAAAGCTTCTTTAAAAAAAAATAAATCAATAAAAAAATACATTTAAGGGTGCACTGTGTAATTTTTCTGATAGAGGATCTGTGGGCCTGGGCAGCTGTTGGGAAGGGACAATAGCATGCCGAATGGTCGCGTGGGACAGGTGTGTGTGCCAGGGCGAGTGGCTTTCATCTCTATTGTTATTTATCTATCAGCCTATAAGAATATTTTCTGTATTTACCAGTAGAGTTGTCAAAAGTATAAAAAGCATCAATGCTAAAACTAAGAGCAAAACTAAATACTAGATATATAGATATCAATACCAAAGAAGTCACACTCATAGGACAGAAATCAATGTTTCCTGAATAGTATTAGAATGATCTTGAGCTGTATCAGAACAAATATAAGATCACATAGACAAGTATACGCCCATGGGCTACTGTGGAATCTACCTGGAAGACCACATGGTAATAAAATAATAAAAAGTACTAAAATTTCATGTTGAAAATCACATTCTATTGTCTTATTATTACTATCATCATAGTATCGGAATCAGTATTGACTATCAAGTCTATAACTTAGTATTGAAATAGAAATTTTAGTATTGTGACAATACTATTTGCCAGATGCCGCTCACTGTCCGTTCAGCAGGTACTTCATAATCCCAAACTGTAGAAAGGAAAATGGTAGAGACAAGATGGAGTGTCATCTATAAATAAAAACTGGGCCCTGAGGAAAGAAGGCAGGGAGCAGACAGAAGCACTGGACAGGAAGTGCTGACTCATCGATGACCTATGACCCCAGCGTCACTACATGACGGAGATCGATTACTATGTGATGGGCGACAAATACTGTACGTCACTTCACCCTCAGGCAAAACTGTATAGAGATAAGGAAGAATATTCAAGCAGTGTTTCCCACAGACTTTGAGGAGACTTTAGTGGCACATATTATTTTATTGGAATGATTTAATCTTATTCAATTTGTGGATTATAAATGTCACTTACTGCCTATATTTAATTTTTAAGCAGTAATTTCTGATCAGTGTAGTTTCTTTTAGAAGTGTGATAATACAATGAACAACTAATTTTGTTATGCCAATACATAGTCCAGGTTATTTTAGACAAAAGGGGGGCTTCCATAGTCTTCTGTATTAATGGAAAACACTGATACACCAATACACCAGTATTGTTTTCAACTTGGTCCAATAGATTTGGTATAAAACTGATTTATCTGTATTGTAATTTGATGTGTGATATATATTTAAAAAGCAGTATTCTGTTCAGAGTACAAATAGTAAACATATCGAAGAAGAAAATCTGAAATGATGATTACATTAGAATCCCATGAATTTCACAATATGTTTGCAGAGGTCTTAACTACAGGCACATCAAGATTTTTATACTTTTTTTTTTTCTTTAGAGAGGACATTCTACTATCTAAATATGTGCAGCCTTTGTGATTTGATAATTGTACTGACTCAATTTGCAATTTGAATGGGAGACACTGTGCAGCAGCTAAAATACAATACAAGAATACTATTACTATGTATTGTCATTGTTATTATTATATGGGTCAGAGAATAGGTATTTATTATTAAAAAGGGTCTACGGTGGCCCTCCATAGTCTCAGTATTGCCCCTATATTCTAAAAATAAGATAAACAAACATTGTTATTAAAAATGATACTTTTTACATGTGGTATTATCAAAAATATTTAGTAGTAACTTTATTGTATCTTTAACAATTCTTTTTAAATTAGAAGAGATGATACATAACATAAGTAAACCCCCTAAAATGTATTCTATAAAGTTATTCAAATAAGGATTGCTTGAGTGTTCATAATTTCAGTATGACTCTGTGGAAAAGCACTAACATTGACTTACTATGACAGTTTAACAAAAACACTGCATTAAGAGATCATTCCAGGTCAGGCTGCACACACTTTACCTGTAACATGCACCACATTTATCCACTTAGAACCACCACAGGCTATTGTATAAATAATTACGAATCTGGGATCTTCAATATAAATGTGATAATGCAAAGAGATAGTATAGGTAGTACGATAAAAATGTACAAATAGCAAAACCGCTGTTGTTTTCGTGAGATACTGTAGAGATGTACGCAGCCACTCCAAGTCTTGCAAGTTATTTTTACACGGTGAGACTTTGTGACTAAAAATAGGTTACACCCCAACCCAGTGAAAACAGAGCCAGGCGCAGACATCAATATAGTGCGGTAAAATCAGTGATGCTGGTAAATTCACACAGCCTGTATGGTGTTTAAAGATGCACTATGTAACATTTTATGTGGAGGGTCTGTCAAATACTTTTCTCCATGGAGATGTTATTGCTTTGTCTAGAATTTTTTTGTAAAACCACCTGTAATTTAATAAATGGAAGGCAGAGCTGTTTAATGTCATACTGTGGAATATTCCAGACAGAGAAATGACATATCCATAGAAACAACCAGGAAGCAGGTGACAGACCCCAAACCAAAAAGTTAAAAAGTGTGCATAAAAACCTTACCTTACCTAACTGCTCCCTCTGTTCTAACATAGAAAATACTAGATGCTGTTTACAAGTGCATGGAACTCCCAATAAATTTCTGTGGAACTGTTTTTCTTCCACAGAAATTAAAATAGACTTCCTTCTGGGCAGGGCCACATGTGGGAGGACATGAGTAGTAAATGAAGCAATGAGTTACACTACTGAATTACGGAAGAATCACCATTAAAAGGACAATTTGGTGAGCATGATTTTAAATTGTTGTGACAGAGAAGTCTTGAAATAGCCGTAGCGTGATTGGAGAACAATGAGGTGGTCCCGTCATAGGAGACAGCTTCCTGACCCCCTCCAGTGCACCCATCACATTCCTCTGTGCCACTCTGTGTGTGTGTGTGTGCACATATGTATGTGCGTTGGAGGGAGTGGGAGGGCATGTGCATTTTTGGACCGGGACACCAGTGACTGAAGGTTTACCAATAGGATGTGACAGGGAGGAGAGCTCTGTTGCACTGGATAGAAATTAGGTAAAGTCTCTATTGAGTAATTCCAAACATAAGAGGAATACAGGTCCTCTGATCTGAAATCTGTACTGTATAAATATCGGCGATTAGGGTTGTCAAAAAATGTGACACCCAGATACTAATTAATACTAAAAGTGAAAAAAATAAATACAGTAAATAGAACACAATTGGATGTTCCTTGGATAATTTCAGAATTCAAATTAGTTGTATGTCAGAACTAGTATGAGACTACATTAAAGGTCTCATATAATACAAAACAGATTTTTGTGAGCTTTAAGTCATGTTACAATGTTGGTACCTCATCAAAAACATACTTGGAGGAGTGTTTTGTTTCATTCACAAAGGTCTGAGTAATCCTTTATCATTAGTTTGTTTATATCTCCAAACCTCAAACACTTTGTTCCACCTTGTGATGTCATATAGTGGTAGTTTTCAAGTTGACAACTACCTTCTACCTTTTGCTCAGTAGAGAAAAGAAATTCCAGTTCTGAAATGAGCCAAAACATTCTAGTGAACGTGTATGGAGTTTAAAAACACATTGGAGCACTTTCTGTATCACGACATGACATCACAAGGTGGAACAGGGTGTTTTCAGTTTGAGAGAAGAACGTGTGTCTTGCTTCCATCACTTCAACTCCATCTTCACTGTTCTTGATGAAACCACACCTTCCTTTTCTCCAATCTGTCACCTGTCTGGCTGAGGCTGAGGGTGCAAACAAACGCTCACTTTGGAAAAAATCCCACTCTCTCTGTCTGCTTTTAAACACATCACAATGATCCACATTCGGGGACAGCAAAAACAATGACATTACATGGTATTTCCCCTCCACCTACATTTCTATTACTTGCACACGGATCACTGGGGTCATGTCTATTAGGGAGGAAATAGGAGGAGATGAGTTCTTCTGGGATTGTTGGATTGATCTGATTGTGTACATCGCAGGAGAATATTCAAGATTTTGACGTGATAAAGATGCTTTCAATACAGTGTGTGTGTATGTGTGAAGGATAAAACTACAGTTGACTCTTGCCATTTTCTTCATAAACCCCCTAGCATCATCATTAAGGCTGAAGGACATTGTTCCAACAAGAATGATCAGAGCCATAATTTGGCCATAACGGGTTGACACTTTTACTGTAACAGAAATTATTACTTTATTCAACCAGAACAGCACATGTTGGATCTGTCCATAGACACTGGAACTATAATGAATCATAACGTGGCTGGTAAAGCATCGATTCGTGCAAAGCTATCCAGACATGCAAAAAAATCACTATGGCTATCAAATTCAATAGGCTACGACTCACCTCTGCTAGTGCGATGTTATGTTGTTTCCCCTTTCCAAAGCGTCAAAAATGAGTTGCGATGCCTTGTAATCACAAATCTCGTCGGGTATCCATCGGGCCCTGGAGGACACCACACCGCCGAGCCTTCATCCGCTACCAAGCCGCGTGGGGAGCTTCGAAACCCGGGTACACTCCGCCGCTGCCCCTCGATGTGTCAGCTACCCCCGCGTATCCGCTCGCTTCGCCCCGCATTCAAGGACTACTTTACGCGGTCATCTACGTTAAAAACAGCAGCTGCCATGTCGTCGTTTCACTTCTCCTTTGTGATATTTCCAAGCTGGTTATCCGTTCATATCTTATTTATTTGCCTGGACCGCTTCGCATCCACCGCCTCCTGTTTTACGATCCGTTTTATTCCCATATTAGTCGTGCGTAATCGTGCCAAAGTAGGTAAATCCTAACCAGCGGTAGATGAAAGAGAGTTTTCCATATAAAAAGCAAAACTACAGGTTATAGAACTTTTAAAACAAGCTGATGTTGTTCCCAGTCTACACTCGGAGACCTCGGCGTCAAAATAACTACCGAAGCGCCTCCCATCATCACCCCCTTGTGGAGCGAGCGAGGAGTCCAAGCCGAGGATTTATTGGTCCAAGCTGAGGTCGAGGTGATCCGGTTTGGCACTTCCGGGACCCTCAGTGTGGTCATTAGCTTGAGAGTATTTTTATATATATTTATACATATATTTAATTCAATGACTCAAATATTAATAAAACCTCTTGGCTAAGAACAATTATTTCTTCATTTAAAGGGCTCATATTTTGCTATTTTTTTTACTAGTTTTGTTTCATTCTCAGACTTCTTTCCTCAAACACACCTTGCCTGTCTCTATTGAACAAAATGTTAAAAGTTGCTGTTAACTTGAAAACTACCACTACATGACATCACAAGGTGGCATTTTGAGTTTTGAAGATGAAGACAGACTAATAAAGCAGGATTACTCAAACATTACTAGGACCATTTTGAGGAGGTTAGAGGCAAAGAGTCAGTGTTGTGTAATATATATATAGAACCTTTGACAATGATATCGACTAACAAAGAATTATTTGAACAATTTTACATTAACTAATTTTTATAGAGCCTAGGCCTATATATATTTACATTATTTTCAATTAGAAGTTGATCCACCCATGCCTCCATAATAAACAATGGGAGAAAGATAAGTGATATCATATTTTGAATCCTGACTTTTCGGTAGCCTAGTTTTTATACAGATTGACAATTTTGTACAATATTGTGTGTATTCTGAATCCCAGGCAAATAATTATAGAAGAATAACAAGAACATAGAATGAACTTAGAAACATCCAAAAATGTACGTCAAACGTCTGGTTTTATTTTTCTGATATATATTTATATCACTTCAAACATTTAGGCATTTTGGTGATAGTTCTTCAAGAAGTCGATGTCAGTGGACCTCAGAGAAAAGGTTGGTATCCTCACCTTTACTCACCTGAATCAAAACAAACATTTCATTTAACACATCTGACATAAGAATTCAGTCAGTGAGGCTTTATTGGCAAGTTTAAGGTTCTTTCTTTAGTTATAACATTAGAACATTATTAACAGCCATCACCATAGTCTCAGTGGTAAGATATTGAACATTGTAATAGTTAAAGGAAACATACAGCTAGCATACAGTATTTTGATGAAAGCAATGATTATTAAGCAGTGGTGGAATGTAACAAAGTAAAAATAGTAAAGTAATGTACTCATTTTTTTTTTTTAATGGATACTTTTTACTTTTACTTCACTATATTTGAAAAGTATCTATATTTCAAACTCTACCACATTTTTAACTTGGCTGAAACGTCAAAGTATTTTTTTTATTATAGTTTGAGTCCTGTTAATAAAGGGTGAGGGGTTTATTCTTAACACGTTTGTAGTCTGAGCAAACAAAATATGCAAATAAAAACAGTTCATCAAATCATCGATTGTCACAATTCTTCAATAAAATCACTACATTTAAAGTTTTATTAGACTTCAAAATCTGTGAAAAGCTTTTACTTTTTACTCTTTTAAGTACATTTTTAACAGTATACTTTTACTTAAGTAGATTTCTTCATGTGATACTTTACTTGAGTATTTTTTTTTGCTCTGGTGTCTGTACTTTATAACAACAAACAACAAAATTGAGTACCTCTTCCACCACTATTATTAAGACGCAAAGAACAAACAGGTCTTAAGTAGAGATGGTTACCTTTTTGGGTCTTCCACACATTGTTTAGCATTTCAAAAAAGTCATCATCCTTCTCCATGGTTGCACTCACATTAGAGTAGAAGTTTAGAAACTCCTCCAGGGTTACCTTCATGATAAGTACAGAGTTAAAGCAGAAGACAACAAGACAACTTAAGACAAAATAATAATAATAACTGGGACTTTCCTGGGACTGTGATGTTGTTATCCATGTGAATATTTAAGGCCCTATATTATACAAAATTGACCCTTAGGAGCTTTATGATATTGTTATAAAACATACCTGGAGTTGTGTTTAGTTTCATTTGCACAAGTTTGAGTAAGCCTTTATTATTAGTGTGCCTAGTGCCTACATCTCCAAAGTTCAGAATGCTCTGTTCCATCTTGTGATGTATTGTAGTGGTAGTGTTCAAGTTAACAGCCGCCCTTTATTTTATATGTGTGTTAAAATCTCAACATGTGAGGTTTTATAAGACCTCAAAATCTGGGCAAAACACATTTATTTTTTGCTCTTTAAATACATTTTTACTTAAGTAGATGTTTTCTGCTCTGATGTATGTACTTTTACAACAAAATTGAGTACTTCTTCCACCACAGTTTAGTGCACCTTTAATGAATAATAATGTAAACATACCTTTCCATCCTTATCTTTAGGGTTCTCAAACATTTTCAGATAGCAGAGTTGAGCCCGCTCCTCAGTCCACATTTTACGGCGAACCATAGGGTGCATCTTGGCGTTGTAGTGGTCTTTGACATCCTCTATAGTGATCTCTCCATCTCCTCCTTTATCAACCCTCTTAAACGCATTGACGACCGCTCCTTTTCTGGCCTCCGATATGGGTGGCTACAGGAACAAAATCAAATTGAAAAGGTCTGTCACGATTAGGGATGTAACAATATCCACATTTTTTCACGATATGCATCGCACTGTATGGTATTTATTGAAATATTTTGTAGAGGCCAACAAAATTGTAAATATACTACTTTTTCCTTTAAAAATGCCTTGACAAGCCTTTGGTTCTGTCATAAACCAAAGAGTTAAGATTTAAAAGTGCTTAATAACAAATTATATCATTATGTAAATTGGACTGAAACAGAGCAACAAATTATTATATATGTTGTTCCCTCTGTTTCTTTTAGCTAGATTAATTTAAGCAAAGAGACCTGAGAGTCGATACATTGTGATGGCCCACGATATTATTGAGGCTTTTGACAACACGGTATCACGATATTTTGGTTATAGTTACATGCCTAGTGACAATAACAAATTTTGAAGTTCGATATATTGCTGTAAATAAGTAATTATGGATGGTACAAGATAATGTTGAAACCAATTTAGATTTAAACCACAAAAACTACTCTAAATCTACAATATTGTAAAAAAAAAAAAGTTATTATACAACTTTTTTACAGCTTAAATCTTATCATATACCCAAAAAATAACCAAAAAATTCTAAGTAGTGCAAAGAAAATGTACACACAATAAATAATGACACAGAAAAACTATACATTTTTGTTGTAATTCAGGAGTTTTGTCATTCTCAACATCTATTTACCCTTAGAGCTTTGATAAATTCAGTAATGTCAACACTCCCACTTCCATCTTTGTCTATCACTTTATACACGGCTTCGGCCTCCTCCTTCTCCAGATTGATTTCGTATGAGGTCAAGCCGCTTTGAAAGTCTTCAAAGCTCACGCCCCTCCGCTTGTCCTTTATAGCCATTTCCCTGAAGATTCTGGAACACACAACAAGTTCAGTTAGAGTGTGTAGGACATGTTATGACAATTCTCTAATTTCTACTTAAGTTGGTGGGTTAATACCTGTTGAAAATGTAAATGATAGTTTTACACCAATCAACAAGCAATTTGTGAAGAAAAGTTGAAAAATATTTTGAAAATTACAGGGAGTAGAGATCCATTTTAGACAGTTCTAGATTGATCACATCGCATGCAAATCACGAGGGAGAATTCTGTCCAAAAAGTTCGGCACAAACAAAGGAAGTAGTGACGCTAACAATAAGGTTGCTGAGCGTTATTGTGCACAGAGCCTACTGAGTATAATTCTAGCCAAGTACAGTAATTGTGATTCATTATATTTAAAATCATAAGCACATTAAAAGTTCCTATTGGCCAAACACATAGTTATCTCACACTGCATCCCCTTGGCCAGAGCTCAAAGAATATGCAGATTGTGGTTTTAAACTTGATTTTAAAAGTTTAACTAACACTTTTTTTTATTTTTTATAAAAGATAAAATGCTTTTAAAATTGCATTTGAAAAAAAATCAAATAAGTGAGTACATTTTAGCCATGTAACTGTACTTTTAGATGAGTACAAATTTTATTATTTCTATTACTCTATTTCTATTTATTATTCTATTACTTGTTTATATTAACATACACAACATAAAAATGGAGGACTTAACCCTGGACTAGACCGAGACTAAACCAGGACTTGAACAAATCAAACCAAGTCCACCTCAGGACTAAACTGAACTCAAACCTGCACTTAACCATGACAAGGGTGTAAGTAAACCAATAATAATTCTTGCATTCAGGTTTGTGAAGTTGAAGATTAAATATACAGTCCACAGCACTCACATTTTACATTTTATTTATAAAATCCTTACCTGCCCAAGTCAATAATGCTGCTTTCGCCCTTTTGAACAAGCTTTTGTCTTAGATTCTCCACAGGGTCCGCCATTATTGAAGCAGAAACTAATCTGAGGGGAGAAGTTAGACACAAGACCAGTTGAGCTTCAACAGAGATGTTAGTGCACTAGTCACCTCTTTACCTCACACATGGTTCTTATACAATTCCAGGACCCCACCCCATATGGTTACCATGGAGACGAAGTCAGTCCCAGTCATTCATGAATGCCCTACAGCAAAATATACCACTGTCTTTATTTCTCTTTACTTAGGGTCAGAGTTAAAGCTCAATGTTCACAAGATGCCAGTTTACAGTGAACAATAAAAAACAAAAAATACCATTCAAAAACATATGTAGGGCAGAAGTACATTTTGCTTGTAACTAGTGTTTTTTAGAGAGTTGCACCGACATGTCGAGTTGAACCTCTTTGAAAAGTCACATTCTTCAGTTGAGACTATCAGCTTTCAGCCCTGGGGACAGAACTGATGTCCGACATCTGACAACAGCGACACCTTTGAGGAAAAAAAATAAATTATATTTACATATACATATATATATATATATATATATATATATATATATATATATACATATATATATATATATATATATATATATATATATATATATATATATATATATGTACACACACACACACACACACAGACACACAAGCAAGTCGAAACATTTGAAATCTGACTCTTAAAATGTTATTTCTATAGTAAAATCCTGACCTACATTCCAGTTCAGTTAAAATATAGAAAACTATGATTCTCATGAAGGTGTATGGAGTTTGAAAACACAATGGAGCACTTCCTGTACTGCCACATGACATCACACGGTGGAATAAGCGTTTTCTGTCTAAGACAAGAACTCTTAGATATGCAGGATATGTGTGTTAAACATGTGTGAATGAAACAAAACACAAATACAGGTATGTTTGTGATGAGAAAACAACTTCATAATATAGACCAGAAAATAGCTTAATATGAGCCTTTTAAGATAACATTTTCTTTCAAATTCTTTTTCAGTATATTGTTGAAAAACAGGGTTGGCACAATTACAGCATGATGGGGAGAACCACAAAAGATGAAGACTGATCAGCGCAGACAGAGGTAATAGAAGAGAGGATTATATGTGACAAATAATCTGTCATAATCCAGGCCCTAACAAAGAAAGTATGTCATATACACAAGGCTAACCCAAATTATAATTACGCTTTATACATATTTACAAATTTACAGTAAACAACAGGACTGAACAATACTGAAAATAATTAACCTATTTACAAAGTTTTTACACTTTTAAATATCTAAACCTTTTAAAGAGTCCATCTATTGTGAGCTATTGTATTTTAAACAACACAATATGTTCTTATTAGCTGATGGGCCATCTCCATGTTTCCACTGGCCTGATAGATGAGGGACAGGTTGAAGGAAATTTCTCTTCGTAGATCCACCTGGTCTTCTTCTATTCCCTAAGAAAACCAAAAAAAACCCAAAAGCTCAAAATAGGTTAAATTTGAAAAATGTTACATGTATCATCAACTAAAAAAATACAATTTGTGAAGCCGTATACACAAATCAGTACACAAATCTCTCCAAATACAACTTGGGGTGAGTAAATTATGATACTATGAAACTATAACATTGCTTAAAGGCTCTGAAAAGTAAATTTTGCATAATGTCTTGAATTTCCCTCAGGATCAACAAAGTATCTCTCTCCAAGTATAAATACATGTTTTCATTACATGCTGTACCTCTAGTTTCTCTGATGGCAGACTCAGTGCTTTCTGATAGTAATGAATAGCCAAATGAGAGAGGCCCAACTGGTGCAACGCCCTCCCAATGTTGTACATGCTCTCCTGGCACTCTCCACGCAGTTCCACATACCGCCATAAGAAGGAGAAACCCTGAAACAAACAAGCTTACAGGTATTTTCAAAACAGTGGACCCATGCAATTGTGAAATGTAACTATAGGTCACCTGTAGGACTAGAGCATGACGCTTGGCCACATATTTCTGACAAGCCATGTGGAAGTAAGTCAACCCTAAGCACAAACTGTACAGAGGAGTTTTGGGCTGGGTTTGAAATGCCTGGACATATTGGCCTGAAAATATATATTAAAAATAGTATAAAATATAGTTAAGGATGCACTATGTGTCTCTGTACATCGATATGTTTAATGCCATATTGTAGAACATTCCTGGCAAAGCAATAACATTACCATGGAGACAATCAGTTGGCAGTTGGAATCTTTAAGTTTAGAGTGAATGGTAAAATGTTAAATGTTGGAAACACAGACCCAGGGCGTGTTTGAAGCTCCCAGACACCATGGCGTTGTGTCCACACAGCACACTCAGAGCGTGGTTATCAGGGTACTTCAGCAGCAGTCTCAGGCAGAACCGATGGTGGCGCTGGTGCAAGGACTTGGAAGTCAACTAAAAAAACAAAAACAAAAAACAAAACAAAAAAAAGACATATGAAGAAGGTAATATGTCGAAGTATGTAGTAAATAAAAGTAAGTTAAATAACTCAATTTAACTAAATATTTTTCAAGAAAGCAAAGGGTGGCTATTCTGAGGATTTGAATATAAATATAAAAGTACAGTTTATTACCTTTTTTACTACATAATTCCATATATCATGCTTCATAAATTTGATGTCTTAGGTTTGTATATAAAATGTAGAAAGTAATAAATATAAAGACTTTTTTTTTATGAGATTAGGTGTCCATTTTTTTTCTCCACTGTGTTATTTGTGGAGCCAGGCTCTACAACACATGTATTTCACCCTATGCAAGTGTAAAAACTGTAACTTTTGGACACGTAATTTTTAGAATGGATTAAAAGTGAATGAGTACTGTACGCACTAGGCACGCGTATGGAGCAGCACATCATGTGCACGTAGATTTCAGAAAATAGGATCCATCCTATTTTTTGACGCTCTACATGAGCGGAGGGATGCATCCTCATCAAAATACATAGAGAGCATGCATCTATTGTATTTGTGCAATTACCATCAGCACAACATGCTCCTGGAGCACTTATGTATCGTTTGAAAGAGCTCAGGTTCAGAAAGAAAGAAAGTTACTTTTGAAATCCTTGTTTGCTCTTGTCAGTCTGTACAAGCCTGTTCAGCTGGTTAGTTTCACCGTCAACCTGTTACAAGTGGCTAAAAGCGCCCAGTGAAGTCTGATCGGCTTTCCCATTGAGAAACATAGAACCAGTTCCATGCCTCGCAGGCTTAATTGTGGCCTATTTGGGTGGGTGGGACTGGTTGGAGAATTCACCTGTGGCTATTGTAAAACTGCCTTCTTACAAAAATTAAACAGGTACACCTGCTTAATTACTAAGTGTATGGTGTATGGTGTCTGGTCTTGTTAAAAATATTCAAAAAACAAAAAAATATGTGTGAAGCATGTAAAAATATACAACACATAATTATTAATTTATCAATGCAAAAATGACATTTATCATTATGACAGTATTTTACCTCTCAAAGTGAAGTACAGGTTGGATCAACATTTAACTTACCTGGTTAAAAATATTCCAAAGCTGAGGCAGGTTAACATTTTCCATTAACATCAATCTATTAAAATAAACAGAAAAGATCATTATTTTTATGTATCTGATATTAAAAGGTCCTATATTATACTTGTGAGCTTTTAGACATTCTATAATGCTACCTCTTCAAAAACATGCCTGGAACTGCATTTTGTTTCATTCACACATGTTTGAATACTCCTTTATTACTAGTCTGTCTACATTTCCAACGCAGAAAATTATTCTAGTCATAATATTTTTATTGAGCCAAAAACAAAGCACAACTAAAATTGTACAGCACAGATCAACAACGCTCAATGCTTTTTGGTATATAAAAGTTAAAATAAAAATTAATTTCACAAAACTGAGAACAAACGTAACAGCCTGCAGAGGTACATCAGAAAATTATTCTGTTCTGTTACCACCTTGTGATGTAATGAAGCTGTAGTTTTCAAGGTAATAGCTTTTGTTCAGTATAGACTGGCAATTCCGGGGCTGAAATTATCCAAATTATTGTTGTGAAGGTGTGGGGAGTTTAAAAACACAGTGGTGCACTTCCTGTATTACCAAATGACATCACAAGGTGGAACAGAGTAGATTTGAGAGAAGAACACAACCTAAACATGCAGGTTTGTGTGTTAAATGTGTGAATGAAACAAAACTCCAGGTATGTTTTTGATAAGGAAACAACATTATAACATAGATCAGAAAATACTAGCAAAATATTGGCCCTTTAAAAACCCTCTTCATACCTGATGTAGTTGTATGCTTTGTAGTGGTTCTGGTCCAGGATAGTGGCGGACAGGCCGATGAACTCCAGCTCCCTCCTCTTCTCCTTGTTGTCATAGAAAGAGTAGAATTCCATGGCGGACTCCACGAGCAGGTCCGTCTCCTCGTACCGGTGAACCTCACACAGAGTGAACAGGCAACTCAACAGCAACTGCCACCAGTCCTCTTTAGACAGCACATTGGTTTTACCTGGAAACACAAAAATAAGTTTATTATACAGACTTAGACTTGACAGACTTTATTACTTTATTGTTTTGATTTCGAGTTTGTGCCAAGAGAGAAAAAATAATTAGATACATACTACATATATATTGTAAACAACAGAAAAGCGCATTTCTCAAAGTAGGAAGAAGGAAACTTATATTAACCCAGCTCTATTCATTCATTCATTTACTATTGATCCACAAGGGAAATTATCTGGACATACATTTTCTTCAATAGCATACTGCACCATTATATTATTTTCTATACACATAAGAAGAACTGGGCTCTTTTTTTTTTTTTTTTTTAACGAAGTTTTAATACTTTGTTGGTTTTGACACAGTATTAAAAGAATGTTACTTGACAGTTCAAGCACAAATACATGCTTGAATCTACTGGTTTAGCTAAAAGAAATAGTCTTACATGGAAGTTATATTGTTATTACTACTTTTTATATAGTTTTAGATAATTATTCCAGTTGTACAAGAAACAAAAAATGTATCAAATAGCGTACCCAGCCATATAAATAAGAAACAAACTCTATTTCAATACTAAGGCATAGACTAGATACTTGATACCGATTCTGATACCACAATGATAACAAAAAAAAACTCTTTCTTTAGACAAAAGAATGTGATGTTCAACATTCAATCATACTTTCTTTGGTTGGTTTTATATCTGTCTAATCCCTCAGTGGCCCACATAGGTTTCACAGTGGTCCATGGGCGTATACTATTCTACATGGTCTTATATTTATTCTGATACAGTACAAGCTTATTCTAAATGGTTCTAAAAAGTTCATTTGTGACCTGTGAATGTGACATTTTTAGTAACGATACTTGCTCAAATTAGTATTTCGTTTTGATACTAGTTTCAATATCAAATAGAGTCTGATTTTGTACCACTAAATCTTTCTATTGCTTCATAATCAGCATATCAACAATACTATATAAATAAGCTATAGATCACTAGTCATTATTTTATAGGAACTAGAATAGTAAAATCATACTGTATATGCAAAGTTAGCAGTAGTTCTGTCTTATATTTACGCTATGGCCACACAACAAACATATAACGCCTGAAAACATATGGCACAATTTGGAAAAACAAAACACTACAGTTACTACAACAAGATGAAATGAGCCAGGCTTCAAACAGCTCTCAACAATAAACAGCTTTGTGCTCACATATGGAAACTGCTAATAGATGCTGACACTAGATACTGTTCTGCCAAGTCCTCCTGCTGGCTCTGGCCTCTGAACCAGTAAGGCCTCCAGGAACGTTTAGAAGAAGCCAGTATAAACTATGAAACCTAATGTACCAGTGTTGTCCAGATAGGCCGCTTCATGGTCTGTGATCTCTGGTTCTGGGGCTTGGGCCTTCACCAGCCTCAGGTGAGTCTCTCCAGATATGTTTACACAGCGGACAGACACTTTAGCGCGCTGCATGGCCACCTAAAACAAAGAAGTATACATACGTTTAATTACAGTTTAATGGTAAATGTGCAACTTCATTTAAAGGGCCCATATTACGCTATTTTCTGATCTGTGTTGTTTCATTCACACATAAGCTGAGTTCTACTCTAAACTAAACACTATGTTTTTAAACTCCATACACCTTCACTGGAATATTCTGTGCAATTTCAGCCATGGAATTGCCAATTCTACTGAACAAAAGGTAAAAGTTAATTTGAAAACTACTGCTTCATGATGTGGCAAGGTGAGACTAAGCATTTTGAAAAGTAGACAGACTAACGATAAAGGATTATTCAAACATATGGGAATGAAACAAAACACAACTCAAGAGTATGTTTTTGAGGAGACAACAGCAGATTAATATGGTTTAAAGCTCACAAGGGATACTTGTGCATACAGGACATTTAAATGGTGCTGTTTTTGCCCTTACAGACACTACAAACAGACTGTTGTCAGTTTTCCACACCTATGTTTGTTCCATATAGGTTATGACCTTTACAGAACAAGTACAACAACAACAAGCGTAATTAGTGTTAAACATACTGAATACACTGCAGTCAAACTCTTCAGTGTGTGTGTTACCTTCAGCAGCATGGAGATCATACTGATCATTGAATCTAAATAGCCTTCGGTTTGTCCTTGTGTCTTGAGTAATGTTGAACGATGCAGTAACAGCTTTAGCTCCTGGAAACACATACATCATTTTTTACTTGACTGTGGAGTACAAGGATACGGGACCTTTCACAAGTGTTAAAAACAGATGAGAGATGCATGTGGTGTTGCAAACTGCATTTTTCTCACCAGATGTCACTAAATATTTTGTTACATAATAATTATATGTCCTGTCTGCATTCTGGGTGATTTTGGGACACCAAGGTTTAAATTTCTGAACACTCCAAAGCAGCCCAATGCAATCTGGAAAATGTTCTTAACTCATATAAACCTAAATAAATGTACCAAACCCCAAATCTTGATATAAGTGTGCAGAGGATATTCAAGAAAAATATTGTCAGATAGAACCTAAAACATTTTTGGGTACGACTTTAAGAGGGGTATTTTACATCACTAGAGTATAAAACTGCTAACATATAACATATTTAGATCACTATGTTACCTTTTATTGTTTGAAAATGCTATATTCACTGAAAACAATGTATTAACATCATTTTTGATAAGTTTGACTTTCATTTTTGATGCTGAGTGAGTGACTTCTCTTCACATGAGGTTTGTCAAGTTGCTGTGTACAGTTTTGCATCATGCTTCTGTATAGTTATGGAGAATTGTTGTGTGCGGGAGCATGGGTAATGTAGGCTTGTGGGCGGAGCATTGTACAGAATCTTATAGCTAACCGAAAGGAGGGTTCGAATAGGGCCCAGGAGAGATCGCTACATTACTGAAACATGGATAAATGATACCTAAAACCTGCTCAGGGGCTTTTGGTTAGGAAATTACTCTACTATACATTTCAGGCTTGTCATCTGCCCCACTTGCCTTCTGTGCAGCGGAGGAGTCCTGTGCTAGCGTCTCACTGTCGTACATGGGCTCCAGAGCTTTCAGGGCCTCTTTGGGGCGTCCCAGCTGCTGCAGGAGAGTGGCCAGAGACAGACGGGCCTCGAGGTGCTGAGGGGCCTTCTCCACCACTTTAGAGTAACTGTCGGCAGCAGCGTCCATGTGACCCAGTGCCTTCAGACACTCTGGTACACAAGAAACCAGGGTTAGAACAGTATAACAGAGAAATATTATAAATATAGCAGAAAAGTCATTAAAGGTGCATTGCATAACTTTTCTGGTGGTGGAAATTACTTAAGCATGCATGGATGACATCTAAAACCTCTTCACGCATTGTTTTTTGATAAGGGAACAATGTTATGACACCATAGAAAACTTTTAAAAAAGCATAATACCCCCTCTTGTAATGTAATTACGCTTTTGTCCTTTATTGATCAGTTGTAACATACAAAGATAATTATATAACATTTTATTCATTGCCATATTGATCTAATTGAAATGACTTGAAAATGACTAAAATAAGGGTAAATACATATTATATTTTTGGTATCCTATAGTTACTGGCAACTGTATGAATTCACATCAAATATTAAATTGAATATTTCAGAGATTTCAGATTTTTTTGGTTAAAAATATCAGGTTACATATGGACTTGACTGATTATTAATGTTTGTATGCTGTGTTTTTTTGAGTGTGGAGAGAGGGACGGGTTGTGGGAGTTTTTGTTCTGTTTTGTTTGTTTTCATTATATATAATTTTAAAATTGAAAAAAATAAAAATATAAAAAATAAATAAATACATTTAAAAAAATAACAGGTTACATTTGATTTTAAATGATTTACCAGCGTGCCGGAGCCAGACCACAGCCAGGTTGTACTTCTCGGATATGACCAGTGAGGTGAGCAGGGGCAGGGCTAGGAGATACTGCCCCTCCTCCAAATATGCTTCACTCACATCCAGATACAAGTCCCCGATTTCCTCTGCACTTTGTTCAATTAGCGAAGCCACCAGACCCTGCCAACACAGAGAAAATATGAGTTTACAACCACTAAATAATGTAATATGTTTTATTAAAGCGCAGTTACCTCCAGGGGGCTGAAGACGTGCAGGTGAATGAGGCAGACAATGAGCTTGGCTTTCAGATCTACAGGGACGCTGTCTGGAACCTGCACCTCTGTAATTTTACCTGAGCAAAAACACAGAGCAATATCAAAGAGACTTTAACAATAAATATATAAGCAGAAAACACAGTGAAGATGTGATGATGCATTTTCACACATAGGAGGCGCTAAAACAATTCCAATTTATATTACATGTGTGGCAAGAGATTTCTATTGAATTTCTGTAATGACTCTACAATCAGAATGGTTCATTTGTGGGCTAATTTTGTCGCCAGTATAAAAGATCCTGTCACTTCATTGGCAGCAGCTATAATCACAAATCACTTTTCAATTAGAGCTGATATGAGAGTCCCAACAATTACTACTGGTATTGTTATGGCTGACACGTACTCTGAAGGCTGAATACTATTCACTACTATATTTTGGAAACAGAATATTTTTATACTTGAACATTTGAAATGCAAAAGCTATTGTAGTGAGATTGGTGAGACATTGAGTGACATTAACTGAAATTGTTCAATAATTTGTATGAGCAGGTATTTTATTTAGAACTGAAGCTAAGTTTTCAAGGTCAAGGTATACAGTGAATATATGATGTACTTTACTTTTAATTAAAGGTCCTATATAAGGTTCATTTTCATTCACACATGTTTGAGTAATCCTTTATTATTAGTCTGTCTGCAAAGCTCAAAATGCTCTGTGATGTTTTCAAGTTAACAGCTACCATTTACCTTATGCTTAGTAAAGAATGGCAATTCTAGGGTTGAAATAATCCAAATAATTCTAATGAAGGTGTACGGAGATTAAAAACACATCCTGTATTACCACATGACATCACAAGATGATTTTCAGTTTGAGAGACTAAATATGCAAGAGTTGTGTTAAACATGTGTGAATGAAACTAATCACAACCCCAGTTATGTTTGTGATGAGGAAACAACATATAACATAGTATACAGTAATATAAAAAAATAGCATAATAGACATAACATTTTGGCCTGTACTCACCATATTGTTCCGTTGAGTTCCCCTCCATATTTTTCAGCTCTGCTCTTTCAGCATCTTTATTGGTCCTAGTCTCCTCTGTACTTGTCTGTGCTACAGGGTCAGGTTTAGGATCAGGCTTAATTTCAAGTTCAGGTTCAAGATTAGGTTCAGGCTTGGGTTCAGATGTAGGTTCACTTCTTACCACCTGAACTCCTGAAAACTTCTCCAGAATCTATAAAAAACAAAATGAAATATATTTTAATGGTACATATAAAGGTCCCAAGAAAGCATAGTATTCAAGACACGTACCTCTACTGCTTTGTTGTACTGTTTGTTGGCGATGTAGAGCTCGCCCGCCATGTTGACGATGTCATCACTGACCAGATCAGGGTGGCGAGTGAGGGCTTCCTCCATCACCCCCAGAGCAGCAGGGAGGTCATTGCTCTCATAGTAACTCCTACAAACAACACACACACACACTTGTTAAGTACAATGCAAGACAAGTACAAGCTAGGATAAAACAAGACAGCCTGACATAAGATAAAACAAGGTAAGATGAGACAAGATCAGGGGTCTCAGACTCGCGGCCCGGGGGCCAACTGCGGCCCTCGGAAGGATTTTTTGCGGCCCTCCACTTAATTCCAAAGAATAATGTCAGTGCGGCCCGCGGTAGATATACGCACAATCCCACCCCCCGACCGCGGGCCGCACTGACAGATGAAGCTGCAATCCGTGCCCATGCAGACTCACAACAACAGATTATTAACGCATTTTACATCCCAAAACTCAATTTACAGCAGTTGTGAAGCAACGAGTCTAAGTGGATCTGTTAATACGAGTACACGTGCACATACAGCGTCACCGAAGAACCAAAACAAACCACACATGGTGGTACACGTGTGCGCACTTCACTTTATGCTCCCACAACCACAGTATCAGAGCAGAGGAGGCGCTGACAGAATTCCCCTGTTCATAAGTATGGGACCTTTATTGGAGGATGTAATAAGAAATAAAAAGACATTGACAGTCTGTTTACCTGCTCAACACTCTGTGCGTAACTTGCTGGCAACCCGATGAACAAGCTCCACCTGTGCGTCGCCGAAATCCACGCGCACTCAGCGGCAAACAGCTGTCCCATCAATATGCAAGCACGACTAAATTGCAGTGATCTATTCCAGAGGCTTGGCGACACATTAGCAAAAAGTACGAGGCAAAAACAAACGTCTTCCATCCATGTTTGACATACGAGAAGCAGATACACTCCAGTGTGGTCCGCTTTCACACCGGCAAACGAACCAAAACTGGTCCGATTAACGAGCCTCTGTATCCCGGTAGAACAGCGATATCTCCAGTAACCAATACTTATGTTCCCTGTTAATACCGTGGGCCGTCCTCATCTTATCACCATGAACTCATAAAACAGCAACATGTAGAACTTTCTACAAACTCACCACATCAGCCCAGAGTTCGGGAAACAGCAGCAGCCAACAGCGCTCACCGTAGCGGGCAGCTCCTCACGACAGCGCTGGGGTCTGGTCCTTGGTCTTCTGTCATCCTACAAGCGTGTTGGTCAGATGGTTCGAAGGCTCTGTCCTCCATGTGCTGGTTCCAGAAAGTGGCGAGCAAGACCAGCTCGCAATGGTTCCGTGCGGGGAAAATGAGACAGCGCTGTGGACTATACCAACAGGTCTGTGCGGGCTGCTCCGGTCCTCCGAGCAAAGCATCCAGACAGAAGCGTGAATCCAGTTTAGTTGGTGTCCGTCCTCCGCGCATTTGGTTCTTCCCGGGAAAAGCGCTTTTCACTCCTTGCTCCACGTCATCTAAGCCCGGACAGAACCGGAGCTGCTCCTGCATCTTCGGGACTCTGGTTTGGATCTAGTCCGACTGTATTTCTCACACGAGGCTAAAAGCAGGACATTTTTTAAAGATGAATCAATTGAATGGGCGATTGCCTATTGCCATACATTATTTGCTTAATTAAAAGCCTAAAATAACAAATGCTGGTTCCTACATGATCACGGGGAACACCGGCACCTCTCTGTGACTTCTGAACAGAAGTACACACCCCCAATTTTGACTCACTCTGGAGCCACACGTTCGCATGTTCTTGCTCTGATCTTCATGTGTTACATTCTCTGTATTGGCCATTGTTGGTAAAATATTTCGAAACTGAATCGCGGCTGCGTCAGGACAACAATCTGTTATTGCGCTGGAGTCGTACAGCGCGTCATTTCAGGCAAAGGAGATGCGTTTCTCCCATGATGCATTTCGAATAGTTCGTTTGGACCTGCTGTCTATGGTTTGGACCCGGGTTCGCGTCCACACCAGAGGAACCGCACCAAAGTTGGTCATTTGGTGCGGATTCAAGCGAACCGAGACCACCTCTTTTTTGCTGTCTCGGTCCGCTTGAGTTGGTCCAGGTCAGAGTCCGATTGACACTTTCACACCAACGCAAACAAACCGAACTAACCACTTTTGGTTCGAATGGACCGTTTGGTGCGCACCAAATACTGTCGGCGTGAAAGCACCTAATACAGGTCAAGGCTCACTGATGAGCATCTTCAATCTATCCTGAGGATCTCATATGCTTCCTCCTGCAAACCAAATATGTCTCAGCTGTACAAGATGAAGCGTAGCCAGGTTTCAACCAGCAAGAAGTAGGCAAAAGAAGAAGAGTAGACGTATTAGTTTAAACTTATGTTCTGAATACGTTTTCATGTTCTGAGCTGTTATTAAAGATTAAGAAAGTGTGTTGCGTGTTGTTCTTTTTCTTTTTTCTCCCGTGCAATCGCTATTTATCGAATACTCAATGCGGCCCAGCCTCACTCAGACTTTATCTAATGTGGCCCCCAGGTAATTTGAGTTTGAGACCCCTGGACAAGATGATAAGAGGGGGTATTAAGGAATCCTCCGGTGCAGTCCTTATATAGGGTTAGTTTAAACTTGAATTAGACATATTTTAGTAATAAGTTTAGTTATAATTTAAAAGCCAGATATTTTAAGATAAGTTAGACAATATCAGAATAAGAAAGCCAAATAAGGTTTCAAACAGACCAATTTTTAAAAAAATGCTTTGAATAAAACACAAAATATAATAAAATAGTAGAATAAAAAGTAGAATTTGAAAATAAATGGTGTAACATTTTTGTTCTGAACTCATATTATCATAGTGAAATGTTTGTGACTTACTTGGCCATGTCTTTGGAGAGCTGCATGAAGTGCTCTCCCTCCTCCATGGGCAGCAGAGACAGGATTTTGCGGTAGCCATCCATACACGGCCTGTGTTCCCCGAGACGCATGTGCAGGTTACAGCGCTCCCACAAGTAACGCACATTCGTGGGGTCATACTTGATGGCTAAAAACAAGATTGTTATCTTTAGTATTTGCATGTTCATTTTAGTGTTTAAAGGCACATTGTGTAACTTTTCTGATGCCAACGTGTCTCCATGGAGATGTGAATGACTAAACAGTAGCTCAGTTGGTAGTGTGTTCATCCTTACAATTTGATTCTGTACATGCTATCATTATAGAAACTAGCTGCTGACGCCATGATGCCAAGTTACAGGTCAGATCTGTGTAGAGGTGACACAGCTGACTGTAAGAATACCTTTTTAGAGCAGACAAGTTTAATACCATACTACGGAACATTCCAGGCAAAGCAATGTCATCTCCCTGGAGTCAGCCCCCTTCCAGAAAAAGTTCCATAGTACAACTTGAATTCTTTTATGATTAGTGTTTTTAACTCAAACCTTTAGAGTAGCAGACGATGGCTTGACGGATGTTGTCTTGCTCCAAGGACATTTCAGCCAGTCTGATCCACTCGTCACAGTCGGAGGGGTTGAGGTGGGCAGCAATCAGGCCAAACTGCAGGGCCTTTTCCATGTCCCCCTCGTCCTCGTAGATCATGGTCAGGGTGGAGAAGGGCTCATAGGCCATAGGAGCTGCAGCAACAATAAGTTATTTTGGTGGGTTAATTTTGCATACAATACTCAAAACAATATCAATCAATCTGCAATTTTTCTGACAAGCATTACAGTTACAATTAGGGTTTGCGATTTATGTTTTAATAGGATTCTGTTCAAAGTCAACATTTGAAGCATGTCCAGAAGAATTGACAAAAAGACCAAGAGATAAACTGACAATACAAAAATCACATTTCAGAAAATGTTTGTACAGATCAAAAATAAGTCGCAGTTTGCTAATTGCTAAAAATTCTAGCTGCTGACATTGTTTTTCATAGCTGGATGAATACAAAATGTACTTAATTTGCATACAAATTACTTTATCTCTATGTCCCTTACCTTGTCTAATGATTTCCATGCACATTAGAATAGCATCACTCTTTTCTCCTCTGGCGTAGCGGATGTTGGCTTCTCCCATGAGGCCTCTGAGAGCACGAGGAAGTTTGCTACGATTACGGCGCTCCTGTAGTAACACAAGGTACACTATATAACAAGGTAGGTTCACTATACAACAACTTGACAATATTAAGTTGTTACATAGTGAACAGTAACTCAATATATTCATCATTATGAATTATATATTATTATAATATTTTTGTTTTCTTATTATTCAAATTATATTCAAAGTGCAAAATCTGATTAGAGTAATCAAAGTGACCATAATCAGAAAGACATGTGATTTTGCAATTAGTGATTATTTTTTTGTGATTTTTTTGTAATATGTAATTTTAATAGTCTTATAACTAAAATCTGATACTATAACCATTGTCAAAAGCCAACATGTGATATCTGATTGGTGTGCCTCTATACTTAGTGCTTACCCTCATCAGCTTCTTGCTCTCTCGGTTCAGTTCCATCTCCAGAGCGAACACATCTCCAGCTGTAGGATTCTCTCCATCCTCCTCAGTTATCCTCTTCCTCCTGTCTTTCTTTCTGCCTCCGCTCCTTGCCTTCTTTTTCCCTTCACCCTCTATCACACCCTGCTCTTTTTCTTGGGTCTCCTCTGCTTCCATCTTGTAGTCTTCATCGTTGACATCGTCCACATAGCTCAGTGCATCACCATCTTCCTCTTCCTCTTCTTCGTCTTCCTCTTCTGCATCATCTTCCTCATCTTCTGAAGAGGGCTCTGGTTGGGACTGTCCCAGGATGGAGGCAAACGCCAACTGGACACCAGGGCTGACTCCCTCTGAAGAAGAAAAAAATGTTGGAGGAAGGAAGACAGAAGATACATGATTGTGTTACAGTAGCATATGTTCACAATAAATATATACACTGAATTGTTAGGCTCTAAATTAAAGTAAAGAAAAATAATATACACCTATGAGTGGCTCCCACTAAAATATCAAACTTAATTTCAATACTAAGGAATAGACCTGTACTCAATCCTGATTCCGATATCACACACAATAGAATGTAGACAACAGACAACAGAATGTGATTTTCAACAATAAATCATAATACTTTCTTTTATATTATCATGTAGCCTTATATCTGTGTAATCCTTCAGTCGTCCAGGTAGGTTCCGTTGTCCATGAATGTATAGTGATCTATGTTGTCTTGTACATGTTCTCATTCAGCTCAAGATCCTGCTAAAGGTATTCAGGAAAGATTCATTTCTGTCCTGATACTTGTTCAAACGAGATTCTATACCAGTTTTAGTACTGATTAATATAAAATTTTGACAACTCTAATACAGCCCTAATACACACTCTAAAACATCAGCCAAAGGGGCTCTCAAATCAAAGTGTCAAAATAGAAAAAAAACAAAAACTATTATTTTCAAACATTAACTCACTTTATTTGTAATTCTCTATCTAGAATCATTCTATCACCATTTTTCAACCTGCATCAGTTTAATCATCTCATTTCTAATCTTGAAAAGAGTTTGTTTGAGAGAGTAGTTGCCTTCATAGAATAATAGGTCTATACTGTTTAAGTCAAAATGTGCTCTTTACCAATTTTCTCAGTGAGTGCAGAAGATGTGGACGGTGCAGGCTCCTTCTCCTCATCCTCTGTTGCTTCTGATGCTTGGGTGCCCAGCTAAAAACAGACACAAACCAGATGAGACTACACACTGCTAGGTTTTTGATAAGAAGCACCTGAAGTTGCCTTGCAGATCTATCAAACTGCAATAACATGCTACAGAAAAGAATAAAATAGTACCGCAGTTTTTCGCTCGTCTCTCCTCCTGTCAAACTCTTCAAAAGTGATTCTCCCTTCCAGGTAGTCTATTAGCTCCGCGCTAAATCCCGACATTTTGCGGTTATTGTTGTGGATAGCGTGATGCTAATGTGCTAAAAAGACCGCACTACACAAATAATGTCCTCGTATAAGAGGAGGTTACGTTTAAAGAAATGAACTAAACTCAAAAGCATGTGTGCATTACAAACGCGCCTTGTATGCTATCAAAACAAAGGTCACGTGATCTACTACTTCTTCGCTGAAAAATCAACCACCTACAGATTCCTGCGCGCCCTCTTGTGGATGGGGATAAGCATAATATCAACGAAGGCATAATTATTTAAGTCTGCAGCCTATAATTTTAAAGAGCCATTTCCGCATTTCGCTATTTCCCGCTAAACATACCTGGAGTTGTGTTTTGTTTCATTCACACATGTTTACCACACAAATTCTGCATATTTAGGCTGAGTTCTTCTCTCAAACAAAAACACTCTCCCACCTTGTGAAGTCATGTGGTAATACAGAACGTGCTCCACTGTGTTTTTAAACTCAGTGCACCTTCACTAGAATCATTTGGATGATTTTAGCCTTTGGAGATGTAAAGAGACCAATAATAAAGGATTACTCAAACAAATGTGAATGAAACAAAACAGAACTCTGTGTATGTTCTAATGTATTAACAACATTCTAACATGGCTTAAAGCCGACAAGAGTCAATGTTGAGTAATATAGGCCCTTTAAGCGTACATATATTTTTATGCCATGTTATCCAGCTATTTATGCCCATTGAAATAATAAATTAATGGCCATAAACTGGAGGGTAGTACACAATATTTACACAGGCATTCAGAGTCAGTGCTCTTCATTTATTTCAGTCCAGAAGGTGCCCGCTCACAGGGCCTCTGAAGCGTTCATAATAGCCAGTTGCACAAGGACTATTTGTTTTGGTGGAAGAGGCCGGGCTTTACGTCAATCATATCTCGTTTCCATTTGTTAAGGACCTTCTGTTGTTACTGCAGACTTCATTAAATCGCAGCTACTGTTTATGTAGTGTGGCGCTGGGGCTCATAATGTATTTTCATGGTTATTGCACTGTTTTGATGAAAATGTGAAGAGAGTGGATTAGCTCGAATTAATGAAGCCTGACTGGATCATCACATGTTTTTTGACAACAAGGAATAACACAATTTATAACTGTTTTGATTTTTTAGAATCTAAAATATGCTTAATTTTAGTAGTGGCATATTTAACCAAACTTCAGGAGCGTGCATGAATGAGCTGCCTTACGCCAACAGCCCTACATCCAAAAATCTGTACATGGCTTTGGAGCTTTTCATTGCGCTGCTTGCTATTACCGGCAACTTCTTGGTTTGTTTGGCCTTCACCCGAACCAAGAGGCTCCGAACGGTCACCAACTACTTCCTGGTAAGAATTAGATTTGAAATAGTTTTATGTAGAGAGTGAGTAGATGGATTAAACTTCCTACATTAAACAAGAATTGACTCTTGTGAGCTTTAAGACGTGTTTGAATATTGTTCCCTCATCAAAAACATACCTGGAGTTGTGTTTTGTTTCATTCACACACGTTTGAGAAATCCTCTATTATTATTATTATTATTACATCTCCAAATGCTCTGTTCCACCTTGTGATGTAATAAAACAGTATTTTTCAAATTAACAGCTACATTTTACCTTCTGTTTATGTTTAGTAGAGACTAGAAATTCCAGGGCTGAAATGAAGTGTTTTCTGTTTGAGAGAAGAACTCAGCCTTAACATGCAGGGTCTGTGCATTCAACATGTGTGAATGAAATAAAACACAACTCCAGGTTTGTTTTTGAAGAGGAAACATTATAACACAGATTAGAAAATAGCATAATATGAGCCCTTTCAGTAAACCTATACGTATTTGTTTTGAAGGCGTCTCTGGCTGTGGCGGACATGTTGGTGGGGTTGGTGGCCATCCCCTGTGCTGTGTTCACTGACCTGGGACAACCTCACCACGACCTGCCTCTGTGTCTGCTCATGCTCAGCGTGTTACTGGTGCTCACACAGGTACCACTGACTTCTCTGTAAACAACAATGGAAGAAAAGATAGGCGTTAGTGGATGTCACCTTTGCATTGAAATGAATGAAAATATGATTGAACATAAGTGGTTTAGTGGGCTCAAATCTCACATAAGAAACCAATTAATTTAAGGTTGTGTACATAATTTGATGTTTTAATTTCAGATGAAGCTAAAGGGTCTACAACTATACATAATTAAACTTTTCACTGTCTTCACTGCCCCAAATAATTCACAAGAAAATCTGTTACAGTTGCTTTCTAATGAAACTTAATAACTATCTAAGCAATCAAGTAACTTAAAGGGGCACTATGGAACTTTCCTGGTGCTGTTTTCCTTTGCTTGTCTCCATACTAGAGATGTTATTGCTTTGCCTATAATGTTCCACAGTACAGCATTATACTATCTCCACAGGTGAAGATACAACTCAAATTTTCAATGTAACTTTAGCAATAAAAACCTAAATAAAATGCAAGATGGATACATTAAATGCTATACTGTGGAACATTCCAGGCAAATGACATGACAAATTACAATGTGCAACTGTAAATTCATGTTTTAATTCTAAGCATGGAGTATTAACCCAACTACTATTCATCTAAACGTCTCCAGAGCTCTGTCTTGAGTCTGTTAGCCGTAGCCGCCGAGCGCTACATGGCCATCCTGATGCCCTTCCAGTACCAGCGCCTGATGAGCCCCAGAGCCGCCCGCCTCACCCTGCTGTTCACCTGGACCATGGCCGTGCTCTCTGGGTGTGTGCCCATCATCCACTGGCGGAACCAGGACTCCACGTAAGACCAAACTGAAAAGACAGAACAGAAGTAAATAGAGGAAGCTTTGTGTACTGATTACACCCAATCCAGATCCTAAATATTCTAAAGGTTTGTGAGCTAGAAATGTGAAAATAGAGTAAGTTTGGTAGCTTCATTGCACGGTTCAACTTTAAATCTAAGGCAAATATTGTTTTTTGATAAGCTGAAATATAAACAGAACTTGTCATATTGGAAGGTGATCTGCCCCAAACAAACTTTAACATCTGCAATATTTATTTTTTTATTTGAGTGAAATTTTGCCTCCTCAAGCTTTCTTAAAATTCAAAATAAATGCCACGAAAGTCCTAGTTATAATGCCATATCTAAATAATCATTAAAGAACTGTAATATATGTGAAAAGGTTGTAAATGTGAATTCAGAATGATTGATATTTTGTTCCCCTTTTTAATTTAAAGATGCACTATGTAACTTTACAGGTGGAGTGTCTACCTGTACCACCTGTTTGTCTCTATAGAGATGTTATTGCTTTGCTTAGAATGTTCCACTGTATGGCATCAAACCTATCCATCTCCATGGAGACAAGAAGGTCAGGCCAAGTTATTTTAAATCAATAATAACAAATTGTATCAACCTTCTTTTCTCATTCTTGTCAACAGTAAAATATCAATGGACGTCACTATGTTGTATTTCACTTTTATGGCCTATTCATAATCCATATATCTCTCATCACAGGTACTGCGTCTTCACCTGTGTCATCGATATGAGCTTCATGGTTTACTTCAACTTCTTCTGTTTCATGCTAGTACCTCTCATCGCCATGTTCATCATCTACGCTCACATTTTCCTCATCGTCCAGTGCCAGCTCCGTCGCATCGCCCAGACCCGGACTCGCACCCCCAGCAGCGGGAGTGTGGACGCTGTTGAGGGACAAACTAGAAACGACACACAAAGACCATCCATTGACTCTATATTCACTCTAACTAATGCGCTTGACCCAAATAGGGTGAAAACAATACGTACTCACCAGGAGATGCAAAAGGCCACCTCCCTCTTCCTCCTCCTCTTCCTTTTCACTTTGTGCTGGATGCCGATTCACCTCATTAACTGCGTGCTCTTCTTCTGTCCGACCTGCAATGTGCCCGTGTCCATAATTCTAGTGGCCATCATGTTGTCCCACGCAAACTCAGCGCTCAACCCCGTCCTATACGCGTACAGGCTGACGTCCTTCAGGAGGGCCCTTGTGGACATGTGGAGGTCTATGTGGGGATGTAAACACAACTGAAGGATTAAAAATTACACTTTTAATTTGTACATCATGTTTACTGCTTGCAATTAATGTAGCTTATTTATTTCAGTATGTATGAGTAACTTTTTAAAGGTTGAATGGTTAAAATTGACTCTTGTGAGCTTTAAGCCATGTTAGAAAGTTGTTATCTCATCAAAAACATACCTGGAGTTGTGTTTTGTTTCATTCACACATGCTTGAGTAATCCTTTATTATCAGTCTGTCTACATCTCCAAAGCTCAAAATGCTCTTTTCCACTTTGTGATGTCATGAAGTTATAGTTTTCAAGTTAACAGCTACTTTTTATCTTTAGTTCAGTAGAGACTGTCAATTCTAGAGCTGAAAGTATCCAGCTGATTCTAGTGAAAGTGTATGGAGATTAAAATTATAGTAGAGCACTTCCTATTTTACCACATGACATCATAAGGTGGAACAGTGTTTTCAGTTTGAGAGAAGAACTCAGCCTAAAAATGCAGGATTTGTACGTTAAACATGTGTAAATGAAATAAAACACAAATCCAAATGAGGAAACAACATTATAACATAGATGAGATCTTAGATGAGTTTTTATTTACATTTACAATAAACCACTGTGCTCTTTCTTGAGTAAAACTTCCCACTGTGAATTAGCCCCAAAACCTTCATGAGGACATTGCATTTTTTTTTTTCACCAGTGCTTCAGATAAAACTTTGTGTTTACACTGAATTTAGATCTGCACCAGTTTTTGTGCATTATGTAAGTCTACAAGGTTAATTTCTACACTGTCCTAATGCCAACACAAAGGAGATAACAATTTAAATTTGATGTTGCAAAAAAAAAAATCTGTTTTTAAATTATCCTTATTGCTTTGGCTAAGTTGTACTACTAGACATAAACGTACCTGATCTTTTTTTTTTTTTTTTCTTCAAACCTTGACAGTTTGAGCTGCACTTTTCTGCGTCCTTCAATGTCATGTGGTCTTCCTGTGGCACGCCTGGTCCTACTCAGAGCAGCAGGAGGACAGCGCCATCTGCAGTCAGACTCCTTCATAGCTCCTTCATAGCTACCTGGTTTGAGCTTTGGATAGAAGTTTCTCTGATAGAGCAGAGTAGACCCTTCACCATCTTTTCCTCAGCCTCATTCTCCAGACTCTCCCTTTCCACTAAATGATCTTGGATTTCATAACAGAGAAAGCATTTTTCTTTTCCAGATTTTCCTCTCAAGTCTTGTTCCCAGTTAATTAATTTGCTCTGCCGTCTCCAGACATCTCCTTTCAATGGCATGAACCTCTCTCTTTTCCTTGGCCAGTTCAGTTTTGTAGCAGCAAACGTCTTAGGACGTTAGAGGTGCGTGATGTTTTTGTCTTTTAAGAGGCGTAGAAATGAATGACTCTTAAAATACAGAGACACTTTAACCATAGAGGGCAGCACACACTCAGTTTTAGTTACAGACCACAAAGCTGCAAATTTACCTGGTTCATTGGCAGTGGTGGAACGTGATTAAATAAAAGTAGTAAAGTACTGTACTTTAAGTAATTTTAGGTATTTGTACTTCACATAAATACCTTTTACGTTTGCTTCACTACATCTGAGAGCTGGTATCTGTACCTTCTACTCCACTGCAATTTTTGAATGGTAAATACTTTATTATAGTTTGAGTCCTGCTGAAAAGCTTGAGGGTTTATTTCTAACATGTTTGTAGTTTGAACAAACAAATATACAAAAAATAAAAACAGCTGGGGAAAAAAATGATCGACTCAATTCTTTCTGCTCAACAAAATTCAGCACAAATCCTTGTCAAAATCACTACAGAACATTAAAATCTTTTTTAGAGCTCAAATTATGAGGAAAATACTTTTACTTTTCACTCTGTAAGTACATTTTTAAATGTACTTTAATATTTTTAAGTATTTCTTCACTCCAGTATCCATACTTTTACTTACCTCGAGTACTTCATTCACCTCTGCTACTATGAACAGTAAATAAAGCTACTAAAAACCATATGTGCAGTTTAGCTACAAAATATGCTTTAGTTTTTAATTTTAAATAACAAAATATCAATGATTAGTTTAATCTAATTTAAGAAACATACATTTTTATTTTTTTTACCTTATGTTCTGAAAATTGTTATTGAGACCAAGTATTTTTCATGTTTCGCAATGTTTTCTTTTTAAAATTATAATTACTTTCCATTTTTGAAATTAAGAACAAACAAAAAAAATGGTCAAAACAATAAAAAGCCACCCTCTCTCCACACTCAAAACACACAAAACTACACAAAAAAACTCTAGATACACAAGTCCAGTCCTGTAAAAAATAAAATAAAATCAAACTCAGAAATGACCAGAAGCCAGTCCGCTGAACATAACTGCGTGCTTTATTGATATACAGTAAAGCATTTTATAATACAGTAGTAAGGCATATATTTGGTGGAATCTGATATGTTGTGACGTATAGACGCGTTATTTCAGACGTGAGGGTGGTGAAGATGAGAAGACAAAAAAGTTAGAACAACTCAGTTTCAGTGTCCGTCTGGTTTGAAAACAAAAACTTTTGGATCATGCTGCCAAAAACATAACACAAAAATACACACACCTCCTACACTCGAGATTCTCTGAGTGGTTAGACATTAAATATAAACTTATTTTAGCCACACATGCTAAAATAATCCTAACAAAAAGACAAAAAAAGTAGCTAGAATGAGTGCATCCTCCACAAATGAAGTAACTGACAGCAGTGCACGATAGTTTGGGATTCTGAACATTCTGATCTGACCGTATGTGGTAGTAGCGTAATTGGGACATCATGCCAGACTACCCACAATGCATCTGGGTGGACTCGGGTGGGACCTGTTCTGACAAATCCGCAATGGACGTTGACGATTCGCACGAGGTAGAGCTTGCATCATCCTAACCTGTTCAAAAGGAAGCAACAAAACTCAAACTAGCAGCCTTGTAAAACGCAAAATTGTATTATTATTATTATTATTATTATTACTAGCACATTCACTTAAAGTTTGTAATAGGACCTTTGAAAATTACCAGTGCAATTTGGATTTCGGACTACAGCCTGAAACAGAGTGGACAATGCAAACTAATCTGTCAAAAAGTACAAATTTTGAGCAAAGAATATCTCTTTCTAACTCTAATAAGTCAGTATAGTCAATGTAAATGTTACTAGGTTAGACAGTAGATCAGTGGGTAGAGTTTGTCCACTGATCCAAAAGTTTGCGGTTCAAATCCCGTTCTCGACATAAAGATCGTCATATTAAAGGTGCACAATGTAACTTTTCTGGAGGGGGTTTTCCAATTACTTGCGTCCATGGGGATGTTGCTGCTTTTCCTGGAATGTTCCACAGTATGGCATTAAACTACAAGTATATAACTCGTAATATATATCCATTCTTTAACCACAAACGGGGTTCCCACTGTTTCACTGACAAAATGTTTACACTTTTCCATGACTTTTTCATGACCTAAAGTGAATTTTCCATGGTTCCCTACATGTGTAGAATAGATCATACTTTTAGTGCTAAATATGAAATGTTAACCCTTTCCACTTATCTTATGGCTTGGTATTACAGTTTTTTAACATTCAAAATATTGTCAGTGCATTAGCGTCTCTTTTAAACAAAAGGTGCATACGTTCAGAAATAACCATAATAGCCTAATGAGAACTTAACAGAACGCTATAGTTGTGTGAAAGAGATACTAAAATTTCACCACTTTTCCAGGCCTAGAAATGACATTTTCAATTTCCATGATTTTTCAAGGATTTCCATGACTATGTGAACTCTGCATAAGACGCCTGGAATTGAAGACATGTAGAAAGACAAATTTAATACTAAAATTTCACACAAATTCTGATACTAAAGGAATCGATACTCAATACTGACTATAGCAACATGTTGGTGTGTAAAACACTCTTTAGACAACAGAATGTCATTTTCAACATTAAATCATGGTACTTTCATTATATCACCATGTGGTCTTATCTGTGTAATCCCTCAGTGGTCCAGTTAGGTTCCAGAGTGTTCCATGGGCGTATACTAGTCAACGTGCTCTTATACTTGTTCTGATAAAGCTCAAGATCATTCTAAAGATATTTAGGAAGTTAATTTCTGTCCTGTGAATCTAACTTTTTTTTTTTACTACTGATACTAGCTCAATTAGGTGTCTAGTTCCAACACTAGTTTTAATATCGATTAGTATCTGATTTGCAGTACTTTTTCAGTACCCTATTACATACTTACTACATTCCAGGTAAAACAACAACATCTCTATGGAGACAAGAAGATATCAGACCCTGTACCAGAAAAGTTACACAGTACACCTTTAATTACAGCAGTGTTTAAAGTAGCTTGACATCTTAGCTACACTCCATACCTATCTCTAGCCATTCTGTCCCAGGCTTAGTACAGTGCTTTTACATACAGTACTCCAAATCATAAAATAAGGGGAAAAAAACTATTGTATGGATGGATATATGAAGTTAAATCAAAGCTACATAATGTTACGTAATGTCAAATAGGCACCATCACACTCACACACCCACACTTAAATTGTACTGCAAAGACCCAGGATGCCAGTAGTGTAATAGAAACATCTTATAGAAAGCACCCTTACGATTACAATCTTATTTTTTCCCCCCATACAAATATGTGAAATGCTTTAGCGCTATACCCCCGTTTACAAATAGATGGCGATAGATACGATCACGTCAACACACACACTTGTATCTTGTCATTGTGCCCCAACCCCGATATACCCCTTATTTTATACAATTGCATAGAAGTTTAAAAATCAGCCTCTGTTAATAATAAAACGATTTCTCAGGACGTATTTTTTAAGAAACTACTCAAATCTACAAGTTATAATGTTTTGTCATTTTTCTTTAGTTTTTTTTTTTTAATCGACGTCGCAATCCTTCACAAAAATAGACGTTATATATTCTCTTTGTAAACTGTTGAGTTCCGATCCAGTTGTTTTGACTAGAAAAGCATGCGGCAGGTAAGGTAAGGTGGGTGGGTAGGTAGGTGGGCCGGATGGGGAGGAAGAGAAGAGAAGGGTGGAGTTTGGAAGATGAAGGGGCGGGTCTCGGAGGATGAGGGGGCGGGGTCAGAAGCGCAGGGCCTCGTGCGATTCGGCGCTCTGCTCGTCAGTCATCACGGTGACCAGAGACTCCATGGCGCGGCCCAGATCGTCCGCCATGTGGAACAAACTGCCGATGGAGGGGCCTGTGGAGAGGGGACAGAAGGATACGGGTGAGGATAAAGAGAAAATATGAACAACGCTTAAATGTATTCCTCATTGTTTTTTTTATGGACGCACATCTGAAGTTAATACAAAGTTGCTTGTTAAAGAGCCCATATTATGCTCTTTTCTAATCTATGTTATGATGTTGTTTTCTGATCAAAAACATACCAGGAGTTGTGTTTTGTTTCATTCACACGCAAATCCTTCTTCATATTTAGCGCTTATCTCAAATGCAAAACACTCCACCTTGTGATGTCATGCGGTAATACAGAAAGGGCGTCACTGTGTTTTACAACTCAGTACACCTTCACTAGAATCATTTGGATAATATCAGAGCTGGAACTGCCAATATCTACTGAACTAAAAGTAAATGGTAGCTGTTAACTTGAAAACTACCGCTTTCTGAATACTTCCAAAATGCTCTCTTCCACCTTCACAAGGTGGAACAGACACTCTGAGCTGGAGATGTAGACAGACTAATAATAAAGGGTGATTCAAGAATGTGTGAATGAAACAAAACACAACTTCGGATCTGTTTTTGAGGAGGTTTTTGAGATTATAACATGGCTTAAAGTTCACATGAGTCATTTTTTACGCAAGATAGGACCTTTAAAATGTCCCCGTTTAAAAAAAAAAAAAAGATACAGAGGACACAAGAAGGATGTAACAATATCCAAATCTCTCGGTATGATATCATGATATGCATCTCATGGTGCGATATTTACTGCAATATTTTGGAGAGGCTGATATAAATCTAGATAGGACACTTTTTTGCTTTTAAAATACCTTGATAAGATTTTGGTGTGAATTATTTCCATCATAATCACAAAGATTCAAGTAAAAAACATATCTTCATGTTGTCTGCACTGAAATGAATCATGGGATATGGAGTTCCCCGTGTTTATAAGCTGTAAAAACATACATTTAAGCAAAGGAACTTGTGATTCGATATTGTATAGTGACAGCCCACGATATTATTGTGAGACTTATGAAGATATGATCACAATATTTTGGTTATTGTTACATCCCTACACAAGAATGAAAGTACATATGGTACAATGTAAACTACCTATGTATTTTTTGTTAAATTCAGTTAGATTTTTTTGTTCTCAATCTAGCAGTTATTGAATGTACACAAATATTGCTTTTATAACTGCAGAATTTCCGAACATACAAAGCTCTGTGTAGTCCCTTGGTTATTGTCCAAGCCTGTGGTCTAAGTTTAGTCCCTGGTCTAGTCCCTGGTCTAGTCTCAAGTGTTCCACCATATACCTTCTTCAAAATAAGTGACAGTTAAAATCCATCTAAAAGCACAGTAGTACAGTAGTAGTAGTACGTAGTTTGTCCCCTGCATCACTGAGGGCTTACTTTTTGATGTTACTTTCACGACTCTGCCGTCTTTACTCCTCTGACATCTTTTACACTAGCTCTTCCTTTAAACAAACACGACGTCGACGCTCCTGCACAGTTCAGATCCCGTCACTTTGGAGTCTGTAGATGTAGCTTTGTTTTACCCCTGAGCTGTTGTCTGCTCTGTACCGAACGCTGTGTACTCCAGTGTACATGTACTAGTATACAGCCGCGTATCACACAATACACAAGGTAAACAGTACTGCAAATACGAAGGAGGGGCAGAGAAGAGGAAATTAAAGAAAAGATAGACTGCTCCTTCCATGCATCCCTGTAAACTAAATGTGAAATGAATTTTAGAGGGTTACAATAGTTTGAGGAGCTTTGACTAGTTCAGATTAAGTTAATTTGTCTCAAGCTAAACTATCTGTCCATGGAACTTGTGTGGCTGTGTGAAAATGTTCAATACAATTAGGTAAAGAATAAAAAAAACAAAAAACAAAAACATTCAAAACAGAGCAAAAACTAAATGAGTAAAAAAAGAAATACCAAAAAAAAAAAAAAAAAAAAAAGAATAGTTAAATAAAGTGAACATTTTTGCAGTGCTCTGTGCCATAGCATCCATGTATAAATAATATCATGTGGACAGAAGAGTGACTCAGTGTTTTGGTGCAGATATTAGACTGAGCAGGAGGGTTACCAAATAGGGACGTTCAGAGACACTTACCGCTCATGGGTGCCCCCTTCTCCCCCCTGGGTCAGGAGAAAGAGGAGAGGAAGAAGAGAAAAAGAGAAAAAAAGTCATTAACAAGTGGACAGGGAGAGAGATAGAAAGAGAGATAGATATAGATGAAGGGAGTAAAGAGACAGTAAAACAGATAATAGAAAAAAGAAACAAGAGGACATACATTTCACATAAGAACAGAAGAAGTAAAGAATCACTAAGCAGCTTTTCTGGTCCATCACTACCTGCTTGTCTCTGTGGAGAGGTTAATACTTGGCATTATCCCACAGACTAGTTAAATAGCGCCAGAGGTGGGAACAAGTTGTTTTGCAAGTCTCAAACAAGTCTCAAGTCTTTGACCTCAAGCCCGAGTCAAGTCCGAAGTCAAAGGCAGGCAAGTCCAAGTCAAGGTTCGAGTCACTGGGTCCAATCCAAGTCATCTGCTTTGAGCTTCAAGCCATTTCAAGTCTTTAAACCAAAGTATATATAGTAATATATCTTAGATTTTTGCAATTTATATGAATTTTAAACTAAACTGTACTTAAAACATAAGGAATATTTATATAAGAGTTGAAGAAATGCTAATTTTTTCTTTTTAAATGTCTTGACCAGAGTGCGAATTATTGCGGACAGGAAGAGTTAAGATTTAAGAGTGCTTAATAACAGTTAATTTGTTAACTAGTCTAAGCATCAAGTCTTTTCAAGTTACAGGGTTCAAGTCCGAGTCAAGTCCCAAGTCACTGACCTTCAAGTCCAAGTCAAGTCCACGTCAAGTCCCAAGTCTTTGTCTGTTTTATCAAATAAAGTCTCAAGTCCTAAAAATTGTGATTCAGGTCTGACTTGAGTCCAAGTCACAATTGTAAGTCCCCACCTCAGAATAGTGCACCTTTAAAATTGGCACTGTGATTTGAAAATATTAGTCAATGAAAATAGTATTTAAGTTTTTAGTTATATTAAACTAATAGTTGACAAAAATGCAGTAATATTGTGTGTACTACTATCCGCCTTTAGTAGGGTAACCTTGGACAAGCTAGATCCTCTATAACAAGTGTTTTGAATCGAAGGAACTGAACCCACAACCTCCTCACTTAAAAAAAGGAAACTGGACCCCATTAGAGCTCATATTAAATGCACTTTCTTTGACATTTTATGCAACAGAAGCTAGTAGCAGTATAACTTTCTTCAATGTTGTCATGATACTAAAATTTCAAACTCAATTTCAATACTTAGGAAGAGACTTGATTTAGTATCTATACCTGCTCAAATAAGTATCTAGTTGCGATACTACAGTAGTTTTAGCATCGATTAGTATCTGCGAGCCCTAGTCATTTCAACCATAAACATCAGCGTGTAACTTTCTAATATAAGTTTTTTATTCCAGCTAACATTTCATAGTTATATTAAAAAGTATTTCTTGCCTGTTCTTGTAAAATGTGCTTAACAACCCTGCGGCTATAACACGCTCTATTGTGCACCTGAGACCAAACTGTTTTCGAAGCGTTTTCAATTTGCCACCAGTGACTCCTCCGATCTCGGGGCGAAATTCTGACATGAATTTTTGATGATACTTTCCTCCACTAGATAATAATATTTGGTAATTAGACAACTTACACTTTTAATTAGCTCTTAAAGTTTCGCGCTGAAGGGAGTGTTTGAGGATCGTTAAAATATTGCCAATCTTCGAGGAATAACATCGTTTTATGGTGGCATAAAACTTTGAGCATTTAACACAGAGACGATTTTTATGGTAAATTGTAGTTTTTATAAGACTAAATAGCTTTTAAATTTCTGTTTCGTGGTTTCCCCTGCCAGAAGGATCATTAACTTAAAGTGTAAACTTGAGGGAGCTTAAAATATGAATTTCTAACATACAGTTGTGTCCAATTGTAATGGCTGAATAGTAAAAAACAACAGCTTAAAAATCACATTATTATTTAAAGAGGGGGTATTTTACTTCTATAGGGTATTAACTGCTAAAATATAACATATTTAGATCACCATGTTACCTTTTATTGTTTTGAAAATGCTATATTCGCCGAATAATAAAAAATAATTTATTAACATGTTTTACAAGTTTCAGTTTCATTTTTGATACTCAGAGTCTCCCACCTCTTTGCTCTCTACACTAAGTCGCTCCCCCTTCAGAGCAATATCACAACACAATTAGCGTGCATCCCACTAATGAAACTTCTGCACATTGCATCAGATTTGTCAAATTTTTGCGTACATCATGTATTTGTATATTTATGGAAACCTCTTCAGGCATGTTTTTTGATGAGGGAACAGCGTTATAATATGGTTGAAAGCTAAAAAAAAAAGTTATGGCATAATACCTCCTCTTTAAGCTCTAAATTGGTCTACTAGACATACATGGATTTAAACTAATTGAAGACGTTACCTTGACTATGAGGGAACGAATGGTTGAGCTGCTCCATCACCTCCTCTAACCCGGCGTCTTGGGATGGACTGGAGAGCTCGTCATCACCTTATGAAACAAAAACAGACTCAGATATTGCCAGGAGATGTTTCCTTATGAATGCATGGATTTTCAAACAGAATCTGCATTTGTACCCATGGTGTCTGTGGTTTGACTGGCGGCCACTCTGAGCACGGGGAGGGAGGAGTCGGAGCGCTGTGACGAGGTGGAGGGGGAGGAGAGAGCCGTGCCGTTCACCTTGGAATCCGTCTACAGATAAGAAAGATACAGATTGTGATTTTCAATGTTAAATCGTCGTACTTTCTATTACCATGTAGTCATTGAATGTTTCCCCTTTCTTTTCATTAATTGTACATGTTTTGAATGTCTTTCAAAGTATGGGGACTATATGTTGTGCTTTTTTAAATTTAAAATGTCCAAAATAAAGTAACACAGGTCTAATAGATCTTATATCTGTAACCCCAATCTCTCGTCCAGGTAGGTTCTTTAGGTGTCCATGGGCGTATACTAGTCTATGTGCTCTTATACTTGTTCTGATACAGCTCAAGATCATTCTAAAGCTATTTTTCATTTTTTAGTACTACCTGCTCAAATAATCTAGATAGGACACTAGTTTTAGTATCAATTGGCGTCAGTTTTTCGATACTTTTGACATCCCTTAGATAGATGGATAGATAAATAAATAAAACCATCTCGGCTTAATCGGGCGAGTCAAAGGCAAGTTAACTCTCCCCAGAAGGCTATTACCGCCCGCCAGGCAATACAGGAGAAGCTATGCATTGTAATGGAACAGCAGAGGAAACTTTTAATCTACTCGATCTCAGCTGTTTATTTATGCTGGTGGCGTCTGCGGCTGGCCACATAAGAATAAAAGGTATCGCTGGAGTTTTTTCAATTAGCATAACGCAAAGGCTGCAAAAAGTATTATAGTTTGTCCTCTGCAAACTATAAAATATCCCGTCTAAACCATAGACTGTGTAAAGAAGTGGACTGAATTGGAATTCTAATCACAATTGCAAAGCTTGTCAGAAGAACAAAAATCTGACAAAAAATAAAATCAAATCACAATTTCAAAGTTTTACAGCATCATAATTTAAAAATGCATTATGTAACTTTTCTGGTGGAGGGTCCGTCAAATGCTGTTCTCCATGGAGATCTCATTGCTTTGTCTGGAATGTTTCATAGTACGGCATTAAACCTTTTTAGTGTCATGGAGAGTAAACTAGACCACAGCTCAGTAAGAATGCCTGTTTTTCTAGGTATTTGAGCAATAAAACCACTTGTAATTTAATAAATGTAAAGAAGAGCTGCATAAAGTCACACTGTGGAACATTCCAGGCAGTAATGACATATCCATAGATACAAGCAGCTGATGGACTTCCAACGAAAAAGTTACGTCATTAACAGTGAATAACAATGAGCATTTTACCATAATTTATTCAATTTTTGGACATGTTACAATACTAGTTTTGATATGTCTGGTCTTCATCTAGTCAAAAAAGCATGACAAAAAGTAAAGTAAATCTCTATAACAGATTTCTTTTTAACTCCACCAGATGGCAGTGTGCCTCCCGTGCACGCTGATATCCCCTGTAGTTGCATCATGGCAGTGAAGGTTGTGAAAAGGTGTCAGATTCTCATTTGGGATGACTTTGTAAACGACAGTCTCAGATAAGTGCAACTCAACCGAGCAAAGAGTGATGGATTTGTGCACAAAAATAAATCTCACGCAGGGATAATTCAACTACTTCCTGCTAATTTGGTTTAAGACTGTCTTATTAGGAAAGGTCACAAAGACGTTTTGCCCTTCAACAATGTTTACAGAGTTCTTTATTAGCACGAGAATCAGTTTAAGAGGTTTTTAGGGCTTATATAACGCTATTTTCTGATCTCTGTTATAATCTTGTTTCCTCGTTAAAAAGTTGTGGAGTTTTGTTTTGTTTCTTTCACACATGTTTAACATAGTCCTTGTCCCACTTTGTGATATCATATAGCAATACCGGAAGTGCTCCATTGTGTTTTTAAACTCCAAACATCTTAACTAGAATCATTTGGATGATTTCAGCCTTGGAATTTCAAATTTCTACTGTACTGTCAAAGGTAGCTGCCTAATTAACTAGAATGCAATCACTCATTCAGCTTAAGCTCACAGAGTCAATTTTGTGTAATACAAGACCTTTAAATATGTCCTCGCTCAAGAGTTATGCAACTTTCACTCAGTAAAAAAAAAACATTAAACGCACTAATTAAATCTATGCGAGTTTATGATAACTGATGTGAAATGGTTTTGACTTTGCCAGTGAAAATTATTATCAGTTTTATTATCAGTTTTTGCAATATGATACATTTTGGAAGTTTTATTGAAATTTGGAAAATAGCTGTTCCATACCACAACTATGGTAAGAAAAAAAAGTACTGGTAATGTATCTTTATAAATTTGTTTTCATTTTTCTATACACATTTTAGTATGATTATATTAACTATGTAATTAAGAGTCTATATAATTTTTTTCAGTATTTTTTGTACTGCAGTCACATGTAATTTCCCTCATGAATCAAAGTTTCAGTCGGTTGGTTGCAAATTAACAGTTTTATTTTAATCAAGATTGAGATTCAGTGTTTTCTAATTATCAATGGTCAGCTAGGGTGTTTTCAACAGAGGTGTCTACAGGCAATCTTTTGTCAATAAAAGGAGGAGCAGTGGTTTGTTTTAAATGGGAAAAATGTAATTATAAAAAGTCTGTCTTGTTTGCGTTCCAGAAATTAAAATTGAAAAACATTTTAATTTGTTTTTAATGAGACAAAATAAATCAAAATGAAAATCAAGATGAACAATATGAGGAAAACATGTGATTATTTTTAGTCATATTGCCTTGCTCTATTGGAATGGCAAAGGAAAACAAAATGAAGATTCAACAACTCACCACAAAAGAGGATATTTTAAAGGTCCTACATATTACACAAAATGTACTCTTTTGCACTTTTAATCATTTTATAATGCTGTTCCCTCAAAAACATAGCTGGAGTTTTGTTTTGTTTCATTCACAGGTGTTTGAGTAATTCTTTATTATTAGTCTCTTTACATCTCCAAAGCTCAAAGTGCTCTATTTCACCTTGTGATGTCATGTAGTGGTAGTTTTCAAGTTAAAAGTGTAACCTTTTGTTCAGTAGAGGTTGGCAATTCCAGAGCTGAAATCATACAAATGATTCTAGTGAAGGTGTATGAAGTTTAAAAACATACAAAACACACTTTCTGTAATACTACATGACATCACAAGGTGGAACAGAGTGTTTTCAGTTTGAGAGAAGAACACAGCCTAAATATGCAGGATTTGTTAAACATTTGTGAATGAAACAAAACACAGCTCCAGGTATGTTTGTGATGAGAAAACAACTTTATAACATAGATCATAAAATAGTGCAATGGTAAATGGTCACATTTTTCTATAGCGCTTTTCCACCTTCAAGGCACTCAAAGCGCTTTACAACAAGGAACCACTCACCCATTCACACACACACATACACCAGTGTACACAGACACTGTGGGCAAGGTGGGTTAAGTGTCTTGCCCAAGGACACAACAGCAGCATTCATCTGTGGGAGCTGGAATCACACCAGCCAACCTGTGGGTCAGTGGATCTGACCGCTCAACCTGTGATGTTTATGTCAAGAGCTGGATTCGAACCGCCAACCTTCAGATCAGTGGGCGAATGCTCTACCAACTGAGCTACTGCCGCCCCTATATAGGCAATATAGGCCCTCTAACCACCTTATACCTTATGCCTATTTTTGAACAATTATACCATAACCAAATTACAAACTAGTTTTAATGTCCTCAATATGAGAATCCATAACGTTATGTTGTGTACCTGCTCCAGTAGCTGTCTGAGGCGGTGCAGCTGTGACTCTAGCTGTTTGTTGTGGTCCTCTAGAATCTGCATGCGCGCCTCCAGTCGGCCCTTGTGTTGCCGTAGCAGCTTGGCCTCGGCGATGAGCTCTGCGTCGCGAGCGCTCTGGGGGGACACGGGCAGCATCTCCGGGGGTGACGGGAGCGGGGACAGGCCCTTCCGGTCGTGGGCCTTCTTCAGACGATCGTACTCTGCCTGCAGCTTTCTGGGATGGGATAAGAGAGGGAGGGAATCAGGAAGAGCCAGGAAGTCTGACATTTTGAGTGAGTGAGTGAATATCCAATTTTGTTTTTCTCAATTACATTGTGAGCAGGTTGGTTATTTGATCAGAGAAAATGGAAATCTGGATTACATTTGGCAACCCTCAAATATGTGGAAATTACTTTAGATTGGCCAAACCTGAAGTGCGATTTTTCTTTTTAAACTAATCGAGAGACAGCGGAACAGTCAAAAATCATTTTACAGAAACTAGTCCAGGAAATAACTCGCAATCTCCTCCTGTGAAAACCAATACTTGTTTTACCACTACAACTGGCTCTCAATCAAAAGTACGTGTAAAATGCATTATTAAGTTACAAATCGAACATTGTGATCAGAAAGATGCAAATGGCAAGAATATCCTCACCAGCATGTTGGATTTTCAGTAATAATGTGCATGAAAAAAGGATTCAAGTTTTCAGTGTAATCTGCTACCTAACAGTTTAATTTAAATCAATATTTCAAATTCTGTATCAATGAAAAAATCTTATCAAAATAAATGCAGCAAAAAATTTAATATGCATTTGGAACAATAACATTTTTCTAACCATCTAGTTTAGCATTTCCAAGTACCCCCTTTAATCATTTAGTAATGAAAAATCTGTTTAAATAATACTTTCTTATTTTTATCATGCAAAAACATTCTGAAAATGTAATACTGACTAAAGATTTTAAAAATTAAGTACTATTCAGTTTCAACTAGTTTTAAAATCTGAAATCCTTCCAAGTAGCCCCTGGTAAGTGGTCCTCGCACCTCTAGTTGGAAAACACTGACCCTAATTCACCATTAAAACCAATTAGTCCAACTAGAAATCCTAATTTGTCGAGACTGTGACAAAACAGTATCATTGTTCACATGCACACCAAAATCTGATTATAATCTGATTTCTGGATTACTTAAATGACGTGTGAATTCAAAACTCTGATGCGAGTAATTAGAGGAACCATGATCAGAAAGAAATTAGATGATTTCCTTTTACATTTCATTAAAATAATTACAACTGTAAAAATCTGTTATTAATCAGATTTTGAGAGCGCATGAAACTGTAGCCACTGAGACAAATATTACCAACAGTAATAACAACAGCATAATAATAAAAAGCCTTGTGATTGTATCTAACGTTATGAAAATTCTAACTCCAAAGCCCATGAACGCCCCGTGGACCGACCTGTTCTCCTGCTCCAGGTCGGTGAGCACCCTCTCCAGCTCTCCCTTCTCCTCCGTTTCCATGGAGATGAGGATCTGGGCGGGGCTGCGTGGCTGGCTGAGGGGAGAGCCTTGGTTCAGAGACTGGCAGTAGTGCTGGATCAACATGTGCTCGTCATCGCTGCAAACGCACACACACACACGCGGGCGCACAATGCCACACGGGGACATGGGAGAACAGAAAATCAGCAAAGGAAATGGCTGCAGTGGCAAGTCTGAGGCACAGAGGGAGGCACAGCTTGGTATGGCTACAGTAACGTTCGAATTCGCTCAACTACACAAAAAGGGTTTGGTAATTTGGAATAGATAGTTCTGTTGTAAATAAAGTACAATTTTAAACTCAAATTTGATACCAAGGAAAAGGCTCTTAACACTGGCTCTGTCTACATGCCTATGAAAAATCTGATCACTATCTGATTTCTGGAGTGATCCCATTATTCAGAATGTCTGATCTGATGTGAGTAATCTGATTTTGTTCTGATTGTGGACACATGTGCAGATTTTGAGAAGGAACATTATGCAAAAGGACAAACTAATAAAGCAAAAATGAAAGGAAATTCAAAGACTTATTTTAAAATTCATTGCACTTTGTCTTCCAAATACAACACTTACCTCTAAAACTCTATACATTATCTGATACATGGGATCAAGTGTTTTTGATGCTCAGATCTCTTTTGTGCATGTAAACACTCACCAAAAATAAGATCCAACTATGATTTTGATACCACAAAGAAGATTAAACATTTTTAGAACGTTTAGAATGTCATTTTATAGACAAAATAAGGACATTATATTAAAGATTTTTATGTGGTCTTTTACTTGTTCTGATAAAGGCCAAAAACTTGACAGGAAAGATCCAACTTAGTTCTATTTATGTATTGTAATTTGTAGTATCGAAACCTAATCAAATGAGCATACAGTTTTGATTGTCATGTTCATGTTTTGAATTACATTTTCTCATCCTGTCTTTTGTATATTTTTACCAAAATTTACTCTTACATATACAAACAATGTATAGAAATTATATTTATTCCTTACTAATTACTATTACTAATAATTCACATGTTATCACTATAATATTTTTTGTTTCCATGCCCAAGTAATTAATCAATAAACAATCAATAAACATACTGATTTGATCTTACATCAAATGCCCTTCTTGAAATGCAAGCTTTAAATTTTGGAATCTCATACATTTTAATAAAGACAAAGAAAGATTAGCTAAACAATGACACGGACAGTTAAATCTGTTTACTAAAGTACCTTAAGTTAACAGCATTTTCACATCTTATAAAACTTGTATTCAAAATGTAATGAACCAACTGGCCCTATTTGGAGACACTAACACTGAAAACCAGCGTGAAATCTATTGCTTGTTAAATTTGGAGCTGACTCTTTGAAGGAGAAAGCACTCGTCTGAACAGCTCTATTCGCCGCATTTCTGAGACGACTTGATTGGCCACGCTCCGTCGGCTCCGGCCAATCACGCGCGCCGCCCGGAGTGTGTTCCAGGAAGTTTTTAATTAGGCCAGGTATTTAGATGCTACGTCCTCCGCTGCTCCTCTCGCTCAGCTTTTCGAACACTCACGATTCTCGGTCAGAATACAAAACAAGGCTCCCTCACTGCCGACTGTGAGGTAGAAGTCATTATGGGCCGAGCTGGTTAAAATGCCCCCAGACGATTTGAGAGGCGCCTTTTCGGTTCGCTAGCTTTCAAGTTTGCGCGAGGTAGCTAACAACTTTTAATTGCGGCGTGTCAAATTCACCGAGAAGCTATTATTATTGACAAACTTTTATCTGTCTGTCCCAAAGGAAAATGGGAGACGGTAAACACCACTTTTTGCTTATGAGCGCAGCTAATCTCAAGTGCGAGCTGGAATTCTACCAAGTATGCACAAAATAATTAAATGTTCAACTTATTTAAATATATTAAATCACATTTTTTCTGAATAATTACTTCATGTTGATCCAAAGCAAAATAGTTACATTTTACAAGATTTCTTTTAATGTTAATTTTATGACAATTATTTGTGATTTGTTTGTATTGTGATTTTAACGTCTTTCTTGCCTTACAAGATAATCAATTTAAGTTATATGAGTTCGTTTGACACAAAAATATAAAAAGAAAAACTTAAAATATTTAAATGGAATCAACATTTTATTTTTTTCAGTGTACTTTGTGAAATTTTTATCTACTTTTAAAGCATTTATAGTAAGTAAATCATATTAAATAGATAAAAGTAGGAGCAGACACTTTTACTGCTTTTTATTTCGATACATATTTTGAATACTTGTGAAGCCTCACAAGACAGTCATGTTTAATGTGTGTGGTTATATCAATATTTTTGTATGCATTTTTTTTTTGCTGTTTAGTCTGGATTTCATAGACATCTACTTTAATATCTGAACTTTAGTGCCTTTTATATAAGAAACTGTAGACATGGTACAAAAACTGTACTGAAGTACTAGTATATTTAGTTGTGGTAACTTTAAAGATTGAAAATTTAAATACATGACAAATAATTTTGCAACTTTTTACGATTTCTAAGTGTAAGAAATAAAGCCAAAGCCAAAAGCCTTTTCCAGTCCCCTCTCTGTGCCATGCAGAAGTTTAGTCATATTAATTTCATAAGACAAAATCTCAAGTCATTTGAATGAGTCTCTATGATGCTCTATGCTCTAATGGTTAACAGTTGACTTTGGGCCGTGAACAGAGAATGTTTAATGGTGGAGATTTCAAACTCAAACGTTAAAGCCCCATTGCATAACATTTTAGGTGAGGAGCTGGGCTTAGAGTACAGGAGATCCTTGTTTTTCAATGTATTCATAAAAAAAAAAAACCCCAAAACACTCATCAGCTATCATTTTAGTTCAAAAACTGACTGAAATATTACAGAGTGGTGCTTTAATCAATGTAAAATTTAACGCTTCTTGAGGATTATTTTAATTTACTTAATCATTTTGAAATCAAATAAAAAAATTATGTAAGAAATCTCTCTTAAAGAAACAGTCTCTGCTTAAGTTACCCACAATGTTTTCACATCTGACAGAACATACCCTGATTGAGTTTGTTCTGAAAGATGGGCTGATATCAAGACAATATCAGCCTTTACTGTCGTCATGTCAACAAAAATCATGTCCAAAATGCAATGCACATGTCACCACATCCACAACCAGCCAATGGGGACAGTTGACGACACACAGTTAGCCAATCGTGAGTGAGGAGGAAGTGAACGAGACAAGAACGGGTAAAAACGTAAAAAGCGGTCCTCACATGCTCTCATTGGGTGAGATACTGTCATTCAAATAAGAGCCATTACGATTTTCCATTTCTGCTAACCTGCGGAGGGGGGAGAAACACAGCGGTTACTAGTTACAGAAGAACTCCACCTTAAAAAAAAGTCCACCTTAAAAGTACTTTGCAGAGTCGATACGCACTTCTCCAATCAAGGGGCCGAGGTAAACATGTAGTCTATGAATATTTGATGTGATGGAGGGAGAAGTCAGAGGTACTTTTGTCACTTCTCTCAAGTGTTTACCACTGCGGCCACAGATCAAATGTGTTTTTCACTGAAGCTGATGGTGACCGGGGTTATGAGGCAAGCTAAGGTTTACTACAGTTCAATTTGATATGGGGTTTTATAGCGCTGATTCTACACCAACAGAGGCTAATACGGGTACTTTTAGTTTAGAGGGCTATTTTCTGATCTATGTTATAAGATAGTTTTCTCATCAAAAACAAACCTAGAGTTGTGTTTTGTTTTATTCACATATGTTTAATACACAAGCCCTGCATATTTAGGCTGTCTTTCCATCATTTCAGATCTTGTGATGTCATGTGATAATCCAGGAAGTGCTCCACTGAGTTTTTAAACTCCATACACCTTCACTAAAATCATTTGCATAATTTCCGCCCTGGAATTGCCAGTCTCTACTGAACAAAAGGTAATAGATAGCCGTTAACTTGAAAACTACCACTTCATGATATCACAAGGTGGAACAGAGCATTTTGAGCTTTGGAGATATAGACAGACTAATAAAGGCTTACTCAAATATGTGCGAATGAAACAAAACACAAAACAACTCCAGGCATGATTTTGAGGAGGTAATAACATTTTAACGTGATCAAAAGCCTCCTCTGCCTCCTTTAATACCTTTGATTTTGTCAACCTTTAATATATCTTAGCAATGAGTGGTATTTACAATATACAGTCTAAGGGTAGGTTATCTTGGAAAAGCTGAAAAGCCTAAACTAACAATGCTTTGCTTTCAAAACAGCACAACTTCAAGGTCCAATAGAAAGAATTATGTGACTAAAGATACCTTCTGCCAGAGCAAGTTAACTTTTGTAAATAGTTTTTCCCAAGTGACAAAAAACATAACTTAACAACTTAACTTTCACCTGTCCAAAACAAAAATCTGTTCAAATTGGTGTTAAAATTTCTCCAAAGTTTTCCTGGTCATTAAAGTGAGTAAACAAACAACTTCCTCTGCTCTTGACACAGGAATCGATAATGCTAAAACAGTTACAAATGTCATAGAGCTCCTTTAATTGCCTCAGTGCTATTGCTGCTACACCACTTTGGCTGTAGTATGTGTCCACTTTTTATAGTGAATAAAGACGACTTTTAAAGGTCTTGTATTACACAAAATCGACTCTTGTGAGCTTTAAGTCATGTTAGAACGTTGTTACCCTACCGTGCTACATCTTCAAAGCTCAAAATACTCTGTTCCACCTTGTGATGACATGTTTCTAAGTTGCCTTTTACCTCTTGTTCAGTAGAGATTGGCAATTCCAGGGCTGAAACCATCTAAATGATTTGACCTGAAGGGTTTGAAAAACATAGTGAACTAAAAAAAAGCCTAAATATGCAGGGTTTGTGTGTTAAACGTGTGAATAAAACAAACCACAACTCCAGATATGTTTGTGATGAAGAAACCTTATAACATAGATCAGTAAATAGCGTAATATGGGCCATTTAAATCTATGAAGGGACTGACCACTGAAACTATATTGAAGTCCAATTACTTGACTTCTTCACCTCGCCACCTCACTTTTATGTGAAATCTGGTGATTGTCTAGGTGCCTGGAGGCTACCAAGCAGTACCCGTACCAAAAGCTTTCTTCAGAGCCAATAGTGCCCCATCTAACGCCTAGCTAACTGACCTCCTCATAAGTGTGTAGTCAGTGTTGGGAAGTAACTGAATGGGAACACAAATTTTGAGTAACTGTATTCCAGCAACATACTTTTTCATTTGGTGGTATTCAGAAGTACAGTCACTTTCTTAAAATCAAAGGAATAGCCTACATTAAGGTATTTGATCATCTGATTTAGGCTTCAATCGTCACAGAGTCAGTGAGAATCTATGAAACACTCTTCTTGTGATGAGTGCATGTCTGATTTTTCCATCTCCAGTTAGTGACAGGAAATACTTTAAACACAAAGCTGTTTTTAATCCTATATTGCATTTTCACTATGATTAAAATGCAACTCAATGCAAAAATACTCCAAATATTCAGAATACAGTACACTGACTGGATCATGTTTGTGACTGTATTCAGTATTCTGTAACTAAATACATTTTCAAAGTATTCTCCCCATCACTCTGCGCAATTCACTCTTTTGTCAGTCTCCTTCTTGTTCCTCAGCGGTGTAATTTGGTTAGCTTTACAAACTTGAAAAAACACACGTATTCTTTGGTGAATAACAATATTGATGTTTTCCTTTCCTTTTGAGCAGTAATCGACGCCATGCTAAAAGCTACAGGCAAAAGCATTATTAACATAGCCTAAAAACAGCAGACTGCGTATTCACCAGAAATACAACGTTTCATTTTAATATGTCCACGCATTCAAATTAGACCATAAGCACAGGGATATCTTGACATTTTAGTTTGTCCGGGCACCATTTATCATCTTTATTATCGCCTGAAAAAGCAGCTGAATGTTTCTAACCTATTCAGCAAGGTGGAGAATACAGCTCCGTCCGCACACACAAGAATACAGAGATAGGGAAAAGTTCACATAAATAAAACATAACATTTGATGAGGTGTCAAGGTATCCCTTTAAGTCAAAAAGACATGCACTTAAGTATGGCTTTAATACACAGCCAAAAGCACTGCGTTTGTACATCACTTGAAAAGACCACGTTGCCACGGCGATAATATCATTTTATTTTAAAGGTTTTTTTTGCTTAGTTGCGCTTGTGTGACCTATGACCTAGCAAGACGGACGTTATTTCCTTCATAAATGTGTAAAAAGCTGTATTTAGATTGCAAAGGGTTTACTCGTGTTTTGAACAAGCTCTATCAGCCTGTCCAGAGATTGTCCAATTCAATTTTGTTTTGTTTTCCTTTTATTCAGCGTCGCCTTTTTCATTTTTATTATCTGTGCTACTGTTTGTTTTTGTGCTCAGCAAGATGTGATCGGTGAAAGCGTGCGCAAAGATGTTTTCGCTGAAATCACTGGATCTTATTTACACTGTCATAAGGCAACTCTATTTCACCATTTACAATTATTAAGAGTCATTTATAATATCTTTTATCATATTAGTGGTAGTTTTGTTGTTCTACTCATATGAGACCACTCTCATCTACCTGTCCATCTACAATAACTAAAGTTAATGGTCCTATATTATGCAAAATTGACTCTTGTAAGCTTTAAGCCATGTAAAAATGTTGTTACCTCCTCAAAAACATACCTGGGGTCATGTTTGGGTAATCCTCCAAAAGCTCCAAAGCTTAAAATGCTGTTCTACCTCGTGATGTCATGAAGCATTAGTTTTAATGTTAACAGGTTCCATTTACCTTTAGTTCAGTAAAGACAGGCAATAGGCAATGTGAGAATGAAATAAAATAAGACTCCAGCTATGTATTTGATGAGGAAACAACATTGTAACATAGATAAAAAAAATAGAGTAATATGGGCCCTTTAAGGATCTTAACTGAGTGCAAAGGAGATTTATCAAATGTAACATATTTTTTAAAAGACTCCATTCGCACCTATATTGAAATCATCTATCAAAAAGTTTATGGTTTGCGGCCCAAATTTGTATTCCACCAGTGTCTCACATCACCTTCAAAAATCTGTCCTCAAATCCCACGACTGCATCTTTAAAAACAGCACCACCTAATTATTTGACTATTTCAAAATCATGCGCCAAATTTAACTCCCAGGTTGGTGACAGGAAGCACTCGACTACACAAACGCCATCTGTCACTGGGCCTCTCTGTGATCCAACGCGATGTAAAAAATAACACTTTGAGAGGAACATTAAAAGGTGCATTATGTAACTTTTCAGGTGGAGGGCCAGTCAAATGCTTTTGGAATAGGATGTTTCACAGTATGGCACTGAACCTTTCTATCATCATGGAGACCAAACTAGGCCATGTTATAAATCAGATCTGTGGAGAGGCAACCCTGCTCAATCAGAACGCCCGTCTTGCTAGATATTTTTGAGGTGTAAAACCACCTGGAATTGAATGTACGATAACACTGTTCAATGTAATTCTGTGGGACATTCCCATTTCTCCACCAGAAAAGTTACACAATGCACCTTTAAGGAAGACTGTGTTCAACTTTACGACTGATCAAATTAAAAGCAGATGAGATGCGTTGATTCAGAATTAGGACAGAAGATCCCCGGTGAGTTAATGGTTGAGGGAAGAGAAGATAGACAGTCAACCAAACGAGAAGAGAGACTAAGAGTGTGCAGTCTTATTGGCTCCTCTTCCTCCAAATTCATTATTTTAAACCACATGGATCGCGAGGTTCGGAGATCTCTGGAGGAGCCATTATCTGTGATGCTTGCAGGGCCCGGGACAGTGAAAGCGATGAAGAAAGTGGAGCAGGAGCCAGCAAAATGATATTAGAGAAACTATATGAAATCTGGGAGAAGATATCACAATAAAAGTATCATATATATATATATATATATATATATATATATATATATATATATATATATATATATATATATATATATATATATATATATATATATATATACACGAGTTAGGATATTCTTAAATTTTGTTAAGGCTTCGGAGTTGTACTGTAGGTTATTGAATAAGAGATCGGGTTGAATCAGGTCGCAGTCCGGATCAAACCAGAAAGAGAGGAAAATCTGTCCATGAGTTTCAAGGAAAAAAGGGCCGTTGCCATAGTGATTAATAATTTGAAACTAAATATTATGTCTTCTGAATGGGAAATTGAAACCCGTGAATAAAAAGTATACAAGTCTCTAGAATGATTGGTCAAAATTGGTTCAGTGACTCAGTAAAATGTAACTTATTCATGACTATAAAACTAAATGATTCAGAGGATTAAAGTGCCCATATTACTTTATTTTCTGAACTTTTTATACTTTTGCTCATCCTCATCAAAAATATGCATGGAGTCCTTCTCTCAAACAGAAAAAACTATTCTGCACTTTGAGATGTCATGTGGTAATACAGGGAGTGCTCCACTGTGTTTGTAAACTCCATACACCTTCACTAGAATCATTTGGATGACCTGGAATTGCCAACTTTTACTGAACCATTATATGACATTATGAGGTGGAAGAGAGCATTTTGAACTTTGCCAGTGTAGACAAACTAATAAAGGATTACTCAAGCATGTGTGAATGAAACAAAACACAAGTCTGGGTATGTATTTAAGGAGGTAACAACATTATTACAAGGCTAAGTGCTTACAAGAGTCATAATTGCTTCTCAGTATTTTCACTTTCAGAACCACATTTTATGAAGAATGTTGCTTTTGATAGATAATGCCACTTTAGCCTTTTCGTATTAAATTCATATAGTAGTGATTTTTGCGTTACCGGTTGGCGTAGTGCTCGATCCGTGTGTGCGTATCATCATGGGACAGCTGAGGGGACGATCCGGGTCTGAAAAAGAGCCAAAAAAATAGAATGAAACCGAATGAAAAACGAAACAAAAAAATGTGAATGTATCTTGGGGCCTATTATTCCCCAAACCCTCACACACGCACATGCACTATCCTTAGACAAGTCCACAGGGAGGTCTATGGGAGCAGCAGACACAACACGGCACAGATGTGAAAAGCTATGGGATGAATTGTAAACCGGCTCTTGTTATGTCTACTTTGGAAAACTTTATTGATTTTTAAGAGTTACCACTTCACATTAGGAGAGATCAGTGTTTATCATTAGGCCTCTGCGGACATGGGTAACCTGCTTTGGTGGAGTGTCCTTGAGAATTTTGGATTAGCTTCTCTTCAGGGTGGAGCTACTGCAGTGATTACACAAAATTGACTGTTGTGAGTTTTTAGCCATGTTATGTTGTTCACTCGATATATGGAATGATGTAATAAATAAAGGGAAAAAAAACCTCTTCTAAATAGTTTTCAAGTAAACAGTGGGTACTTTGAGGATTTGAATATATATATGCATTTTTTTTTCTACGCAAGTCATTTTATCTTACTTTATATATTTGATGTCTCCTAAATCTAAATCTGTAAATCTATAAAAAATGCAGAAAGTAGTAAAAATAAAATAATAAAAACACTGAATGAGAAAAAGTAAAATAGCTCTGCAGTCTGTTGAAGAGCCAGGACTGTGGTCAGCCGTTCAAGTGTACCAAGTCTAGCATTGCCACACCATTTATCACATTTACACAACTGTTCACTCCACAGTTTTCAACATTTCTTCTCTCTATGGTTTAATTTAATTTATTTTTGTTTGAACAGCTGAAAAAAATTAATTTGGATTTTGAAATATTTTGTGTTCTGCTAAATTAAAAGTACTTGATGGAGCAATGTATAATGTTTCTCGGGATCTTTTGTAGGGATGGGATATATCGGTTCCAGTATCAGAGACGTTATTTTATATATATATATATATATATATATATATATATATATATATATATATATATATATATATATATATATATATATATATATATATATATATATATATATATATATATATATATTTTTTGGCAAATGTCTGCCCATCCCTACCCTTTTGGTAACTTCTTTTGGAGTCTTGGTATAGTAGGAAGTGAACCAGGGGCTTGTCTATGTGTTATGAAATACAAATATGTTATGAGTTAGCAGCAGTAGCCATAAACTAATGTAAATGACCACAGATGACAGAATGAACCATGAATGTATACTTATATTAGTGTATGGTGCTGTGTTCTTGTGTCAGCCAAATACTCACGCATCTACGGGCCAGAAGTTGATCAGAGTGACAGGACTGCAAGACAAAAAAACCTGAGATGATGACACAGGAAGTGGGAGCACGTCGCCATGGCGAGACACGAGGCAAAGCATGATGGGAACTGTAGTCATGAGAAGCGTTGGAAGTGGTTGCCGTGGAGATCACAGGGACACGATGGGCAGAGGATGGGCACTTCCACTCATACATACAGTAGTTTATTAATTTGATATATAGCTACTTTAGTTATTTTGATACTGCATAAGAGGATGACAAAATGGAATATTGATTTAACTTTCTTTTACCAGAGAGATGTTAACCTTGTCCAGTATTTTCTACATAAATTACCATTATTGACTTAAGAAAATAGAGCTGCGTTACAGAATTTCAATAATCGTCAACATCTTTCATACCAACTGACAATAATTGACTTTTAGTATATTACAACCTTCGATTCATCAATACATATAAATGTTATGAGATAATACAAGGATTAGGGTACTAAAAACATTGATGTATTGACTTAACTGCTAGGTCCATTATTATAAATATCAGGGTTGGAATGAAAAATGAAGTTATTACATAAGAATATTTGAATAAGTGGAATTTAAGCTGTATTTCCCAGTAGATTTTCATATTAACATAAAAGTATGAAAATTAGCATAGTGTTGCTGTGTGATCTTCGGGTCAAATTCTTACTGACAAATATTGATTCAGAAACCGAGTCGGTATTAGCATATTCGGCGTGCTGATGCCTTCTGTAAATGTTAATGATCGTGGGCACAGAAATTACATTGGGGCAAAATATGTAATGTGTTTCATAAATTCATCATAAGGACATTGATTGCTGTCAGCCCTGAATTTATTATGGCTTTTATGATAAATAGAGAACTAGGGCGAGAACTGCTGCATGTGCGGTCTCACGATTGTTATGTTAAATAGGCCCATAACATCAGGTTTAGAAAGTGGACCATCTATCCAGAATACGCCAAGGTTTACCATGTTATGACTGTACTGAAGTATAAACCAGATATTCATTTTGTACCATACTGATTGACCAATAGGAGAGCTAGCAAAATGGAAAAACACTAGGCCTGTCACGATACTTAGTATATATGAAGTTATCGTTTAATATATGAAAGGTGGAACAATATTTTTCAGGTCAATATTTATTGCGGGTGCTTTTTTTTGTAGTAGTAAGGACCCTTTCGTTATTTTGTGCACTATGATTAGATTTGGACTGTATTCAGTACAGATACAAACTAAGTTCTAATGTGTTCTCTGCCATTTATTTAGCGCAGTTTGTGCTTTTTGTGTTTTTTAACAGTATTATACATTTAGAATAGTTTCTGGAGATACATCTGCTTTAGGGTCTTTGTGTCAGTGGCATAAATTCAAATTTCAAAATTATCATTTAGTACCTCCATTTACTTCAGCAATATATTGTCCTTCAAAATTTGGCAGGCCTTCTGGAAACTAAAGGTGCACTATGTAGCTTTTCGGTGGGTCTGTTACTTGTTTGTCACATGAAAATATAATTACTTTGCCTAGAATGTTCCACAGTATGGCATAAACTTGACTACCTTTCATTTATTTAGTTGCATCGTTTCAATGTCAAAATATACTTGCTTGTCTCCGTGGAGATTGCCAAGTTTTATACCATTTTGTGGAACATTCCAGGCAAAACAACATCACAGAAAGTTTTTGGACCTCCACCTAAAAACGTCTTTACAATCTACATTTCAAGAGCATGTTGCAGTCAAAGCTTTAAAATAACTAGTTCATTCAAAGCTACAGAAATGTAAGCATATTTTTTAACAGTTTGCCCATTAAATTTTCAATTTTCTTTCTATGAATTCAAATATTTATGTCAAGGTAATTAGCCATCCAGTTGCATTATAATAGAAATCATATTGTTATAGCTCAATATCTCAAATATTCGCTAATCAGCTATTTTCTTTAGGCTGTATAAACACTGAACAGACCTCTAAATAAGACATTATTAATGATTAAGAATATATAGTATTTATGGGAAAAATGTAACACAAGTCCCCCAATACCAGCCTGTCAGAAGTGAATCTAACAGACTGGGCTCCTATCAGGTGTAGAGTATCTGCTGTGTTGACCTGTGTGTGTAATAGAGTGCACTCACGTCTCCATGTTGTCCCCCTCGAGGATGGTCTGAACAGGCAGGTAGCCCATACGAGGGTGTTTGGCAAAGTAGCGCTTGGTTCGAAACTTGTTCTTCAGCACCTTGGCAAAGTCCCTCACATCCTCCCCTGACGTGGTCTGGATGGGAGAGGAGACAAAGACAGCCTTGTTCAGAGCACAAACACACCCGCAGCCCATCTAGTGTGAGCCCTTTCCACTTTATTCACCGCAGATTCCCCGTTAATGCCTTCATTGTGGCGACTGGAGTGTGTCATTACAGTTACAAGCAAAAGAAAAGCAGATTTAGCACTCAGACAGGGCTCCTGCCTCTGTATTTGAAATCACTTTAACCCGTGTTTGAGAAATATTTATACAGCGCAGGTTTACGGCAGCGTGGGGAGCAGAGAGGGGCTGTTATACGATTTGGTAAAATGTATTTCACGCTCTTAGTGAAGTCGCCACTGAGCCCCGCTGTGAAATTCACGGGCTTTTTCATCCTGCCTTTTATGTCAGAGTTTACCCAAGGTCTAACACTTTATTTTCCTCCTTCTGTTGTGGCACTGCAGTTTGACTGGGCTGGCTTTACAGTGCACTGAGCAGAGAAGCAGACTCAATCTAGAGCACACTTTACAGAGCTGGTTCAACGCCAAGGCATTTTTAGACCCCATTTTGTACTTATTGTAGAAAAGTGTTCTGCGGCTAGAATGTAGATGGTTATTTTAAAACATTCATATATAGGGCTGCACAAGGAAAATGTACTCCATGTGGTTTATATTAGTCACACTATTGACCTTTAAATTTACTCAGAAATGAAACGACGAGAAAATGTATGTAGGTAGGAAAAAAATATCTACAAGCTGTTATTTTAAGGGGCAGTAAAAGCTTTCTTCATCATTATGAGTCATGAGGGCTTTGATTTTCCACAAAGCTTTAAAAATCCTTAGTTACTTAACCCAGTGATGTGTAAGACAGGAAAATAAAATTTGCAGAACTTCAAATATCAGCTATAATTGTGACTTAACATCAACGGGTTTGCTGGGTTTCAACTACCACAATTGATTACTGATTAGTAGTAATGCTACAGCTTCTACTATTGCATGTTAGTGTCTACTGCCAAAACACATTTTTAAAGAGGGGGTATTTTACTTCTGTGGGCTATTATCTGCTAACACAGAACATATTTAGGTCACTATGTTACTTTTTATTGTTTTGAAAATGCTGTATTCACCAAAAACTATGTATTAAGTCTCCCCTCCCTTCACTCCCCTATCACAACACAATCAGCCTGCATCTCGCTAGTGAAACTACAACACATCACATCAGCTTTTTGTACAGTTTTATACAGTTTTGTATCATGTTTTGTATATTTATGGAGAATTGTTGTGTGTGAACATGGGTGTTATAGGCTTGTTGAGCATTGGACAGAACCTTACAACTTACTTACAACAACCGTAAGGAGCGTTTGAAAAGGGCTCGGGAGAGATCACTAAAATATTGAAACATGCATGGATGACATCTAAAAACTCTTAAGGCATGTTTTTGATGAAAGAATCAACATTATAACATGGTAGACAGCTAAAAAGCATAATACCCCCTCTTTAACAACTAAAATCTTTTTTCCCTACATAATTATGATAATAAAAGGAGCTATCATGAATCTAACCATCATATCAGTGCACGTACATGAGTTTGAGCTGAACTAAGTATTCATACCGGAGTGCAGTATTCCACCATGGGGTACTGCATCTTGTGTCCCTTGGCGACTCGTCCAGAGAAGAAGCAGCTTTGGCAAATGTCATAGTTGAAATGCTTCAGACTGCGATATCTGTGGAGGAGAAAGAGAGAAGTGGAAAGAGGGAGAGAGAGAGAGATTTTTAACAGACAAAAACATTTGCATTCAATTTCATCCACACCTCGTGTTATTTACATAAAAATTTACTTAAGAATTGACATTACATACATACTATTTACACTATTTATAAAAACACAGGTCCAAATAAATCTCCAAAAGACAGTGAGAAAGAGACAGAAAGAGAGAGAGAAAGAGAGAGGGGGACAGGAAGAGGAGGAGAAGAGAAGGTCAGGTGGAGTTTGGGGACAAAAGGAGGCGACCGGAGAGAGTTATCACGAGAAAAACTATAAAATACCGAGAGGGAAGGCCCCACAGTAAAAAGGCAGATTTACTGGGCTGTTTTGGTCGGACAGGCAGTAGTTAAAATTCTTTCAGGCCCAGTCCCTAAATGAGAAATTTATTCAGCTGCCCCAGGACACATCATTAAAATTTATCACCTCTCCTGTTATGAAGAAGCCCACCAACAAAGGACCAGATATACCTGAATTTACAAGGGGGGAAAAAAAGAGACTAAGTACTGTTTTTGAAATTGGCATTACAAAAAGCGGCGTAATCACATAATCCATCAGTAAAAGGTAGACAAAACAAGAAAACAGCAGGAGAATTGGATAAGGAGGAGAAATTAAAAATCAAAAACAATTCTCGTAGACTAGAGAGACTTGGAATTGTAAATTATGTATCTATTATAATTCAACGCGAGCCCTTTATCAGAGCAAAGCAGTTGAATTAGGATCAAAACAAAAACTGGCCAATTTAGGATTTAAAGAGAGTGCATTGATGTGTACAATTAATCAGAATATTGCGGAGGCAGCCAAATTTTGATAAGGTCAAAAATGTCATCTCTTATGGAAGATTAACTGTGGGCCAAGTACTGCAGCGTTTGTTTAAAATTATGGGGAAAAGTAATTATGGAAACAGAGATGCTAAATATTAGTATAACATCTAGGACCCCAACGAAATAGAAATTGATGAACTTTGAATAAGTTTAGAACTGTTTTAATGTGTATTATGTAACTTTTCTGGAGCCCGAGATTGTTTTGCCTTGTCTGGGATGTTCCACAGTATTGCAATGAGCTTACTCATCTCCATGAAAACAAGCAGGTTTCAAGGTATTTTTGAGCATTAAAAACAACTGTAATTGAATAACTGAATGCATGTTAGATGTTTAATACCATACTGTGGAACATTCTAGGCAAAGCAATAACACTGACAGACCTTGCACCCACCAGAAAACTACACAGTACAGCTATAAAAATAACTTTTTCATTGTGATACATTTAAATTTAAAGACCAAAATGTTACTACAAATTTAGTAGAAGTCGTAGTAGTAGTAGTAATAGTATTAGTTGTTTTGGCCGAGGGCAATTTGTGCATTTATAAATTATATAAAAACATCATGAATCGTACTAATTAGCCTGGTAGCTTAAGGTAAAACAGGTCCATTAACTCCTATACAAATGAGAGTCTACCACCACCTGCAGTTAGATCTATTCCAGTGCTTTATTTCTATGTCTGTGTAATGAACCTGATTAGGGCTGAACGATTTGGGGGAAATATCTTATTACGATTTTCTGACAAACTTTGCGATTAGGTTTGCAATGTATGTTTTAATAATGGGATTCTGTTCAAGGTTCACATTTTAAACACGTCCAGAAGAATTGACTGATAAATGAACTGACAAACTAGAGTAATACAAGAATCACATTTGGGAACATTTAATTTTTTTCTAGTTTGGGGACGAAATTACTACTTCTACTAACTGTACGTGTAAGTGATACCTATGTTACGCAAAATTGACTCTTGAGAGCTTTTAGTCATGTTGGAATCTTCCACTTCCACATACCCACATCAAAAACACAACTGGAGTAATGTTTTGTTTCATTTACACATGTTTGACTAATCCTTTATTATTATTATTATTATTAGTCTGTTTACATCTCCAGAGCTCAAAATGCTCTGCTCCACTTTGTGATGTCATGTAGTGGTAGTTTTCAAGTTAAGAGCTACCTTTTACCTTTAGGTTAGGAGAGACTGGCAATTCCAGATCTGAAATCATCCAAAAGATTCCAGTGAAGGTGTACGGAGTTTAAAACACAATGGAGCACTTCCTGTAATACCACATGACATCACAGGGTGGAACAGGGTGTTTTCTGTTTGGGAGAAGAACTCAGCCTAAATATGCAGGCTTTGTGTGAATGAAACAAAACACAACTCCAGGTATGTTTTTGATGAACAACTACATTACGGATTTGAAAATAGTGTACGTAATATGGGCTCTTAAAGCAATTTTGATTAACCTTGCTGCCCTAAACCTTGTCATGAACACCAATTCACAAACAGCTTCAAATTTCCATTTCTTCTAGTGTAGATTTTCCTCAAAGTATAGACACTCAGAATTGCAGTCTCAGAGTGGAGCTACCCAGGGACCCAGCGCTCGATCCTTCTTTTCAATTTTCTCCAAAACATGAAGGCGAATCTGAAATCCCAACAGCGGTGGCACCTCTCTTCTCCTACTGTTTAAATAAAGGAAAAACACTATGGGGATGGGAGCGCGCTGTATGCTTCAAAACACAACCTCTCCTCTGTGGCAATGGGGCAATAAAAGGCTATCTCTCCCCTCCTAGTTATTACGAATGAGACAATGGCGTATAATAAAAGAAGGTTTAGGAGCTGCGTTCTTTTTCATTAAACCTATAGACTTGTTAAAAGTGTGATCGATTGGTTTTTACTTGCTAGGAGCGCGATGCTAAAGGATGTGTTAAATACTAGCATCATTCGTACAAAATGAAAGCGTGGTGAGGAAGTAGCGCGTAGCTTTGTTTCAATTTACCCAATATGAAATTAATGTTGTGTTTTATTACTCTTTGTAATGGGATGGGACTTTTGGAGAAATGTCTCGCTTGCCAGTTTTACAGAGGAGGTAACTTTATCGATTTAAAGGTGCGCTGTTACTTTTCTGGTAAGTAAGTAAGTAAGTAAGTCTTTAGGCTTTAATGGGATCAGGGACTTTATGGTAAGCTACTATTGAGCCAAGCTGCCCTGGGGCTCATGACAGAGGTCTCGCTTGCCAGTTTTAAGGACACAGAGGTATTTTAACTGGTAACTGTTTTATGGAGACCTATGTAGATTTAAAGGATGCATGCAAACTCCACACAGAAAGGTGTAACTTCTTGCTGTGAGGCTGGTGTAGCCACTCAGGGTCTGGTGGAGGGTCTGTGGTCTGCTTGTCCTCATGGTGATGTTATGGCTTTGCCCGTTATGTTCCACAGCATGGTATTAAACAAATATATCTTGTGTTTATTCAATTACCTTGCTTTTGTTTTTCAAAAACTACCGCAAAAACATACATTAATGACGTGAGATGGTCCACTTCTCGACAGACCTGACCTGTAACTTGGCCTGGTGATATGGCTTGCTTGTCTCCATGGAGATAGTTGGAGGTGCACTATGTAACTTTTTGGCTGGGGGTCTGTCACCTGCTTGTTTCTACGAATATGTCGTCGCTCTGCCTGGAATGTTTCACACTATGACATTAAACAGCTCTATTTTACATTAAATTGCAGGTGGTTTTAGAGTTAAAAATACTTAGAAAAACATTCTGACTAAGTGGGGTTGCCTCTCCACAGATCTAACCTGTAACTTGGTCTGGTTTGGTCTCCATGTAGATCGAAAGGTTTAACACCATACTGCATTGAAACATTACAAACAAAGCAATAACATCTCCATGAACAAAAGCATTTGATGGACTCTTTACCAAAAAAGTTACACAATGCATCTTTAAATTAAACTAAATGCCATGCTGTAGAACATTCTAGGAAAAAACAGATCCTGATGATTCTGTTTGAGTGGGCGTGTGTGGGAGGGGCTTAGGGGATTGGGGGGGTACCTGAAGCCGATGATGGGGCACTCCTTGCAGATGTTGCACTTGGCCTGGTGCTTGGCGGTCTCGGCGGCAGCCACGCGGTGAAGGACGGGTAACCACACCATGGACTGGGGCTCCAGGCGCATCCAGTCCAGGAACATGGACGCCTCCAGCTCCGGTTTGTTGTTGGCCTGAGGAGAAGAGATACAAAAGTGAAAATGAGAGTGTTTTTCGGTTAAGTAAAAGTAATTTTTACATGATAGGATTTTTGGGGAGAATTAAAGAGAAATTTGAATTAGAGGTAAAATATATTTGTTACATATATAATAGGGGTGGGACGAGACACAATTCCCTCAAGATGATGCAAGATAAAAGATTGGGGTTTGGGTTCACAATTTTTTATTTTATTATATATAATATTTTTGTTGCAATTTTAGCACTGCATTTTGGAACTATAAAAGTTATAACTCACCAACACATAACACTTTTTTATCCTATTAATATAAACACAGGGAAGAAAAAATCTTGAAAAATGATCTTGCCCCATCCCCAATACATATGGCTACTATACAAAGAATTTGAGTAACTGTCTTGTTTATAAAATAGGCTGTGCAAATATTAAATTTGGACTGGATTGTTGGGCATTATTGGCCAGTCATCATAATAATCTATTAATATTGATTTTAACCAATAAAAAAGGCCAGTAGTTTGTATAAGAGAAGATTCAGACCCACTCAATAAATAGGTCTAGCAGACCATGGCAGCCTTCTCCATGAATAAAAACGAAAGAAAAAAAAAACAATAAATAATAAAAATTGATTTGGGTAAAGTTTCCAGTGAGTTGTAAAACCCTCCACATGTCTACAGTATTTAAGCTCCATTTTACCTTGCTTAATTTCACTGAACTTGTGTGTTTACCATCTATAGATTATTGGTTAGTGATGCATCTCCTGGACCGCGGCACCAATAGATCAATACGTTTCCGCAAAAAAGTTAAGTGCCGATTACTGCTGGGGGAAATGGCGCTATTACTGAAAGATAAGCTAATCAATGCTAATGTAAAGAGCCAACAATTAGCCTGTTAGCTTATTGCATCTACTGTTGAGACATTATCTGTCCAGCTAACAAGAACGCTGCATTCAAGTAAAACAGTGCAAATGGAAGAATAATGTTTAATTTAAATATATTATCATATTTTTATTAAGAAAAGCAATGAACTAATTTTGAGCTTGAAACTGCCACAAAACGCATTAAGTTTTCAATGTGCCCTCAAGCTAAAGCTAAATACTTAATACACAGAGACATATTCTTGCAACAGTATAACACAATAAAAGACACAAATTAATTTTGGCTTGGCGTTCCAGTGCTAATTTTTATTCTAATCACCGCTAGCAAAGGATAGTCTAGTTAAAATGTTCGAGCATCTGTATACTTTTCATAAGTTTGCTTTCATTTAGTTTATAACTTGCGTAAAAAATATGAAAACATCGCAAATAAAGTTAGAGAAATTATTGGGCGGATAATGTGAGATTGCCCATCTGGTGAACGCGCTTTGAAATCAGTTGTAAAGTGAACAGAGGTGTGTAACATGGACCCAGGAAAACCGTCTGTTTACGAGGCATAACCGAAATAAATCAGATTTAGAGTAAAAAAAAAAAGTGAATTTGAAAACGTCTGTCTGCGCGTTTATTGAATTATTAGTGATGTGTCTGGAACAAAACGTACCACCGTGTCACCTCTGGTTTCCATCTGCTGTTCGGAGAGAGAAGACAAAACAAAAAACAAAAAAAAGCCAGCGATTGCGATGCTTCGAGGTGCAAACTATCACAGAGGCAGGCTATTACAGGTGAACTGATGCTTCGGGGTGTTTGTGCATTGCCACGGCAACGATTATCGCCCCTGTCAATCAACACGGTGACAGGGGAAGATGGAGGATGGGGATAATAGTTATAATCTGTAGGATATCAAACAGGGAGAGTCCATGAGAACGCTGCTTGGTGAGTGTGATCAAAAATACAAAGTGACAAGGTGCCTGGAAAGTTGGCAGTGCAATCCCCACTCGCTGATGTTGTGTCCTTGGGCAAGAACTGTGGTGACATGACAAGGTGAAGAGCTAATTGCTGTAAAGAGCACCTCAAGAAACAATGCTTTTTTTTGGAAGTTGTGATTGAACATTTCAATTCAAATTCTAATAGTGTTGAGGTTGTGTTGTGGCCATATCTGCATTTTTATAGATTTTTATTTTATTCAATAGCTCCTATTTATCGTCAGGACTATGGGGGAGAATAATCATTTAAAACTGCACCAAGCCCAGCACTGTGCAGAGTCTGAATTTCTCCAAGGACAGTAATTAAATATACTTTCCAATAGTCATATTTAGTAACAGGAAACGCTAATAGTGTTAAACCAAAATGCAGTACAAGTCCTTCAGTGATTGTCTTGAAGGGATTCCTGTGAGCTTTAAGACATGTTATAATGTTGTCACCTCATCTAAAACATACCTGGAGTTGTGTTTTCTTTCATTGTTTTGAGTAATCCTTAATTATTATTCTGTCTGCCACCTTGTGATGTCATAACGTTAACAACTACCTTTAACCTTTAGTTCAGTAGAGATTGGCAATTCCAGGTCTGAAATAA